GTAATCCTTCTGTTCGCAGGAAGTAAGGCCTCTTCCAGGCTTGAATGTCTCATAACTCTTTTAGGAACAACTCGGACACTATATTTTACACCCTCACCCAGCATTTAATTTACATTATGTGATCTTTACTCAAAAAACTCAATGATAAATGAATAAAGTGGCAGCAGTTAGAAGTAGGCCTTGTAAATTTTCACATTAACTCTATAAAATCAAGAATTAAGGGCACTAAAGCCTCTGACAACTTAAGCGAAACGAAAATTTCAAATTTGACAAACCAAATAATTGTCAAGACAAGATTTAGAATAGAAGCGGTCCGATGCTTGGGACAATTTTCGGATGATACACTGTCCACTTATCACAGTGGATTCCGATTGTGAGTCACAATGGCTTTAAGACCAGAGTAATTATAACTTCTTTAATGCCTTAAAGCACATCACGCTCATTAACAAGCACCCAAATTGTCCGTTATTAATAAAGCGTTAGGGCGCAAGTCTCTCTCACCCTCTGGCCGTCTGCAGAATATTTGTTTGCACGTTTTGTCACTCCAATGATATCTGTGAGTTTATTGCCACATATGGGACTATAAAAAAGTATCGGCTGGGACGCATGTGAAGTGGGACTGCACATCTGAGGACTTGCTTTGATGGGTCTCGAGCTCGGAGGGCGTATAGGTGTCTCAAGTCAACTTCCGTTTGGTACATCTTGACTCTGTGAAGAAATAGATGGACTGTTTATTAAGAACTTATCAGAACCACTTGTTTACTCAAATGCTTTAACAAAGAAACTTACTATAAAGGAAGCAATCACTGAGCAGAACACCAGAACAATTGTTGCTCGGATTTGTTTGGGGCCAAGAGGCGCAAGAACACCGTCACCCTTGATGTCCATAGTGTAACATTCCTGGCGTCCCCAAAGGCTTTAAGGCTTTGGCTTTATGATAGAACTATGAGATTGGTAGCATGGGTGAAGGCAGAATCATGGGAGACTGGAAGAGCGCATACAGATATCGTACTGTCAAAAAACATGAAACACACAGATCTATGCATTTTAACCCACCCCCATTGTTTTTTTACCCTTCCATGTTTTTTTAAAATTCATGTTTCCATAAAATCTGGGGTTTTTAGAAAACGGAGAGCTAACACTTTTGGTAAAGGGGGCCACTTTAGGTTTTCGTGATCGTACCCTCACCGGGTAGGCTGGCCTCCAGACCATACCGGTAGCCCCAAGTCCTTCTGTACGTCAGCAAAACGTATTCTGCCTAGTTTTTTGCCCTCATTCATCTTCAAGGAAGTCTCGGGAGACTGCAGAGACTCCTGTAGAAATTCCTTAAGAAACCTACACACTTTTGCCTGTATCGCCTTCACATAAGTAGTGCTATGACAACTAGGGTTTGGAACTGCATGTGTTTGCAATGATTCTATCAAATAGGTGTTAGACAGGGGACTTTTCGCACTGTCCTCAGCTAACGCGGTCCAAGCAGATTTTTCTGCAGCAGGCTGTTCTACTTCAAAATACGACTGGAAGTCTCTACCTAGTGGTTAATTTAGACCTCTTTCAAAGCCTGCTTCTTACCTACAGGGATTTTTCAATCTTAAAAACACCCCAATATTGTCTCGAAGACTGAGACAAGAATTTCAGGTTTTTTGATCCTCGTAAATGCATAGTTTGGCCCCTATTGAGTCCAAAATACTCCCCATTCATTCAAACAAGGATTGTTTAAAGGCATTTTTGGAATAAACTTTAGTAGTTAGGGCCATTAGTGTTGAATTTCAGCCATCTAGGAGCAGTTACAGTATGCAATATGTGGGTGGGAAAATGGGAATTCAGTAACAAAGAGTTTCCAAATCGAAGTTTGGCCAAATATGTAAAACTGGTGCGCAACCATTGCAAAGGCATCTGTACTGGCCACGATCTCACGGGACACCAATGTAAGTGCTGCTTCAAAGTTCCCATTCAGGGGAAGTCGACATTGCTCACCTGGGGACAAAAGACCACTGCAGTATTCTTCTCCAAATCTGGATACCTAGAAGGCTCTGTTGTGGGAATGCTATGACCGAGGGGACTGCACTTCTGTCGATATTTTTAGCTTCTTAAAGGTGATTGAGAGAATGTCAAGTGGAATAATACAAACGTGTTAGTCTTTATGAAAATGCTGTCAAGCCCTTTTCCCAATGTCAAGGCTGACATCTAAACACAATCTATATTTTATTGAGATTGCGTATTTTCAAATAAGCTTACGTGTTTTGTCCGTTATGGAGCTACTGATCAAATCGTGAATCCCTTGTAAATTTCTCAGCTATTCAGATCCAAGAGTGTAAATTGCCAATTTGTAAATTAAGAAAGTTCGAGGGTAATTGAAAGCCCTCCTACTGCAACAGTCTCAGTTCATTTTCAACTATTTCAAATACCCTGAGAGACTCGAGCAGGCTTCTGTGCTTTTTGATCATAGATGACCTCTTCTGCCCCTTCCTCGGGACAAGTATGGAGTGTATTCCAGCATACTGGAGCCTTTATGGTCCTGTTAGGTAAAACATATGCAACGCTGTTGGTAAAGGCGCGTTGCGAGGAGCAAGGCTTTGTTGAAACAGCTGCAAAAACATCAAACGTTTTGATTTGATTGAAGGATTCTGAAAGGTCAACAAAAACTGATGAGCTGTTGATGGATGAAAGTAAACGGAAAAATCTTTATTAATCCCATGTTTCGTTGCATAAGAGATAGATACAGTCCGTGATAGAAAGCTTGATTATTTTCAATCTTTCTCAAATTCACTTCAATCACGCGGGTGAAAGAAGGGAACAGGTGTTGATTCAATGTAAAATGGGATACTGTAGCGCCCTAAGGCTTCCCTGAAGGGGACAGAAGACAATACCAGGGCGGAATCTGCATTCCTGCTGCACTGAATGACTGGGGAGCTACTGACTTGCCCTGAAGGCCATGCCGCCCAGCGGAAGTACAGAAGCGAAGCCTTAAGTGTTCATGCAACCAAAGTGAAGAGTTAAACAAGTGTTCAAGGTTTTACGTTACCACTATTTTTCAACGTTGGTATTCAAGTTCTAATTTATTCAATAATAGCAATCAGGATTCAAACACATAGAAGGTACGCCGGGGAAAGGCTTGCGAGGTATGAAAAATCGCTACTAGGAAAGTGGATTTGAATTTGCATTTTGTAGTCCAGGCCAGTGGAATCCCCTCATGTACCATTCAGTTAGACAACCATAAATGCAAAATTTCAATCGCATAGCTATGGCCTTCTGGAAGATGACTAGTTAAAAATCCCACTATTTGGTATGAATTTTATGAAAGACAAGACCTGTATTCATTTATGCAATTTTACTGCACTCTAATTATTATTTCTCTCTACCCTTTGCTTAGCAAACCCTAAAACATCAAAACAAGCCTAAGTCTACTCGCTTGGTGATGAGTTCGATGGAGCAGTGGATAACGCCCTTGACCGAATCACCTTCATCGACGTTCTGATGAAATAGAAGGCTTCATCATCAAGTTATGCACTGAGGAAAGATAATTAGCAGTGAGCACGAGTCCCTCAGTTAAAAGACCTCTTGGTGCCTGTTCGTATTGAAACGTAATGCTTTGGTTGTTAGTTTACCTCCTCGTTTTGGTTTCGTCGGTACTTAAGGCTCCGCCCTGCCACTTCCACTGGGCGGCATGGCCTCCAGGCCAAACCAGTTGCCCCCAAACCTTCTCTACGTCGGTACTACATACCTCCCTGTCACTATAAATTCTCTCCTCTTCAGGGAAGTCTCGGGGCGCTACATTGGTGGCAGTGGAAAAGGGACCTGACCCTAGGACATCTGTCCTGATTTCTGTTTCTGAAATGTGGCAGAAGAAGAGAATATGCTGCGGATGGGTGAATTCGGAGACGACCCCCAATAGAAGAGCTAAAAATGACGCCTACTTTCGGCAACTACCCCTCTCCCTTGTTCTGGAGGAATGCTGTTAACAACCAAAGATGCGCTAGCCGAGAATAGGGAGAATTTCGTCACGGAGCCGTCTACGGTACCTGTATGGAGGTGTCACCTAAGTGGAGACGCAATACCTCCTCGACCTCTCTACCAGCTGAACAGAACTCGGAGAGATAAATATTCGGCCAGTAGTGGAATGAAAATGGAGGAAAGGAAGAATTTTATACGAAAGCTTATCTCTGTCAATCAAGGTATGCTTATTTTGGACTCAATTCATTATCTGCGGCATTATTAAATATCTCAGATTTATGTCAGAGGTGTGTGTGTATGTGCGCTCAAATAGGCTAAAAGGAAGTTAAAGAGGATGGAATGAATTCTGGTAATTACTGCAACCATTTCTCTGGTTTTTGATCAATCAAATGGAATAAAAATGACGAAAGGCAGTCTCCAGAGCAGGTTGTCACAATTTATTCATTCATTGGCATTACGATCTATGGTTGATGTGCGATTACCCTCCTTATTTGCTGACGTGGTTCTTTTTTTACTTATACATTAGACCCCACTCACACGATTCTCGAAATGTATTTGTCAACGTCACCTCTGTTTATGTTACACTTGTATTCCTGACCATTCAAACGTCCGGTCCCGCTGTCCTTCAAAGGTCGATCTCCATTTCACTCACTTGACAAGGGTTAACTGTTGAGTGTTTACTTACCCCCCCCCCAGCTTGTTGAACGTTGACCACCGAATACCGAAATTGCAAAGTGGCTGACGTACTCCTCATTAGCTGGCTCAGGGAGTTTAGCAAAGTGATTGGTCTGCTAAGCTTGATTTCAATGCTTGCCTTGTTTAACTATCTTGCGCCTCATGAAAACTGCCGTCAATAAGATAATAGCAATCCAAAGGAAAAGCGAAGTTTCTGGAGTGTTTGCTCCTCGACATTTGGCTAACAATTTTCCGAAAAAAATCCTTGAAACCTAGACTTTCTTCATACGAAACAATTTCTCAATACCATGCTACTGATTTAAAGTAATGGAATTCTACATTTATAAATTCCGCACGATATACTGATTGTGTCTGCAGTTCAGTTCGAAGGCTTCTACCTTGTCCGCCTGCTCATCATTGAGGTTCCACGATTCAAGGACTCTGTAGACTCACGAGAGTGAAGATATCCATGAAAACAGAAACTAGCTTAATTGGTTTGTGGTCCTGCACGGCTGGCAGTCCGGCACGGTGGCTAAAAGAAAAGACAGAAGTCCATACCTCTTCGGGCCTGTGCCAACTTTATTGTCCTCTCAGTTAAGTGAATGGATAAATCTAGATAACATGCTCAGTAAAACCGCCTCAAAGTCGTTGCTTGACGTGTTAGGGGAACTACGTGAGACATCAAACGGGCCCATTGAACTGCTAGAAAATATTCCACTAGTGTCAAGAATTTGTGACGGCCCAGATTGCAACTTTGGGGGGAAGTGCTGTTTGTCGGATAAAATATTTTCCCCTATCAGTAGTTAAGGCAGCCCACTTCGTGTGTAACGCATTCCTTCTTTAAACATCTTGCACTAAACTAAAATCAACAAATTTTATACTGCACCGTAAAAACGGCCTCTCAAAACAATAGCAGTAATTATGATGAATGAGGAAAACTCTTGGGTGCACTGTCTTTCCTAGAATGTTCAGTACTGAAAACTCCCCGGAACAAAACACTCCCATACACATATCATGTATTATTCGTTTCTGCACAAATGATTTGGGGATGTTATTTTGCCCCTCGTGGGGCACAAATGCCCGCGGGCATTTGTGCCCCGCTCAGCGACCGAATGCGATGCACAACACTACCAAAAGCGCCAAACCAACTTCCCTATCTTGGTGCATCTATATCTTCATAATATACTTTCGCATTCATATTCCATCCACACCGATTAATTACCATATTCACCACTGACAAGCATTGCTGATGCCTCTTTAAGCCAGCTTCTAAGTGTAAATTTAATTCTACGCATCGGCAGATGAAATAGCCATCCAAAATTCGCAACAAAGTGCTCATTGTGTCGGTTCGGAAGCTATCGGCCCCCAAGGAGGGGAAAATGTACCCTGAACACAACCGTGATACCTCTGTATCCCCCCTCCCCACCTTTACCATCGCCCAATCAAGCAAGCTTTTCTTGTCCAACTCATCTACTCGTTCCAAGGAAGTAGAGGCCTAGGTGAAGGGGGGAGCACGCCAGCAGACCTTTACCTTTTAATAACGACATAAAACTTCGAAAGTTGGCTTAAAAACACTAAATTTAAGCTCTAATTCTAACTTCAGCGCCAGAGAGCCTTAAAGATTCTATGTGTCACTCTAATTTGCATCTCTTAAGCCATCGATGTATGCTGGTGTTTCTCGTAATGAAGTAACATTATGTTTGTCAGAGGAACGCGCTTTTGGTGGTCTAGTGAAAATAGTTCCTCAAGCACCCCACATGACCTGTTAAACAGGCTGAAACGTGTTGGCCGCTTTTGGATACGGGATCTGTTTGACAATGCAATCAGTTGAAGCATGATTTACTATCTCGGAATATCAGCAATGCTTGTTGGTCTTGGAACTGCTAGCATTACCAGGGATTTCGTTAAGAACTCTAGCTCAGTTTGGCATCCACTGCCGAGAACAATCTAAAGCAGTATCGCAGTGAATAATTTGTCTGTCAGCATTTTCATCACAAAAGAATTATTACTGTCTCTACTTACTGAAGAAAAACTTGCCATCGTTTGTTTTGCTCCACCAGAGGCATTTCATAGTGGACTTTGAAGTCCTAAACGAAAACGTAACAATCACGCTTGTTCATGCGTTTGTTAAAAACAACCATTTCCTGACTTTGTAGGAATTCACACAAAGAGATGCTCCCCCTCCTCCTCCTTCCCTTAAAGGTCACCTTAAAAGAGACCAAAAACACATTTAGCTGATGCAACGCCAAATATTCTCACTTTAACAGAGTAATCACGTCAAAGGAGAGGGGAGCGGCGCTTCTCTGGCCGACGAAATCAAAGCAAATTGGCTACCATAAAACGGTTTTGGGACAGGACCATTTTGGGTGCTCGCACACTTTCACCGCCACTTCAATCAGTAGCTGCAGCGGTTAACGGCTACCCCAGTGTGCAGTACTGGGAGATAAGCCACAGGAAACAGCAGGAAGACATGCCTCTATGGGAAAGAGCACAAAAGCACGCGTTCTAGGAGGTCCCTAGGTGACCTGAAACCAGGGCCTGAGCTCACCTGTTGGGTTGCCTGGTGCACTGACAGTCAAAGCGCTGTAATAGTCTCTTGTGGAGATGCGTGGAGTTGTTAATACCTCCTATAATATTGTGAATTGGACTAATTGGTTAACTTCTCATTTTGGTTTAGCGGGCACTTAAAGCTCTGTTACTGCACTTCCACATGGGCCGTGCGGTCTTCGGGCCATGCTGGTAGCCCGCCCCCTCCCCCTCAGCCCTTCCGTACGTCTGCAAGAAATGCTTTGCCCTAGTTTTGCATTTTCTTTTTCCGGGGACACTCGGGGTGCTACACCATATTTAACTATAATTTTACAAAACGTATTAATACATGGAGGAGATATTTTAGTACCTTAACAATCCCGAGCCTTTCCTTTTGACGTCAAGCAGAGTACGGAGAGTTCCATCGGCTTGTTTCTTATTCAAGTGCTGCAATAATGGTACCTGCATTAGCTGAGCCAAATAATTGGATAAAAGCACTCTAAAACACTTTCATCCCACTTATTTAACATTTTGTTGGAACTCGAATGGGGAGAGGAAGTGGCAAAATTGAAACTTTTTCCACCGTACCCGATCAATAAAATGGAAGCAACTTCTGGAATTTCCGTTTGACCTTAACAATGCAAACTGCTAAGTGTTTACTCTGACCACGGCAGATAAAGGGTCCGATTCTCAAGAATGCAAAACCATTTATTTTCAGCATCGGAGAGCGGTGAAAATAGGCAGAGCCTCCCCTCAGTTTGTCGAGGTTTCACCAGAATGTGAAATTTAATTGTGGGAGGTAAAGATGTCGCAAACTACTTAACTTTTTAATCAGAATTTGCGTCGCCTTGTCTGGATAAAATCAATTCAAAAAGAAGACTAGTAAGTACAATTTCTCGTTTGACGGAATCATTTTAAAAAGTAATAACCGTATCAATGAAATTTGTCCATCCAATTATATGTGGCTGTATATTTACATAGGAATGTGGTCGAGGGGAAACAACAACTGCGTACATAAGTAAAAGGCACATTTTTACAATGTTTGCTATTTTTTTCCTATTTATGATTACTAGTTGTGTATAAGGGGAGGCAGATTTCAAACACAAACACCCAGTTTATGTGATGATGGAAGATTCCAGAAGCAAACCACAGGTCACACACACCATTGCTTTAACGAACCGTACTACTCTGAAAACCTTTTCTATTTTTATCTAACTTAAAGACTATACTTTCCTCTCACTAACCGAATTTATAAGATTGCAGGAGTTCTACGGAGAGTGGGAGAGAATGTTCGTAATGCAATCACTCACCGACTCATCGAGACGGCGCGCAGAGGGCGCCTCTAAGCGCCATTTTTGGCACTTCTCCAGCCCATAAAAATGTCCCGTCATTTGTACTTCCGGAGTCCGGGACAGATTATGGGGCTAAGGCAGGGGCGGGAGGAGAGGATGAGGGTCCGATAGGCGCGTGGGCGAGTGGATAAATGGGTGTGGATTATGCCGACAGTAGATAAGGCAATTCGACGCGCCTCCTATCCTGCCGCACTCACAAGTCGTTCAGGGTGAATGAGGAGGTAGGTAGCAGTAGAGTCGTGCAAGCTTTCTTAGCCCTCGATATTCAAAAGTTGGGCATTCTTTATGCTGACATCTCTACTTACCCAGTGTCAGGTGATGGGACCTCTTGAGGTTATTGCAATAGAAATCTATCGTTATTAAATCATCGTTACACATTAAAGTATGCTGTATGTTAATATAAGAGGACTTGGTCAGGTTTGGAGATCAGTGTGATTGAAGCCCTCTTCTCTACACTCTGCCAGGCTTATAGGCTATGCCAAGGGAAATGCCCTGTTCCCATGAGCAATTCCCAGTTAGCTTATAGGAATAACAAGTTGTTACAATGCCTGGTTTTGTAACGGCTTACTATGTAACTGGATGGATGCATCACTAATGACGGTGACTGCCAAAACTCCCCCCATTTCCTTTAAAAGTTACATCTTTTTTAGTACGTCACTCAATCATCATGAAAAGTAGACGCAGCAAAATTCACAAACGGTCATTTTTCGCTGTATGCCAAGGCGTTTTGTGAACAAAAACAGCACTAAACATGTTTATGTAAACAAATAAATAATTTAGCTCAACTTTTTAGTGATACCAAGTTTACCACAATTCCGTTATTTTAATAATAAAATGCGTAATAACCGGTTTGCTTTTTGGAATCCAAATGTCTGTCCATCAAAAAAAAGGTCTCGTTCGCCAAGGAAACCACATTATTAGTATGGAATTCCTACGAACAACAATCCACAAGCATCGAGAGAATTATGCAAATTCCTATGTTTACATATTCCCGAATAATGTATGAATGCTTGAGACAGTATTTTATACTGATTAAGTGAGGCTTAAATGCTGTGGTACATCCGCCTGTGGTCACTTTCATGCCCAAAAAAGGCATAGAAAGCATCTCTCCATTGCAGTGCCTCCAGCAATCCAGCGCAACCCTATCCTCGGGAATGTTCATGCCTACAACAGGCATGAAGTATCACCCAAGCCGGTCGCATGCGACAGTGATTTACATGTATGACTATCCAGGGTAAATAAGACACCGTGGTCCGCCTTTTCATGTCACCTCCTCCAGCAAAGAACATTCATCGGATTCTCATACCTCTTACAATCAGCATTTCCGCATCATCCTGAATCTAATCCTTACAAAATACACCATAATCCATAATTCGAAGTTTTCGATAAGTTTCATAAATTTTAGTAAGCAGAATTGGCCAGCAGCAACTTGATCTTTTTCACAGCTAGGCGTGAATATAAAGACGCTACGAGGATCACAAAAACAATAAGGCGAATTGAGGTACTAAAAAGCAGTCCATATGTCTAAACATTAACGCTGCAGTGAGTTCAAACAGCAGGACAAAAAAACAACCTTTTCGGTGTTATACCTACGTTTAGACTTTGCTATTTTATTAGTGTTTCATCAATGAAAAAGATTTCAACACGTCAATGAGCTCTACCTTCACCTCATCTGCCAATTGCCGTAAACAATAAAAGGTAGAAGTAGTCTACTTCAAATGGGATAATAAGGACAAATGAGTTGTAAAAGGGACCAATAAAGAGATATAAAAGAACAGGCGAACCTTTCACTTCAGCAGTTCTTCTGCAGAAACTCATAACCAGATATTTTGCATTTATACTCTTTTAGTGGGTAGCGTTATAAACTGCAAAATCTGGTCTGTGCTATCTCAACAGAATTAGGCTCGCAGACGAGATATCCCACTTGGAGTGGCTGTGGCGGTGATTATGATGATAATGATAATCCTCAGAAGAAAAAAAGCCCTTGAAGGCTTATCGACACATGTTTTGGGGGGCAATCGGCCAAAAAACGGGCAGGTAACAGACCCTCGGGTTTGCGACACGTGGCGCACGCACACACCGGCCAATGGAACTTGAGTCCGCCTCCGATTGGTCGATGCAGCACATGGCCAGCTAGGACGACGAGGTCGCGCTCGCTGGTGTTTAGGGCCGACTTGTTGACTGTGTGCGTGATGCCAAGATAATGCACAAAAGTCCTCCAAAAACAAATTCGCCATAAATGAAAACTGCCTCTTCCACTGACGGCCTGGGAACAGCAGACAGCGGCGCACTTCTACCACAGCCTATCACGGGATGTCTACCGGTTAGCTGGTTGTTTACTGCGATGGCTTCTGTTGCTTTTCATTGCAAAAGTCAAACAATGTTCCTTGTTATCATTGATCGAAGGTTATCAAACAGATTGTGATATATGAAACCGTATTTTCCTATGTCCGCGCCACTTCAATGCAATAGGGCCCCAACGGAGTCACTGAATTCATTTGGGATCTATTCAGTTCTGGTAATTTTTCGCAGCCATTAGTTATTTGAAAATGCCCATTTTTACATGTTAAATTTGATTGCACTTTAAGATATACACATTTTGGGGTTGTATAGATGCACCAGATTCACCACGGTGTCTGCGCAGCCACGTAGCCCTTTTGACAGTTACGCATAACAGACTGGATCCTCACGCGCACTTGTTATGGCGGTGCAGAAGCACCAGAAGGTTCGAATCAGAGACGCTGTAATCAGATCCGTAATGAGCTACTTGACTTGCTTTCCCCAAAACCACCGAAACCGATCGCTACAAAAGTAGTTGGGTTTGTTGATCCCACATGCCCGACAAATTCACATCTTGGGAAGAAGACTCCTGATTCACATGGCTGAGATGCATCTCGTAAACTTCACTGGTCTTCATTTTTTATGCCCTCCGTTGGGGAATCCCGTTGGCAAGTAGTGAGGAATGTTTTTTAAGACAGGCAGCTATGAATTGCCCATTTATAACGGGAAAGGTGGGCTGGAGGGCTCGAAATGCGGGATGGGATGAATGACTGCGAGCCCTGACATACGGCTAAAAAAAGCATCGGTTATACCACCCGATTCCCAGATTAAATACTCTACTACTGGCTTAAAATGCAAGCGGCCAACAATAGCGAAGCATCTCGACAATTCAGACAGTAGATTTATCGCCCCTCCTGTTACGCGAAATCCCATTTAAGAAGAACTGATAAAAGTTCTTTTAAAGTCTTTGGAGCCTACGAATAATCAGGAGATTAGAAAAGCATTTTATGTTATTGAAACAACACTTAAACTGCTCCATTATGTTTATTAAAGTTGCTACCTTGACTCATTTTGTTCAAACTCGCACGCTGGCTACCACAAAGTTCTATCAGTCTGGTTTGGCCTCTTCACTATGATCCCTTCCACAGGTGTGTATTTTCTGCTATCACTTTTTTTTCGAATCCTTGCAGAGACTCTCCATCTGCTTTCGAAACCCAAAGACTGCCAGTGAATTGAAAACTTATCAGGGTAAATGAACTCAAAGTCGTGGAACCAAAGCGAGGGATCGGTTGGGATGTAAATTCGCAGAGTACAATAACAGGTAGACAGCATTCCTCAGAAAAAAAACTCTCAGAAGCCATTAACTAGCCTTGGGATCAAAGATTAACGTGAATGTATTGTTGTTGTTGACCTCTTCTCGGAAATAATAAACACTACTACATTGGTAATAGTTTGCGTGGATAAGTTGAACCCCTGCCATTTCATACACCCGAAGCAAAAAACGGAAATTAACAGTCCATTGACCAAAATCCCTCCAATTCCAAGTAGTAGCAATAATCTGAATGAAGCCTTTCAAACACCTCCGAACACACAGCAGTCTCGTTCGGAGGAAATTCATCCAAAATAGGTCAATTGCAGTGAGGTATACCACTCGGACGTTTTTCAAAAGTTCGATGATGGCTGCTTATCCTCACTCCCGGTTTTTATTTGCCATTATTTTGATGCCACCCCCGCCCCGACTACCCATCCAAAAACGTAAGTAACGAAAAACAAATGTAAAGTCACTCTCACTCCATTACAGAAAAGAGGAGGAGAGTCTGGTCAACAATACCTTTTTTAAAAAGCACAATGAACAGAGCACTTCATGTGAGCGGAACGATATGTAACCTACAGAAAAAAAAGGTAACTTTTATAATAATGGTCGCAGGTATGGAAGCAGGACAGGCGGTTCGAGGAAGGTGAAGGGGAGGGCCTAGCCTAGATCAAGTCCAATAACCATTATTGTCTGATTGTGGGTCAGTTCGGTTGAGGACAATGTGGTCAAGAAACAAGGAGGTAAAAAAAACTCGTTTCTAACTTTGCTAAGAAAGACAGGTGACCACAGACCTCGTTTTGTATAGGAGAGGAACGTAGGTAAATGGCAGCTTACCCCAGGCTTTTGTTACCCTCCGGTTTGTACAGAATCGAGTGGTGTGTCGATGTGCTTTCACCGCACCGCCTCAGCAGTGTCACCGGAATCGCACCCTGATACAAGAGAGGGATGGTAAGTAAATTGAAGACAAGGGAAGCAATGCACCTGAGCACCCATTGTTTGCACTTATTTTAGTGCTCGAATCTTTTACCCCGGTAGCGGTCGAACCAATCCAAGTCGGCTAATCCAGTTTATCACATCGCGCTTCCACTTCGACAACCGGTTTGTGGTAATCCAACACGACAAAACTCGCGATTTTTGATTCGACACAACTGCCTTCACTCTCATTCATCCCATCCACCTGCATTACCATTTAAGCTTCTAGTCCACTTTCAATTCTAAAGTGGCCTGGCAGATGGGAACTTCTCATGCAAACCATTTAAAGTATCGTCCATTAGTCCTCTCTTCGGCAGTATTAATTCCATACCGAAGGAACACGCTTCCAAACAAAATACTGCTCATTTTTGACCTACTGTCGTAAGAAAATTCTACCCCAAAAAATAATCACACCTCGTAGCCTGCGCTTGGAAATAATGATAATGATCACCTCTCACAGTACCTAAGAGACAATGTAAAATCTTGCACCTTGCCCACCAGCTCATCAATCTACTACATTCCGACACAGCGAGTGCGGAGACTGGAGGATCAAGACAGGAAGAGGCGGGAAAGTCAGGTGTGACTACCTTGGGTTTGGTAGATTTGACCACTGCTGCGATAGCCTGAAGGCCGGTAAAGTTGGAGGCTAGGATTGAGCCAAAGCGGGTCACCCGATCGTCAACACATATGCCCTAGAGGGAGAGAGAGAGGAAACGGACAATAGCATTCAATAAATAGTTTGTGGATTAGGCGAGGCAACCCTAACTACTTCGACTGTTATGGGCACAGGTGAGCGTAACCGGTGCTTCAGGCTCTACCTATGACCCCCAATGGTCTCTTAGCCTTTGTAATAAGGTAATAAAAACTGCCGCTCTGTTTGTACGAGCGGAACCAAAGACTCAATGCGATGTTTCTTTGGCTCTTAACTTCATTGTTAACTCGTGTAGACACCTCCGAAATTCCATTTCTGGAATTTTCATAGGGGTAAATGTCCTTGGATAAAAACATCACGAGTGGGTAGAGTGAATTCGCACGGTACACCTGTCTGTAAGCAACACAAGACTGGAACCTGGAGAGGCGCTTACTAGTTGATGCTGTCTGTCACACCTAGAACCACTACCTTAAATGACGCCCAAATACTTTTATTCATAAAAATAACCACAATCGCAACCTATAATCCTTTTTGAGCGAAAAACGGGCTTGCGGTGAGCACAAATGCAGTATTTACAACGCTTTATTTCTAGAAGCAGACAACCTAGTCCTGGCCACCATTCCTATCCCACTTCTGTTTCCCAGTCGTCTATTCTGTTCGGCCTGTGATTATCTAGTGGTGAGAATACCACACCTGATATCTCCGACATCTAGTCCCATTTACAAGTACAAATTCAGGGTGTGTAAAAACGTTTCTCTTCTTCAGCACTACCCTTAAGGAAATTCTCTTTAGGGTACCAGAGTGGGATACTACGAACGCATTGAAATCATATTTTCTACTCTCTTGGTTAAAATCTACACTTCAAATTAGTCGAGGTTGGTTGTGCTGTGGGAAAGGACGAAAGTGCTGAGTTTGAATGACCAAGGTGGTGGTTAGGGGATCTTTACTTTGTCTGTCCAGATAAACAATTAACCGGTTAATTTCACTATGAGGTCCATTCAGTCTATCCCAGAGGGAGATTACACTGAGAACGGCATGTGGGGCGGAGTGTAACACCACAGGGTAGGACAGTGCTGACAAACCTCAAGGCAATTCGTGTACTAACGGAGCCCAGCCCACACCGCAGAACAGAACAGCACAGCACAGACAGGCGGGTGGGGCGGGAGAGTGGGGACGGGCAGTCAGGCAGGAAAGCGGTACCCTCGGGCCAGAGTTTATCGACCCGGCAGAGGGGGAAGAAGAAAGGGCGTGTATGGGGTCTCCAAACGCGCACACGCACTACGGGTGGGTGTGCGGTGTATTGACGCATGGACAAAAACAACAACAACGCCAGCAGAAGCAGCAGCACCAGTAACGCATAAATCAGGTGGGTGCGTGCAAGTACGAATTCCTCTTCGAGGGACGATGTGAAGATGCATAGGTGGGTGTTGCTGCTACCGCTGCTGCCGCCGAAGCAGTTTTATCCTCCAATCACCCAGAAGAAGATTTTCGATTCGACTACTTGCAAATCTGTTCCGTGACTATTCCTTTCAAAGGACTACAAATCTTGAAAATCGACATTCCAACAAGAAACTGTTCCTCCCACCTACATAAAATCTTCAAGTTTGGGACGTCATAGTGGCAGAAGGATGAAACACCAGCTTTTGAACAGGTAGGGGGAAGTGTTTGGCCCACGACAGAGAACGGGTTGACGGAATATGCAGGGTAGTGGATGCACCTAAATGCACGGATACGTACACGGGGGAATTCCAAATTGTCAACAGCCAGAGATCGGATTTCAGTACCCCTGTTTGAGAACCGAATACTCGATCACATCAGATTGCTCAAAGGGTGGGCCAACACATTCCCACCTTTCAATAAATAAAAGTAAAGATCAAAACAATTTGTATGACAGTTAACCCAGACCAAAGTTGACCAAGCCGAGTGGGAGACGAAATTAATTTGAATTGTTGGCGCGATCAAAAATCCCCGAGAATGATTCATCAGAAAGAAAAGGATGAAAGCGCTCATCAAAAGGATAGCAAATTATTTTATCTAATGCGAGAGAACTACCTGTTCTTAATTAACACCAAGAAGTGACGAATATTCCCCCATTTCAGTGGAAAGTGATATGACTATGAAGATGGATTCAACAAAGAGTACAAAGTTTTTCCGTTGTCCCACAACAAACCAGTTCAGTTTCCAAGGCTCGCTTCAAAGAATGAGATAAGGCTAATTATTTCGTCGCAACGACCACAATTATTTATAAGTACAACTAAAATATTTTATTCTCGACCCATCAAAAGAGAAATCTTTGAGGTTACCAAAGGAGCATTCCAGGAACCATCTCAAAGGATGTTTGAAAGGTTGACAGAAAGTGGTGAAGGGAACTCGCAGTAAACAGTTCAAGTATTTTGTATGCACTGACTCGAATTTTTACTTCTGCTGCACCACCCTGGCACTTGCTTTTAAATCACAGTGCAACAAATTAGTTGTCCGCATCAAGTATACGTGACAACAAGATTTTTTCCTTGTCAGGTCATGCATAACCGGTTGCGCCACCTTGTATTAGGTGGTAGTGTTTTGAGGTGGGTTATACACTTTGTAAATGTTGGGACAATCAAACATCTAAGGTATGGTGGTCGAATCTTCACTGTAGCACTAGTGGAGAAGGGGTTAAATAACTGCTCCATCGAATAACACATTGTGATGCCAAACAAAAAGCTAGTTTTCACTTGTAGGAGTCAAATCATGCTACAGTCAACCAAGCAGATTTTAGAACTAAAAAACTTCAATTGAAAAATTGCCTGAATAGTTCACCAGAAAGCAGGGCAAGTGGAAGTTCCCCCAATTTACCACACAACTTTCCGTAGAATTAATGTATAAGAAGTGGCGAATCCTATTGCATTTTAACAATCGGTTTAAAGCAATCCACCCAGCAACATGAACTGGCATAGTTGGGAGGGGGCTAAAATGCATCCACCACTTTGAATAACAAAAATATTCGCCAATACCAAGGAACTAAAAAGTATCCTTTCATAAACATAGATAATGACGCAGGGATTAATACCGGATTCCTCTGAGCCTTGTGCGCAGACCGACTGGGTACACAGTTTCGGACAGTCGTTAGCGTCACCATCATCATCAAAATACAGCGTGATGGGATTAATTGAGGGATTTTCTAACAATGTTAAAGGGAAATTAGTGGAGGAAATCTACCCCAAGGCCTCAAGGGGTTGTGTAAGTTTGAAACTATTGGCTAAATGAGATACCTATTCAGTGCGCACACACACCTTTTGGCAAGCAATTGCAATTTCCCATCATGCTAGCAACGATTTTATGTAGTTTCCAACGAATCAAAGATTACACGAACATCAGGGTTTCTCCTAAGAAAGTTCTGGCGATTTTGGAGAAGCTGGTACACCGTTTTATATAATTTAAAAATCTCAGGTGATATGCGAAGAAAATTGGGGTGGATTCCTGAAAGTTTGGCCATGCCTAACACGTCATATATGCGTGACATGCTTTCTTCACCAGTTTTGAGGCGTTGGTTGTGTCAGATGGAGCCGAAAACATGGAGACACAGAATTTCCTTGGTCTGAGGAGTGGAAAATTAATTATTTTGATTACTAAAACTTAAAATAAAACAATTTTATGGACTGCGGTGGTCGAGTTTCCCCTCAGATTCGGGTAGTGTTAAGTTATCGAAGTTGATTTCGCAAACAAAAAGGTCTGTCGTATTGACACGATTACAAAAATGATTCGCAATAAGACGCTAATCAAAGGTGGTTGGAAAAATCTGCCACTGAAAGCGGTACATCTTACTTCAATTTCATCAGACAATAAATACTCGAGTGGTCACGAGAAAAAAATTTGTACCAAGGATAGCAGGAAATTAATGCAGCCTTACATACTGCGATAATTTGGAAAATTCATGCATTATCACCCTATGAATCGGTTAGTTTCCTACACAAATCGCCCCAGAAGGACAGTTTGGTCTGAACAGCATCAAAACAAAAAAGGCGCCCGTAAACCTTACCCAAGTACATGAATTGCCCATGCATATACCAAACAAGAACTTGGCCTATGTGGACCGCTGGTAGATTTATGATGAAAGTCGCCCCACCACCTCACACGAGCTCCAGATACACTTTTCATTGCCAAAGATGGTTGCTACCATTACCTACTTCAAATTGGTTTTAAATGATGACAAGCATTAGAAGGCAATAAAAGTAGCCTCATGTCCCAAACACCATTACATAAGGATAGGATTTCACAGAGCCGGATCGCTGGCAATGCCAGTCGACTCACCGCCAGGTCGGCAGGGGAGCCAGGAGTCACCTGATCGACCAGCAGGAAGGGCACGGAGCGGGACGGTGGTTCACTGGAAGGCACAGTGGCGGTAAAATCAGTATTCATCCCTTCCACACCCGCTTGCGTCTTGGAGAGCAGACGTGCCGAAACTGCCTCCAACTGTTTCATCACTTCATTGTGGTCTGTGTTGAGGCCTGTAAATAGAAGAGATGAAACCAATAGACGCACTGTTCGGTGCGATTTGGGGCACGCTTCCATTGTTTTTAATGCAGAGAAAAAAAATATTTTGATAAATAGTGACTACCAAACCTAGTGGGGACTCAAAGTTGCACCTTCTCAGTTATCACTAATGTTCTTCTGAAGGTGGCAATATTATGAGGGTATGGAAAGATTGAGACTAGCGGCATGAGCAGAGTTTCACCCTACCAACACAAGAACCTTTCCCGGACACTTTGGAGACTGTACTGAGACTTACTCAAAAGTTATTAGTCAATGATGGACGATTTTTGGTTATGGGAAAACCTTGCATTTTAATTACCTTTCGTAAAATTTTACCCAAAGCAAAATAAATCAGATGAGGTACGAAGCATGGAGCATTCCTTCATCTCACTGCGTGGCCACTTTAACACTGTTCAACAAAATTGGGAGGTGTCAGTTCTTCGGATCGCAATCATCATCCACTGTTTTCAAATCAAGGTTACAAACAGCTCTTTTATGGATTATTTTGATTCAGTTCCACTAAAGGTCGCTCATAGAAAACTCAGAGAAGGGAATGTTTTTCAAAAGTTGACGAGGTTTCAATAACTCCGTTTTGAATTCCCACAAATTCTTCTACCCGCAATAAGTATCCTTCTTCCACATCATTTAGGAGTATTAGCCTACCCGAGAAATCGGAATCACTGTTATACGGGAGTGGGTTCGCCAATATTCGCATCACCGAGATATTGCTGAGGACATTAGAAGACGCACGAGTCTGGAAGCAGCTTTATTGCAAGCATATGGAAGGACTGATGGGCCGGGTAGAACAAGGAAGGGCGAAATGAATCAAGTTTTACGTCACCACTGTAGGGGTCAAATTGTGGGAAACTGAAAAGGCTCGTCCAGCAACGTACGCACCTCAGACAAGTACCATTCTACTGGAACATCATTCACGCACATTGAAGAAAGTTTCCGCCCCAAAGAGGAGCCATGATATGACCGAAAATCAAAGTAGCCACTATGGCCTGAACTTGTCAACAACCGCTAAACTTACTTTCAACAGCGGAGGGAAAGAGGCCTGCATTCAACAAGGCAAAGTGGTTCATCAAAAACTACCTATAAAAACTTCGAAAAAAGTGAAGGCTTAATGAAATATGATAGATGTAATGCCTCCCTCGTGTTACAAGACTAAGAATAGTCAGGGTAGGCTTCTGGACAATGAAGAGGAATGAAGGAAGTCAGACTGTGGCATCTAAGAACGGTCAGACATATGGTCCAACGGCAATCGGTTGGTCAAAGGGAAAATTTCCCTTCAAAACAGCTTCCAAACAGAGTAGAAAAACACCAAATTTCCATGAACACCATTCTCTAGTTATTGCAGATTTAATTGCCGAATGTTTATTAGGGACATCCGACCAGTTAACACATTGCAGGGGGAAAAAAGAAACAGAGATGGCACTATCCACGGTAGAATTGAGTTGAACAAAAAGGCAATCAAGTGACGTACAAATAATTCGATTGCGCGCGGTTCTCACAGCGACCACGTCGATGTCACTGCGTGGAAATCCCTCTGAGTCTAACAGAGGACCATGCATACCGACATTTCGGTTCTGTGAAAGAAACAATGGGGTGGATTAACTGTCAATTCGTCGTCAAAGGAACTTAATTAAACATCACCTACCCTTCACGGTGGTTTCTTCAACTCAGCGAAGATAAAATGTCCGATTTCGAATCAAGAGTCCGTCATACTTGGCCTTAGACATGATGTCACAGTGAAAGTGCACAGCGACAACATAATTTGTCTATCTTATGCGCTTGGTAGTGTAAGGTCGGTTGAATTTGGTGAGTGATTTCACAATACTAGGTACTATCTATGGTTTGTAAAGGCAGCTTCGTCTTGCAAGAGAATCAATTTGTTCCTATTGAATGATCTCACCTCTCAGAACGTGGTTTCAAAACCACCAACTACTACTAGGCACACTTTCGAAATGGTTCAACTCATAGTGACAAATTTATTCTGGGAGTGGACGTCTCCGACTTTGCACTCTTCCTGACTTTGGCATAGTAACGGTATTTTAGGTCTTATCTTCTTCTACTTATCAAGTAAGGCAATTGGACAATTCATACACAAAAGCATAATGTTCAATGTTTATGAATCGTTCGAGGTTTTCACTGAGAGATGAATCATAACCGACTTTAAAGAAAATACGAGAACTTACCCCCTCTAAAACAGCTGTATAAGTGTTAATTTCGTTAACAATCGCCAGGCGTTTCCTTTCCAGTTCTTGAAAAAGAATCATATCCGCTGAATTGTCAGCCATCCTTGCGTCTAGCAATAAGAGGGTCAATTTTGAAGCAGAGTGGTTTAAAAGCATGGTGAAGATTGTACCTAAAATTACTCTGGCTGCAACCCACTGAAAAAGGGCATTGGCTTTACCCTTTCTTGATATAAGGATTACTGCGAACAACCACCAGCAGTGATCGCCTCTTGGAAGATGAGACCCGAATATCATTTACTAGAGCTCAGGTGATCGTTTACAACCTCCTGTCTACATTTGGCAGTGTTTCCACACTGAAACCTAAATTGTTTCAATAGTTAAATGGACTCAAGTACGCGACTCCCAACCCTAAACTCTGTTTGATTAAGTTGCTAGAGATGGCCTTGTAATACATATTTCAGCTAAGAACCTGATCCCGATTTTATAGATGTCAAACTAGCCACAGCAGTCGCAAAACAAGGATCGTTAGAAGGGAACTAAGATAAAAATGATATTCGAGAAGGTAAACAGTAGTTGATGATAAAATATTTATTTTCGACGCTGAAAAGTGCTGCACATTAAGAGGGTTTAACCTCTCAGAAGTTGGGGAAAATATGGGCGAGGGAGGAGAGACCAGAGCAGACAGTGGTCTTATCCGGTGCACCGGCCAGAGCCTCGACTTCGCTCGCGATGGCAGTCAGAGGGATGAGACAAGTCAAGAGAGCGTCGAGGAGCGATGAAGTGACCTCCTCCATTGAAACAGGGCCCTTGAAACAAGAAGCAAGTAACCAAACTACTCACAAAATACAAGTAGACGAAGTAAGTAAATCTAGATAAAGAATTGTTGTAAATGCTCTTCTACAGCCCAAAAGTTCACTGACTAATGAATAGGGACATTTATCACAAAATTAATCACCACGTATGAAGCCTAGGCCGAGACCAAGGTGGGAAGTGAGTAATAGCTGAGAGGAATCCTAAACTACACACGAATCAGTGACAGCCTACCACTAGCAAATATTGCACGAATCCTTTGTCAACAGAAAGAGATAGGTCAAGTACGAATTTCTTAAACACCTAATGTAGCCAAATGTAAATGTAGGTAAGGTGGTTTAATTTTGAGAGCAAGTCATGAGGAAGATCTACGCTAGGGCCCAAGCGAAAGCCGCGACTGTATAAGCTTGCCATCGTGATTTAAGAGAATCCCATCTCAAAATTAGTTCTACGACTTTTTCCCGCATTTTATTTCAATCGCTTTAATCAGTGGAATAATGCGGGCATCTTCACTTCACGATCCTTGGATTTCGTGCTGTGGATTTCATGAAAATGTAAACTAGAACCAAGTTTCTCGAACTATGAGTTCAACAGACCGTGTGCAGATGCACCGCGGTTCGATACGTGCCAGTATTTTAAGGCATTTGAATAGCATCTTCAAAGATGGTGCAACCTATTTCTCACCAAATTTGCTTCCTACGGAAACTAGACACTTCATCGACATTGAGCCATCTGCGTTGTTGTATTGGTCTCTCAAAGGAACTCTTTCATCATAATTTTACGAAAAAATATGCGCTAAGAATAGTTGGAAAATAAAACGACACGCCGTCAAATGGGAGATTGTAACTGTTGGCAAGACTTAAGAAAAACTAGTATTTCACACAGAATATATATAAGGCAATTTTCTGGTAATCTGAGGCAAAAACAGACATTCTTAACCCTTTTAGCAGTAATTCCAAGAGCGCCTGTTAAAAGCTACGCAAATTAGTGGCTACAAACCTTTTCAGTTCCAAAAGACCAATGATAGTCAAAGTGAAGCATTAAATATTCCTAATGTTCAATCTTCCGTATAAGGAGATCAGAGAGGCATTAATAAGCCATGTAGGGCGATTTGTCAACAATTCGCCACCAAACGGGTAGTGGTAGTGATGAACTCACCCGGTACTCGCCCATGAGATCCGCAGCACTGGCAAAAACGTCTGAGAGGAGTTGGAAATGTGCGGCCAAGTCCATGAGGGAGTACTTAGAGGTCTCAGAGCGGGCCAGTTGGGTTTCTGCACGACGCAGCTCGTTTGCACGCTTCACTTCCGCAGCGAGGTTCTTCTCCGGCGCTGCCTCCACCGCCTTTTGCATCCGCCGCGCTCGCACTCGCCATTGCTGACGGTCACGCTCTGGCAGGGTTGACCACAGCGCCTAGATGCACCAAAAGCTCTCACTGTCACCATGTTATGGTCTATTGCTGAGGCGGACTATAAGACCATGTGCAAGCACAAACAACATGCCAGTCTATTTGCACCTAGCTGTGATGATAATCAAAAAAGTGTTTTGGAAAAGTACTGCCAGCTGCTCCAAGTGGCCGAACAAATTATTGCTAACATTAGGAAAGCTGATAGTCAAGTGAATCACGAGCCAGGTGTTGAGACTAGAAAATCCACGCAAGTAAGTAAAAACCACATAACTCCCTTGTTTCGAGCAATTTCATATATCGTAAATGTAACACAAATTGGTAAAATTCTCAAAAAAAGGTTTATTCAATATACCTTGAAGCGCAACGGTGTAGTCCTTGTGTGTTCCTATTTTTGCTGACTTTTGATCTAGGTCTCAAACAAAACAAGTTAACGAACCTTGTGAATTTTCCATACGATACTACATGCTCATGGTTCCAAACCGATCAACCACGGTAGTTATATGGACCATTTGAGGTGTATCGAAGTTTGGAAGAGGACTTTGGCAAAGTGTGATGTGGTGATAGAGTGCAATTCCATTGATAAATACAACAAACTTCTGAATTTTATGGGACCAGTTTCGATACTCCTCAAAATTCCTCCCACATGCATCACGAACTTAGGTGATCACGTCGCCAGAAAATTAGAACAATCAAGCAAACAGATGGGCAGTACCGAAAAAGGTGCCAAAGAGGTTAAATTAATTACTCCAAGCGTATTTGTCCAGTACTCACCTGCCAACGTCGATTCTGTGACTTCTGATCCTGACCCCCATCGTCGTTACTCACGCCGTACTTCTTCTTCATCGCCAAAGTGAACAACGTGTATCCATTCAATCTCCGATACGTTTTCAATGTCTGCGTGGAGATAAAATATTCATTTAAAAAGAGAAAAGGATAAGACTTGAAATTCCGCCGATACGCAAAAACAATGAAGCAGCTGAATGATCTTTAAAAGGAAGGAAAAATTAATATCTAGAATTTAAGGGATATGTACCAATAGTATTTCATATTTAATTTGTGACAATGAGGAAGATTTAGCAAATGAGCTTGAAAGAAGCTGCTATATAAAAATCCGTTAATAGTATTTGGACTTATAAAGCATAATTTTCGTGAAATTAACACAAACTTCAATGTCCAAATCGTCAACACCACTGCTCTTCATCTTCTTCGACAGAGGCCCACTTGCATTGCTGATGGGTTGATCACTTTCCAAAGCAGGGAACAGCACGCTGTTCGGGGGAATCGGTTCTAAAAAAAATTCCTTACGTAAAATGTCCAATTGGCCAAGTCTTTCCTAAAATTAAGAGGCAAATAAACTCACCCTCCGCTGACAGACTAAACGGCGGAAGGGAAGGATCAGTTGGGAGAATGGGCCTTTTTCGTGGAGAGGGCAGGTTCTAAAAACAAAGAGTAAAAGAATTAGTGGCAGGGAAAGAATGAGGAGGAGGAGCAGATGAAAACTCAAAATTGTACTGCATTAATCTCGGGCATTCTGAAGGTGGGTGTACCACCTTCCCGCTGCCAAGAGGAACGGGAAGAAGATGCGACAGGGGTGGAAACCTTGCCACGTCCACGTTGCCGGCCAGTGCGTCCGCGGCCCTTGAGCAGAGGAGAACGAAATTCCATATCGCCCTCTCCACCCTCTCCTCCAGTAGCAGGCGAAACAGCAGAGGAAGAGGGGGGAGGGAAAGAGGGAGGTGGGAAGATGCCACCACGACCCACCACTGCACCGGGGAAGGGCAGGTTGTTAGGCGGTTCCTCGGGCACCTGGATATGTCGCAGACGACCGTCCTCCCATACTAGCGGGCGCGGCGCCACGCCGCGAGAGCGCACTGCTCCGTAACCCCGGCGATAGATAGGGATGGTGCCGCGCTGTGGCTGTGCATTCGACTGTGCAGCTGTGGGGGTATCGCCTTGATGGGGAGTGGCTGTAGAATCCTGTAATTGAGTGTTCATAGTGGCTCGTGGCTCGACATTATGAAAGTCTCAGCAAATGAAGGGCCGGATTCTAAATCTTTAAGTCGTGTATAGCATTTCAGAACCTGAACACCTAATCACATTAGTAATCCATAGATAAGAAACAACCTTTTAAAGTGAAAATCCCGCTGAATTGGTTAGAAAAACTGAAGTCTGTAACACTGTAATAATACTTCAAAGTAGTGACATTTCCCAACTTGAAAAAAAAACCGTTTTAATGAAAAATGACATGCCAAACCAACAGTGCAAGAAAAACGCACACTACCAAAATAAGTGCTCACTTCACTTAATCATCTAGCAATCGACCACGTCAAATATTTGAGATCGAGACACCGAACTTTAAGGGAATTGCAAATAAGAACCAGCTAGCAAAAGTAAACCTTTCGGGTTGCTCAAGAAGCTATGGCAATTTATAATTAGGAACCTACTTCTAAAAAACAACTAGAACCCGGGGATAACTAGGAGAAACAAGTCGTACATACTACCACGTTTTGTTGGTATGCACCGCATAACTCCTATCGTAAGCTGGCAAAAAGCCGCGCGAAAAAGTAGACCAATAAACAAAAAAAAGCTCAAAAAGGGCAAGCAACAAGTTCTGCGACCATACCTTTAAAAAAAGGTAAGACAAAATAACAAGGGGTTCGAACAAAAAGACACTTCTTTGAAAGAAAAGTGCACTACAAATGCAACTTGACCTACTTCAACGATAGGAGAGCGAGCAGTTTACTCTCTTACATTCAAATGAAGTGGGCTCTCACAACCCAATTTTCAAATCGACTATCTTTAAAATATGCTCTCTTAGTAGGATGTTAACAGAAAACTGTTTCAGTACCCGATCAACACAAACAAAGCATCTAAAAAAATGAATCTTGGTCGTAAATGAAATGCATTAATGACTTCATGGAAGCAAAAAGCCGTACATTCATAGCCAAAAAAACCAACGACAAGTTGATCAAACAAGTTAAAGAATAACCAGGCTGACAAGTCAATGTGACTGCTCATTCAAGGATAAATAGCTAGGCAGTGTTTTTTTCGTCCAGCAGGGGCATATCATTGGAGTAGTCTTGATCTTTGAGAAAATTAACAGGAGAGAGAGGATTGATTGAAAGATTTAAAAAAATTAATAAAATGGACCCTATGCCCTATACTAATTCATTGAACCCAAAATTTTCATTTGAAATAAATACATCATTGAGAAGAAACTAAGACTGTAAAATTCAGACAGGCACGAAATAAAAGCAGATGTCCATTTGCAGTGCTGATAAAATGAGGTTTCTTGGGTCTAGCAGTGTAAAAAATTAAATAGGCTTTTCGAACCGCAAAATTCCGATCCTTTTGGCTTACACTGGAGGCAAAGCTACATTGGATCGAATGACTGTACAGCACACTACACCTGCAGTCTCAGTGCGATCTACTCCTACCAGCCGTGATGAAAAGACTGTCCCAATCCCGCATATCTTATCACTTAGGTAACCCTCGCAATGCAGACGCGTCAAGACCGCCATCCGCTTGCCTAACGAAACAGCCGCGCCGCCACGGAAAGCACATTCGTACAGGGCCCAACCGCTCGTGGACCGGAAGCGGAACGGGAACCAGGCAGCCACCCCTCCCACTCACCCCAGGCGGCAAGACCGGGAAACGGCCAGCCAGCCCAACACAGCACACCAGCGCCGGGCGAATGGAGAACCCACCCCCCGCGGTAGTAAAACAACACTGTCCAGAGTTAACCCACCCAACCGCAAAAATTGCATGCCCAGAAAATCAAAGTGACGAGACATCTGTATTGTCCATAAACAGCACAAACGGCACGGCACAGCGAAAACCTAAGGTAAGTAGAACACCAAGCGCGTCAAAAAAACTAGGTAGATGCGCTAACAACGGGAAGAAACGTGGATCGTAAAACCATCAAGTACCTCCACGCGATGATGTGTTCCACATACCGAAGGAATACCTGAGAAGAAGCATACCATACGTGAATGGAACAGGCCGAAGAGAAGCGCATCAGACTAACGTGCAAAATCACCGGTCAGAAACACGGACCAAGTTATCATCACGTACCTTCCCCTCGTGCTTGAAGACCAAATTTATGTCCATAGCAATCGTTCCCACACTCTTCAATCCTAACGCATCTACCGACAGAAAAAGGTAATAGCAATATGGCAGAGCACCAAAAGGTCAGAAAGACTAACTAAGAATCATTGATTCAAAACGGGGCAAATTTTTCATCAAAAAATGCATACCATCTCCGACGAGACACGACACCCCCACCTCACCAATTGCACGGCGTGAACAATCCTGATACGGCGTGGTAGCCCGTATATGAAGGCGCACCAGAAACACTTAAACAAAGCATCTTAGAATAGAAATATTCGCCTGCAAAAAGTTTACCTAATTTATTTTAATATTTGCGTACTTCAAGTCAAATTTTTTTAAAAAGGAGGGACGTGGTCTTGTTTTGGACATAACTTACGTGGAACAAGAAAATGTGTACGATTAAAAAAGGGATGAAAAGCCTGGTCTTAAATTGTGATACTAGACTAACCTCTCATGTAAAGTTGGCCTAACTAAGCACTTAGCAGTACGTGACTTACAGTGTAAGGTAATAATTTATCACATCAATTAAAAAATGTCCGCTTGTCACAAAGGTGCTCAGAAGTTTTCACCTTCGCATAGTCCACTTTAAACACTGCAAACCCATCGGCCTTGTTAAGAGAAAAGGCTGTCAACAAACCACTGTCCTCGTGGTGTCGCATGTGGCAGAGATTTGGCGGATCTACTATCCGACAAGCTTTGTCAGTGAAGTTAGTTTAAAATAGTGTGGCGTCTCGAGACTTCCCTGAAGACGAAACAAGACATAATTGTAGCGTCCCGAGACTCCTTGAAGATGAAAGAAGACAATACTCGGGCAGAATATGTATTCATCGCAGAGAAGGTGTCTGGGCTATTGGCATGGCCCAAAAGGCCAGCCTACCCAGCGAGGTACAAGGGGGCTAATTCAAAGTACAAAAGTGGCGTCTCACCAATACCGAGGGATAAACCACCATTGTATTGCATAATACTTGGGCATAGTATATGTTTCTGGCATACAGAAGATAATAGAGCTACTCCCATGGCTCGAAGGCCACTCCACCTGGCACGGTACAATGGCCAAGTCAAAAGTGACTCCTCACCAAAACAGAGAGTTAAACAACCAACATATTACAGCAGTGCTTTAAATGGTTCATGCGATTACGTCCCAACTTAGTCAAATATGTTTTGGCTGTATTGTTTGATCACTGTTTTCTATAGAAGAAGCATGCGTCGCAATGAGGTGACAATGATTTACAAATAAGTCCACCAGTAAATGTTTCCTTTAAACTCTAGCTGTTCAAATCGATAAAAAAGAGGTAAAAAGGTGGGAGCAGTAACAAGTCCATAAGCGTCACTCTACTCTCAGCTATCATCACCCAATCTTCGAGCCATACTAGCAAATTAGAATTCATCTCTTTCCTATAAATGCGTTTTGGACACTCTTTTAACATACTAATGCTTCATTATAAACAAAGGAGGCCAACAAAGCATAAAATGCAACTTTATGTATGTATGTATATGATGTATAAAACTTTGGTTTGCTTGAGTTTTCGTTTTAGCTAAGTAGACACTCAAGATTCCGCCTTTGTACTTCCATTGTAGAGCTGGGCCTTTGGCCATACACGAAGCGCACGCAGACCCTCTCCACGTCGCAAATGCACCTGTAGCTCTAGTATTACGTCTTCTTTTGTATTCAGATTAAAAATAGTGGCTGCCCTTGGCGACCCCTTCAGTTCCATATTTTATAGTAATGCAGTCAACATCTACAAAGTCTTGGTGGCTGTGAATTGCCTGTGAAACCTCACTGAGGAGCTGTATGCGGCACCTGTATGAAGGTGGCGGTTTTAGTGGACGTACGATACCTCATTCACATCTCTACTGGCTAGGCAGAACCCAAATAATTATGATTGGGCATAGCTAAAGTGAGTACATTTTGGCAAGGAGAAGCAGATGCAAAGCCTTTTGTCTGCATAACCATTATAAGACCTGTTATATATTCGTTGACTCGCCTTTAGGTTAATGTTTCCATCACTAGCTGTAGACACACGTCCAAGGCAAGAGTATTACTCCTTTCCTCAAAACATTTTATTTAAAATAGAGCTGAATATTGAATAAAAATTACAAAAAGATTAGTGGCGCCCCGGCCAGCTATCTACTCATTTGCACGCAAATGCCGTGACAGGCACTACTGCCTCGTGAATGCTTTTATTACAGCACCGAATATGTTGTGATGGCCAACGATGAAGGCCTACTAAGTGACTTGCCGGGACCGATGCTCAAAAGGAAAGAAGTTTTCGGGACACCTACAGTTCCGTGATTAAGCTTCTGCTTGGAAACATGTATTCGAGGCGATGTGGGGAACTCCAGCCCTTATCTATTTTAACACTACATGTTTCATTCCGCAAAAGTGACTTCTTTCGTCTTCAAGAAAGATTTGGAAGGCATCAGCATATATTTTGCAACTATGGAATTGCACGTGTTAATGCTACAGCAATGCTTTATACGCTTAATTCCCAATTTTGATAATGGTCCACTTAGGAGCACCGCCATTGTACCTCCGCCAGAAGGCCTGCTCCTGGAACTCGCTAATAGTTCCAATTTCTTCTCTATATAGGCAGCGCGTATTATTATGCCTTTCGTCATGTCAGGAAAGACCCAAGACACTACACCATTGCACTCATTCCTTAAATTAAGTAGTCATAGAATTAAAAACTTGAAAAATCACTGTTTACTTAATTTAAAGGAGATGCGATAATGCTCGCATATTATTCCTTACATCTGGTTACAATATGTGGCCTATTCCCATTGTATCTAATAATGGTGCAAAAAATGGTAAAACTAATGCAGAATTCGGTAAACTCTGAGAAAGCCGTTAGCATTTGCATTTATTATACACATTAAACATCTCAATAACCTTACCGTTGCATTACTTCCTAATCATTAAACTTTTAAAATTTCTTTAAAGTTCGCATGTTTTTGACCATGCCTTGGGCTCTAATTTGAGTGTAAATAACGCGCAAGAATTTTAAGAAAAATTATTTGTTATGAGATTCTAATATTTCAATTAACTTCTGGCTGTTGCAAGTAACTCATTTACGAATTAATGTAAACAAAATTTGTTTAACTGAGCACGTGCATTGGCTTTCCGTCTCACATCCTCACAACTGCGAGTGTTGGCGTTGAGCGTGGCAGGATGGGGAAGGAGAAGACGCACATCAATCTCATTGTTATCGGTCACGTCGATTCTGGTAAATCGACTTCCACGGGCCATCTTATTTACAAATGTGGTGGGATTGACAAAAGAACTATTGAGAAATTTGAGAAAGAGGCGGCTGAGGTGCGTTTGCGACTTAGTGTGTGCACTTTGTAGATGGGCAAGTCCTCTTTCAAGTACGCGTGGGTGCTTGATAAGCTCAAGGCTGAGCGTGAGCGTGGTATCACCATCGACATCGCCCTCTGGAAGTTCGAGACTCCGAAGTACCTCGTTACCATCATCGACGCGCCCGGTCATCGTGACTTTATTAAGAACATGATTACGGGCACCAGCCAGGCGGACTGCGCAATTCTGGTTGTTGCTGCTGGTACTGGTGAGTTCGAGGCAGGTATTAGTAAGAATGGTCAAACGCGCGAGCATGCGCTTCTCGCCTTCACTCTGGGTGTGAAGAAGCTCATCATTGCGGTCAACAAAATGGATGCAGTTGATTACAGTGAAAAGCGCTTCCAGGAGATTAGTTCCGAAATGAAGGCGTACATTAAGAAGGTGGGATACAACCCCGATACTGTAAATATCGTCCCAATCTCCGGTTGGGTCGGCGACAACATGCTGGAGCCCAGTCCTAACATGCCTTGGTATAAGGGGCCCACGCTTCTTGCCAGTATCGATCTTGTCGAGCCTCCAACTCGTCCCGTGGACAAGCCCCTTCGACTTCCTCTTCAGGTGAGGCCTTTTTAATGGGGTTTACTGTCTAGGATGTGTTTAAAATTAGCGGTATTGGTACTGTTCCCGTCGGCCGTGTCGAGACTGGCATAATGAAGCCGGGTATGATCGTCACATTTGCTCCTGTCGGCATTTCAACCGAAGTGAAATCAATCGAAATGCACCATGAAGCCCTATCCGAGGCCGTCCCCGGAGACAACGTTGGCTTCAACGTGAAAAATATCTCTGTAAAGGACGTTCGTCGCGGTAACGTGGCTGGTGACTCAAAGAATCACCCTCCTCGCGAGGCTGCAGAGTTCACCGCCCAAGTTATCGTCCTCAATCATCCTGGCGAGATTGGTGCCGGCTACACTCCCGTTCTGGACTGTCATACTGCTCACATCGCCTGTAAGTTTGCCGAACTTAAGGAGAAAATCGATCGCCGTACTGGTCAGGTCAAGGAGACTAACCCTGCGAAGATCAAATCCGGTGATGCGGCCATCGTTAGAATGGTGCCCAGCAAACCAATGTGTGTTGAGGTGTTCTCGGAGTTCCCGCCTCTGGGTCGCTTTGCTGTTCGTGACATGAGATCGACTGTCGCTGTAGGCGTGATCAAGGCTGTAACCTTCAAGGATAAGGAAGCCAAGGCCACAAAATCTGCCCAGAAGGCCGCCAAGGCCAAAAAATAAGTTCTTTTGTATGCCAATAAAAGTTTAGTGGATGTGCGATTTATCACTGTGCTCTGCGACAGGTACTGGGTTAAGACCAGCTTGGGTTTTGCGGATTCCGCTTCTGGGTGGGACTGTTCTCCAAGCGCGGGATGGCGCGTGGTTCTTTGTCTCTCGTGCCGGTGCGCTGCCGCCGTTCAGGGCTCTCGCGGGCTTGCTCTCGGTGGGGTCCGGTTAGTGGCAGGGTGTAATGCGCGGGGTGGCCCGGTCCCCCCACTCCCGCGCTACTTCTGCCTTTTTCGTCTGGGTTCTAGCTCTTCGTTCTTACGTTACTGCTCCTAGCCCGCAGCAAGTAGTTTCTCGTGCAAGCTGGGGCGACCGTGGAGGCTTTGTGTCTAGAGTGACGTCAACGTTTGTTTTTGGGCGATGGTCGGCATGCCCTCCACCGGAAACCGGGACGGTGTGGTTGTGACAGCCTTGTGAATCCAATGATTTAGCGAATTTGGTAGATGGGTTCCGCAGATATGCCGATTGATGGAGCCCTTAGGTGCGCTCTTTTTCCTTCGGTCACTGTCATACCGTCGGTTGCAGACGATTAGGATGATGGGTTGTTTAATTTTCAGAGTCAACGTCCAATGTCTGCCCATCCCTAATTGATTAAACTCTTATTTTCAGCTTTCGTATAACTGTTAACTCTCTCGATATTATGCTAAGTTAACCGAGAAGTCTGTTAAAATAAGAGGGTAGCAAGTGCCTCTGACCACCTCCACGCAGCCTCTTGTAGGGTGAGCCGCCAGACCGAGTTAAACGGCCTAGGGACTAAAAATGCGTGACAAAGTGAAAAGGGTGTGATAATCGCGGCAACACCACGCGTTATCAATGCCGTCCGTGATTGGCTGAATTAGAACCATGGCTTTAATCACCTCTCAATTTGAGGTGTGATGAAGGTCTACCAAACGCACTTTTAGTTTGCTTTCTTACTGCTAACTTGGTAGGCTCTGATGACGCACACCTTTTCGGCATCCACAGTTATGTCGGTTGGCTAGCCTTGATCTCAGTTCATGCTCGCTATGCCAACGCCGTCATCGCTGGCTGGCTGGCTGGCTGGCTGCAAGGGGTGTGCACACGCACACACACGCGGTGGCCACGCTGCATGCACGTGGCGCGTGACATGACTCGCCAATTGAAAATCGATAAAATCGCGCGAACGCAACCCAGACCACACGCACGCGCGCACACATGCGCTGCATAGACGTGTACGAGTGTGTTCACACACGCACTGCGCGGCACGCGTTCCATCTCAGTGCACCCGCTGGCACGCCAGAAGCAAGGGGATCTGTGACAGGCTAACGTTAAGGCCTATCGATAAGTTCGTTTTTACGTAGGGCTCGGATTTTAAGCAATGAACGCTACATCCAAGGCTTGGATCAGCCAACAGTAGCAGTTTGAAAGGGGAGTTAGTATTCACTTTAACTTGTGCGGGAAATCAGGGACCCATGGGGTTTATTTGCTATGGCGCCAATGCCTGTCACAAGACTTTGTGAGATGGGGAGTCACCAGCCTGGGAGAGTTTGCTTCATAGTTATGTTTTATGCGTGCCTATACTTGAATGGTTGTTTACCCTTCCTACCGCACCCTCCCATGTTGTACCCAAGCCAAATTGTTGAACACTCAAAAGCAGAACATTAACAGGCTTTAGCCTTGACCCAGAGAAGAAAGTAGTCGCTGTTCCTGTCATCTTAAAGATAATAATTCAACACTTGCAGTATGACATGGTTTGGAAATGGTCTTTTAGTCAAATGGAATATTCGAGAGGGTCAAACCAAACTTTACGAGGTTGGCCTAATGCAGTGTTTCAATTAATACAAATTGGCGCCATTTGGTTGTAAACATTCAGCTAGCTAGCCTACTATTCTCCATTGACATTTAAAAACAGCAACCATGCACCGACTCGAATGCCTTGTTTCCTTACGCCAACGTGGCATGCGTCTGTGGTTGTATGCATGGTAGCTTTTCTTGCAAGAGTGGACTCAAGAAGCGAGGTTCCCCTGCCTGAGGAGTGGTGTAAGCAGCACAACAACCCACATTGAGGAATCGGTATGTGTACATACAGCATACAACAAATAGGGAATTAGCCGTTGAACCCAAGTAACCGAGTTACACGCCAAAAACATGTTTCTACTAAAAGGCGCGATGACCGGTGACCGGGATGCACACGCGCGACCATGGCACCGTGGTGCTTTCTACAAGTACTGTGACTACAATACCACCTAAAATTTAGTGAGAATTACACTTAGATTCAAAGGAAAAAATATCCTAGCTTAATGAAAATCGCGTAAGCTAGGGAATCGTTAATCAGTTGAATTACTCATCAAAATATGATTTTTGGCGACTCTACTTATATCTGTTAAGTAACATTGACCGCAGTTTCGCTCTTAAGATTGTGAGCTCATTCAAGCAAGTAATATTTATGTGAAATCACACTATTATTAAAATTTATTTGTAAAAATTCGAATCCCGCATGCGTGCATGCATGGACTAGGCGAAATTGTGAGTATTCGAGGAGGAAAATATGCTGGACCAGTTGGTTACAACAACAGAGGAGAGATGAAGTGAATTTGAATGACAGTAGGCATAAATGGGAAGAAGGAAAATACGATGAACGTTACCTGTAAAACTTGCGAAATGTGCCTCTCACTCAGATATCCTGAGAAATCAAGTTTACGACCAGAATCTAGGGTTACTAAATAAATGTGATATTGCATATAATTGCAAAACGCGCTGCATTGCCAAATTAGGCTTCTTCTTTTCTATGACTTAATCCTCTCTCCTAACGTCATGCTGGCACCTTGCATGTGTTATGCGACCATACTGCATCCCAAAGTAAAAATTTTACTTAATTCAATTAACCAAAAGAATTTCTAGGCGTTGAAGCAAATGGGGTTATATTCACTGCTATTCACTTATACACATCTTTTATGCGCCAGAATTTGTTACCAAAGGAAGACGGCTGCAGTCTTGCAGTTAATCCTTCCTCTGAGGTAAACCGCGTACATCAGCTACACCCGCGCTTGTCACATTTACAAAATATTCATTTTCATCATGCAGGTTTGTCTATTTGCAGAATTCACGCCTCATCTACAGCTAATGCTCTGTTTGCTGGTTGCACGGTCAGCAGATGGCCCGATGTGCTTGCTGGTCCAGCATATTCTTGCAACACCGCCTCGTGCAAATGTAAGCATAAAATTCACACCCTGGCGTGACATTTCAATAAGGGTAGCAGTTTAATCAGGAAATGCTCATATTACAAATATCCATCACGAATCCTCCTACAATAATTAAGTAAAAGTCAGAGTGATATGAAACACATGCATTTTTTTTAACGTAATATGAAGGTAAATGACAATTTAGTGTCGGGTGGAGAACAGAAGGAAAGCCCATTGATCAATCCGAAAGACAATGAAACCGAGTTCTTGGTGTGTGACGTAGCTAAAATAGAAAGGAATAGAGATAGGCCTACGTATTTGGGGAAAGTGTCAAAGCAGATGTTAATAGGCCTACACTCATTCCTTTAACACAATTTTCACGACCACTGGCTCAGTTTGCCCACGAGGTCGGGTTGTGTTTAACCAATTGAATGAAGACTCAACAATAGTTGATTAGCTGACCTAATAATTGTCAATATGTCTCTCAGTAGCAGTGCGCTATCAATGGAAAAGGCCTCAATGCGCGGCAATGCTCGGCAATAGTAATACGAATCTTTGCCGTACAAAGCAAGTGTTATGTGGTGACACAAATTTCAAATAATTCCTTAATGAACAAGCCTCCTGCCTATTACTCGCATACAATAGTTCTCACTGTAATACCTTAGACATTTGTTTAACTCTTCATTTTGGTTTGACAGCTGTTCCGAGCTCTGGCTTTGTAAATCCACTAGGTGGCGTTGCCGCCAGGCTAGGTCGGTAATCCTGGCGTTTCTCTGCATCGCAGTTCGTACTCTCCTCCAGTATTGTCTTTGTTCGTCTCTAGGAATGACTCTGGGGCGCTACATTGGTGACAACGGAGATTAAACACCAGCCTAGGTGACAACTTCTCTAATTTTTACTGCTGTGGGCATATGCTGCCGATGGGGAAATCTGCCATGACCCCTAACAGAAGGATTGAAAATGATGTCTACCTTTGGCAGCTACCACAGCCTATTAGCAACTGAAGCAATACTTGCTGTGGCCGTGAACCATCCGGAAAAGTTCACTTGGAACTGTCTATGATACATGTATGAAGATGTCAATTAAATGAACACGGGATGTCTCATCCACCTCTCTAGTAGCCGGGTAGAACCCGGATAGATAGTTAGATATGGCTGAGCAGCATTGAAGTGAGAATAAAGCGGCATGGAGGAATAGGCGCGAAACCCTATCCCCATATAATTATTTTAAACCCTATCCCATATTAAATGGCTCTGCTTTGGGGCCGGTATTCTTGTGACAAGCAATGAACCTACAAAATGGGTATTCCGTTCCCCCTTCTCCCAATACAGTGTCCAATTTGGACGAAACTCCAGATTCCGGCAGAATTACCAGGATGAATCAATGATCTCGCGGTCGGCTATCCCCTCAGTTCTGCACAGATTCAATGACTGATGCGGTTGGTTTGTGGGCGTTTTTACATACAGCTTCGATTACATCATGATAGCAAAAGCGGGGAGGCTGACCATGGGGAGGGGGACTATTTGTAATACTTTAATTCTTTGTTTAACTCTGTTTTGGTTACCTGGGCACTTAAGGTATGGCCTCCAGCCCTTGTATACGTCGGCAATACATGTTCTGCCCAAGTCACATGCCTACTTTTGCCCTCGGAGAAGTCTCAGGACTCTACACTTACAACTACTGATCGATTGGACAACTTTCTATTTGACATGATTCTAATATTTGGAAGTATCTCATTTCTGACTAATCAATTAAACATGGGTCGACTAACTAAACGTGTCTTAACTAAAGAGAACCGCGACAACAAGGTAAGGAGCTGGACGAACATCCCCGTAGCAGAAGAAGTACGGCAATTAATTGCTTATCATCACATAGAATGTAGACGATAGAAAGAGGTATACTAATTCTAAACATTATTTGACCAAATGAAGAGATGTAAAAGTGTTTTATTTCGATTCAACACCCCTCAACCTATTACGCTTTTCATTCAGCCTTAAAGAAAGTGATTCGCACAAATCCAACTCAGTTACACCAAAAGTTATCTAAAAACTAAGAATTTGGTGCACAAAGCAAGAGATACATACGTTTTAAAAGCCCCTAGCACATACCAGAAAAGAAGCAACTTCAACACAGTGCTTACGGTAGTTTAAAAACACGCCTTAAAGGCCGGTCTTAGTCCGCAACAGAGACCTATGCAGCGAAACAGTTAAATAGAAGGTAATGGTATCTAGGCTTCTGCCAGAGAGACAACTCACTGTTGTGTTGTCTTTTGGCCTGGTATTTGTAGCCCTCCCAAAATGAATCGCAGCTCACCTGCCGAAATCTCGTCCCACTACGCAGTGCCACAGAGGACCGTACTTCTCGTCGAACTGCTTCTTCACATAGGCCGCAACGTCTTTGCGGGTTGAAAACTGCCTCAAGGCCTCCTCGGCTGTCATCGCGGCGTAGTTGAGCATCTCCTCAGGCATGCAGAAACACTTGATGGTCACTCGGACGTCCCTCTCTGGTGAGGCTGTAATGGGCAGCATCGACTTCGACGATGGTGATTCCTCAGATTTTGTGCTTTTATTCCTCCGCATTGGATGTCCCTCCCGCTCTCTTTTGCTGTGAAAGTGTCGTCTTTGTGGTGTGTGCGTGATTCGCGCTCGAGATCACCCGCATGCGTTGGTGCTCAGTACTCTCCAACAGACAAATCCAGATTCATGCATGTGACTTTGCTGCTGTTGTTACGGCTGCTGCAGGTCAAGCATCATTTGTGTGCGTCTAAGGTCACTTACCGGGTGCTTTAGAAGTTAGTGAACTTTCTGAAGGTTTCATCGGATTCTCCAGGTATACATTATGGGTATGGTGTGGGAATATTCACATTTTCTTCCGACAGGTTGGTTTACCTTCCAATGGACTTGTTGCTACCTGAATTAATAGTTGTTTCATTTACGAACCCTAGAAGAATATCCGTTGAATACCAAATATTAGGTGGGGAATAAGAGAGATTGTGGCTTCGGGTTTATTCCCAGAGGTGCAAAGGGGTTGGGTAACTAGCAGCGTTGGTGCCACGAGCAGCGCTCCGTGCGACCGATGTGGTAGCCGAATCGCCAGACTGAAGAGGACACCACGACCCGAATTAAGGTAAATATTTTCCCACTACGAAGACATGGAGGCTTGGTGGCTTCATATAAATTCATTTTACTACACGAATTGTCTGGCCAATGAAAGTTGGTTTGTTGCCACATCGAAAACACCTGAAAGTAGTTGTTTTATAAACGCACAGGAGGACTGGACGACCAAAGCTCCAATTCGCCGGCACAAAGACCGATTTGCAGGGGACGAGTGAGGACATAATTGATCAAAAACACAAGTAGAGCCTCTGCTACTTTACCAGTATGGTATGTGTATTAGTTAAATCGTGCGCATAAGCAACTGCGATTGCAGTTTCACCATCTTCAAAGTCATTTGTGACTCATGAGGTGAATGGTTGCAAGGCAGTGAAATCAGGGCGGTCTTGGGGCGCAACATTGATGGCAATGGACAGCGAATCTGATCCTAAAGATCAGCAATCCCGACTTTTGTTACTGAATGATAAATCTTAATGTGGCAGAAGAAGGTTTTACACAGCGCATGGGAGAATCTGTAAAGACACCCTTAAAGAAGAGCTGAGAACGATGTCCATCTTGGACAGCAATTCCAATTCCATGTTCTGCGGGAGTATTGTTAACAACGGAAGCGATACTATCCGTAAATCACCTAAAAACCTTCGCTACAGAGCTGTCTACGGTGCCTGGATAAAGATGGTAATTAAGTGAAGACGCAATACCTCCTCCACATCTCTATTATTTAGATAGAACACAGATAGATATAGCTGGACAGCATTGAAGTGAGAATAACGTGGCAAAAAGGAACAGCCACGAAACCTTATTCCCACGAAACCATTTTTAACACCGTCCCTTAGTAAATGACTCTGCATTCAGGCCGGAGTTCGCACGACTAGCTATGGACATACGTGATGACTTGCACATTCCTCATTCCCCAATATGGTTGCCAAACTGGGCAAAAAACCCAGATCCAGTGGAATTACCAAGAAAGATTAGTGACGTTGCAGCCAGGTATCTGCGGCTGGTTCGTGGGTGTTTCTCTCTCGGTGTTGACTACCCTGTGGTGACCGAGGCAGGAGACTGACCAAGGGGAACGGTGGGGTCGAAACTCAAAGAAAGAGGAGGGCTATGCAACACATCAATTACCTGTTTAATTTCTTGCTTTGGTTACTTGAACACTTAAGACCCCACCAGGCCAGTGGTCCCAGCCCTTCTTCACCATGCCAATACATATTCTTCCCCGGTGTTGTGTCAGCTTTCGTCTCCAGGGCAGTGTCAGGGCGCTACACCAAAAAGAACTTTCATCGGGCACATTGCAAATTTTTCCGTACCTATGTCTTCACTGCTTTGTTTTGTGTTGAGGTAGAATAGGAATTCAAGAGTAATTTCTAGGATCTCGTATAAATTTTAAAATGGCTTAAGAAGATGGTAACTGCAAACGAAGTATTAATTTTATAAACAGTTTGAAAGTAAAAAAACAAAAAAACCAGACTGAAGTCCCTGAGCTGTCGACGTCCCAGTTTAACACCTCTAGACATCAGATATTCCATGATTGGGGTCTTAAGTTGCAGATATATCTGTTGAAAAAGTTGGATGAGATTCTGGATGAAGGGAGACGGTCGAAGGTGGCTATAGGTGTTACCTTTAACACTGCATACCCTTCTCAGAGTGGCAAATAATTCTTGCTTATGCATCACTAATGCCTTCATGAGGTCGTTAGACCAAGCCAAATAGGTAACAGCAGGTCAACAGCCCAAATGTGCCACTCATCGATTGTCTTGGCAATTTGACAATTTTCAAAAGCTTCATTATAATTTATTTGAGACAAAAAAATCGGAATTTTAAAGTAGGACATTTGTATTAGTGAAATAGAAGCTGCAGTAGTTCAAACAATTTGTGCATCAATTTCACCCAGCTTTGAAAATGTGGATTGTGAACTTATTCTTTTTCCCGTAGAAGAACTTTTCATCCTCCACCGTAATCCCAATACAATTAAGAAAAAGGCTTCACTTTATGCCAAATGCGACCGCCGCAACACTTGCCAAAACTTGATGGGTCATTTCGATCTGGGTAAAGTGAGAGCGTTAGGTCAGAGATAAGGTCACGGGAAGTGTAACAAAAGGATACCGCTTTGAATGAATTTTAATAAGACAAAAAGTGAGGTTGTACGGCGTCATCTTGCAAAATCAGCTCCGACAATGACCTGCCAGGGCCCATCAAAGTGGGCCTCCATTTGATCCTTAATGGAAATAGCGATCTCCTTCGCCTTATCGCTGTTCCTTGTGGCGTTGGCAATTGCCACCAGAGCACCTGCGGTGAACTCATCGGTCAACCAGTCGCTCATGTTGTCAGTGCCTTCGTTGAATTTACCGATGCCATTGAATGCTGAGTGCATTCTCTAGGCCGGCCAATCACTGGAGAGGGCGTGGACTTTGAAACAATAAATAATGAATAGGGACAAGAATCATGTTGGTAAGAATTCGATGCTAATGGCTGCGACAAATACTGAAGTCTTCACAGGTATTTTCATTCTCAAACATGTACATGTGAGGTGATCAGTAGACGCGCTCCTTACTGAGGCATGGAAATCATGGTGGACAGGAAGCATGTTCCATTGGGAGGTAGTTAGTGCCGGATTTATCGCCATATTAAACTAGGAAACGAGACTATCCGGAATTTCACCTTCGATATTTTGATTTTTACTGTTACTGCTTCAACCTTCGATAAAAATTTGCAACTACCACCTATAGGATAGACTTTGGCAGGGTCAGCAAAAAGGGTAACAAGAGGTGCCGAGGTCCGGCTCGTCTTTACGGCATTACAAGACACATGAGTCCAGCAGAGCACCTTTATCGGAAAAGCACAGAAAGGCCGAGAGGCCAGACATAGAGCTCCACACTACCAACGTAGCAACGAGAAGGGCACGTGAATTTAAGCAGGTGCTTAAGGAAAAAGCGTTCCGTTGCCAAAGGCTCGATCAGCCAATGTCCTTGATAAAGTGAACTCCACGACAATACGACAGGTGGATTGGGGCCATTGCGCTCTGGATCGCTGTCATGATATATTCAACACAACAAGCACGTCATTTAGAGTGACTAAGATCAGTTATTTCAGGTAAAAAGATCCTAAAAACAACTTACTATTTTGTTATCAGCACACGTAAGGACAACTGTCGAAAGCATCCAAGCCGTCTACTTTGAATGGATGTCATTGCGCTTAGTATCAGAAGTATAGGAAAACCAACTTTTGATCATAAGTCAGATCTTTTGCATTTAGTGATCTAATCTTTCAATATTATCTCTTCGAATTTCGTCCGGATGGAATTCAGTTGTAGAACGTTCACAGAGACAATTGGGAGTGACCAACCCGGGGTCCAGGAGGGACGACTAGAATCCAACAACATCAAAATTTACACATAATTATCAAAGAGCTATGTAGGGGATTTAATTACATCGCCATAAATAATAACGTAAACGCTTGTCTTTCGAATTCTCTGGTATCCGCCTACAACATTAGTAAATGCAGAGACTATAAATTTGGCGACCTTTCGAAGCCTCAGTAGCCCATTGTAGTCCACCTTGAGAGCGCTGACGTCAATGGGAGGGAAAAGCATCCTTACAAGTAACAACTCGGATCAGTTGACAAAACATCCAGAGGTAGTGCAGCGAATCACCTTAATTTACGCAAAACTGGTGGAGTGACTTGCAGACGTTACAGTTTTTTTGTGATCAAGCACCGATGAGTTCCACATACCTTTAGAAAATGCCTAAAACTCACTCTTATGGCATAGTAAAGGTAGAAATATAAAAACTTGCAGCTTTTATAAAAGAAATTAAATGATGACAGGCGGATTATCAAAGCATTTTATTTGCTAATGACTTTAATACCAAATTAATGTTCATGGAGCGCCCTGAGACTTCCCTAAAGAAGGAATGAGGCATAATACTTGGGCAGAATGTGTACTGCCGACACACAGGATGGTTGGGGACTACAGGCATGGCTTGGAGGCCATGCCACCCGGCAGAAGTGTAAGGGCGGAGCTTTGAGTGCTCGCGAAACTCAAATGCAGCGTTAAGGAAGGAATCAAGGTATTACACAGCCTCTCTCCTTTTGATCGTCGCCTTCGGAGCTGCCTTAACCAACCTTCTGTGCCCACGATCACAACGGCGTCGGTGCTGTAAGAAAACCTTCCTCCTCAACAGATCATCCGCACCCGTCATCACATTTGCATGCAAATGAGAAGATATTTGATAGAAGCGTAACTGATTTCCCTTAAAACTCCCACAGGATCTTGAGTTTCCTCCTGTTTGAAAAATATATCGGGGGAGGGGGGAATGTCCATCAACAGTCGTAAGAACACCGGTCCAAAGGACGGGGCTTAAAATAGTTTCGTGAAAATGAGGTTTCGCGTATGTCCAGCCATCTATCTATCTGGGTTCCATCCAGCTAGTAGGGCGATGGAGGTATCGCGTGTTTACTTAGTTGACATTTTCATACCGGTACCGTAGATAGCTCCGTAACGAACTTTTCTAGGTGGTTCACGGCTAGTGTCGCTTCAGTTGGTAATAGCCTTCCTGCAAAACACGGGACTGGGGTAGTTGCCGAAGGAAGACGTTATTTTCAACGCCACTGTTAGGGATAATTACGGATTTGCCAGTCCGCAGTACATACCCTTCTTCCTTCGCGTTAAGGTTTAGGATTAATTAATAGAAATTAGAAGAGTTATTCTTTAGGATTGATTTTGCTTTTGGCTGCCATCGCTGTAGAGTCTCCAGACTTCTCTGAAGAGGCGTAGAGAAGAGCTGTGGGCTACAGGGATGACCTGTAGGTTACGCCGCTCAGCAGAAGTGGAATCTCGCAGCCTTCAGTGCCCGTGAAACAAAAACGAAGAAGTAAACAATTAGTGTCGCAATGTTATCAGTGACAAGTAAATTTTAATGATCAAAAATAGAGCAACTTCCTGAGTGTAATGCGTCCGTTTCTTGGTGGCAATTTCTGCTACTGCACCTTTTCGAAATCGTCAACAGATTTAGCAAGTTTCCGCGCCTTTAGAACCGAGTCAAGCTTGGGAATGATCATGTAGAATTCGAAATCCTCACTACTTTCCTATTTTTGGCCAGAAACGATATTTTGGCGTTGTGAGCATCCCAACAGCAACTGCGGGTCCCAACTGAGTGTAATTCATTTAGCCGCGGCACCAAAACCTTCAAATTTACTATCCGAATCACGATCAGTTTCAACGACACACACGCGGACGCCACATGAAATTCCTCACTCGAGGCACCGAAGTAGCACTGGAAACGGTGATGACTTTCTAGTTTGCAATCCCTTAGTTTTTCTTTGATCGACTTATTTATTCATCCCAACGATCCCCTATCCACACGAACTCATAAACAAAGGCAGCCCATTCATTGGCTCCCCACTTCATGCTGGCACATCACCGTCTCCCAAATTCGCTTATTCAACTATAGACACACCCTACGGCAGCGATTTGTCAGGGTGCTCTGTTGGGGGAATAACACACACCGTTGTTAATGCAAAGGCGTCACAAAGCTTCGCACACAGTGGTTGTATTTACACAAAGACGGCGTGAACGAGACGAGTGAAACGATGGGAATGACAGCAGCGCAGCCGCGAGGGCGCTAATAAAATAAAAGGGAAGCAGCCCACCTTCGAGGGGAAGGGGAGGGGGGAACGAAGGTGTACAAAGTGGAATATGTGCGTGTGTGCCCTCTGCGTTGTGCGAACCTCGCAGGCGGTTACAAGTCTGATCGCGGAGTAGTAGCTAAAAGGCGATAAAAAAGTCTCTAACTGTTCGTCAACCCCTTGACCGAAAAAGAAATAATTCTTAAAGAAAAATACAAAAAGCTGTGTATAAGGCACATGTAATGCCGATCTTCAAAATGAAGGCAAGATGGAGCTGTGAGGCATTCGAGCTGCTTCACCATGATAACAACCAGGGCCCCAAAGAGACAATACACATGATTTGAAATGAAAGTGTACCAGAAGAATAAATGAGGAAGACACCACGAAAATGACCACGATTTAGGGTCTACGAAAGTGTAACTGGATAAAGTGGCATTCTTGTTAAGCACTTCTGCCAAAAAATAAACGATCGAGTTTGAAGACAGGTAGTACTTAAACATGAGTACTCACTCTTAGGTTCTGGAATGGTCTCAGACTCCTCGGTGGCTGATTGCTCTAAAATAAAGTTTTCGATGAAATAATAAATTAGGGACCGCATTTTGAAAGAGCAGAAATCACCAGACGAACTTTAAACTACAAGTTACACTAAGGCTCTTCTACCACAAGGTAAGATGAACAATAAAGGGAATAGGAAGGGAGTTAACCCGCTTAAGAAGAGGTAGCCGTGGGCCGCTTCGATACCAAAATAATGTAATTTAAATTGGCAGGCAATGGATGGAAAAAAAGACTTAGACCATGGAAAACGGGCAATGTTTCGCAATCCACGGAAAAGAAATCAGGTAGAGATTACCCACAGTCCAAAAAACTTGTATAAAAAGCATTAAGGAAATCCGTGTGTCAAGTAGACTAAGCAAAAAGGAGGACAAAAGTAACTAACGCTATAATTTCATAGCGATAAAATGCCGATAAATTTTTACCTTCTTCCACTTGAGGAGCTTCAACGACCGTAGCATTTTCCGCAGTCGCGTCTACAATGTTAAAAATTCAATCAGCATTGGTAAATCTGTCCACTACGCTGGATTTTTCCATGGAAAAAGACCCTTTTTCTGCAAGCGTGGGAATTCGGACAAAAGGTAAAAGTTTTCACTTGGGTACACAAAATGTGGGCAATGGTGAATCCCGATACCATCCAAACGTCTGAAGTAAGAGCCGGGCCACCTACTAGGGGATTTGGAGGTCAACCAAAGCCCATCTTTAACTAATCATCCAAAGAATCTACGCCTAGAAGAAGGCAGCTCCAAGAGACCGGAAACGAAATCCGACTTCCGTTACACTGCCTACTAGAGGTTCATTTGCACACAGTGCGAATCATTTTGAAGAGAAAGGCTATTTTATTGTCGCAGATAGTAAACGTCATCAATAGGGCGATGTATACAGTGGACCCACAAGAGCATCTCTTTTGTCACTTTGCCTGACCCCTCCTTCAGACCTAGAAAGTGGGCAACGAAGTCACCTTTGTAGCGTGTTAGGTGTCGAGTTTAATAGGGCCGCTTCACCCCGATTCAGACACGTTTTAATACACCTTAAATATGGGACAAGAAAGCCAATTTCACCTCGAAAATGTGCGAATCAAACTAGACATGCACGAATCCCAACAACTTTTGAGGATCTAAAGAGTGACGTCACCAAAGAGGAGAGTTAGAAATCGGGAAAAGTGGCCGGTCAGAAATAGAAGGAAGCACATATCTTGGTGACTATTTTTACAAGAATTATCAAAAGAATTCATCCCCCCCGAGCAAAGAAAGCACTTACTGCCAGCGATTTCAGCTTTACGAGCAGCCTCAGCAAGGGCAAGCTTCTTGATATCGAAGAGGCGCTTGTAGGTGGTGAACCAAATCTCCCCCTTATGCCCAAAATAATCAAGTTTCGCATCCAGCGCCGCCGTACGCTCCATCACCGTCACCAGACGCACTGGGGGGTCCGCCCTGCGGTCACAGTTCGCCAACAACGTGCGCACCTCCATCAACCACGTCTGGGGAGAGAGAAGAGTAAAGGGATGAGAACCAGATTGCCCCTTTTCTCACCTATTGTCTGGCGTGTTTTCAATCGTACAGATTACTTGGCCAATTCTGTTTAGACAAGTGACTGTAATTACGACTTCCAAATGCTCCCAGTCACCATACTAGTGGCACTACATTTGATTTACTCAAACCTGTACATTAGTAATGAACTTCCCATAATAGTGTATTTTAGTAGTTCTTCAGGGATGTCTCAGAGCGCTGCATGGGTAGCAGCGATAATGGAATGAAAAAAGCCTAGTTTTATTTGCTTGATACCAAAGCTAGATGCCACAAAGTCCATGTCAATGGCTAATCGTATGCATCTGAGTGATGCGATAGCTTTGGGAACGGCCATTGTGAGCCTGCCCAAAGTGCCTATATGCAGACACACGAATTATTGAAAGAAGTGGTCTCCTCTACGGTCCCAGCAACCGAATAGCGCCCAGACAGAGAAATGGAGTGGAGCAAAAAAGATGGAGGAATACAGGCTGCAACAGAATAGTAACCCTTGGCTGACAGCGTTTACGTTTAGGAACTTACTGGATTACATGAAGTGATGCAAGACAAAGTCGAAAAGAACTTTACACATATGTAAGGCCATTCGCTAGTGCGCACACCGATAAATTGTGTGCCAACCATAGAGTGACACGATAATTAACTGCACCAATTGCGTCTAAATTACTACCGCAAGACGGAGGAAGACAGCAAGCAAACAGCCCAGGTGTAATACGTAACACCTCCCTTTTCACCTTAGGTAGTAGGTAGCGAGCCTTATTTTAATACCATTTTCGGTTACTTTCAACTAATCGTGTCTATTTCGATTCGAAGGCTGGTTCTAGTACACCTCAAATAAGAGAATAGAATACGGTGACAAATTCGGCCATCTCAATTCTTCATGTCTCTCGGTAGTAAAAAGAGTGGAAATACAAATAACTCTGGCGATTGGATGCTCCATAAACTATGTATGAAGCAAACGATTTTTAATAGTACGCTAAAGTAAGAAACAACGAAGTCGTTTACCGGAGCACTTGTGCTTATCGAATCAACTATCCCATCTTGAGGAGTTTCTCAGAATGAAAGAGGCGGTCAGATACAACTCGTAAGACGTGATAGCCGGTTGGTGGCTAGGTGAGTTTGGTGAGCAGGTGTTCACATTCTGTCCTTAAGCATACTTTGAGGAGAGCTGCATCTGCGAACAAAGTGCGCTTGGGCGAATCATGATCCTGCCAAGCGCCAATGCTGGTCTGCCTTACCTGCTAGCTATTTCGATAGTTAATCACCAACACGCCTCACATAACTTTTTTGCAGCAGAAATCCACTGAAATTGAAAAACTCATGCATACTCCAATAGTTCTACCTAGTATGTCGGCTTTGACTTTGAGGATTTCAAAACCTCAATATCTCAGATAAATACACTCTCAAGGGAAGCTCGACAACTGCATCTGCCAATATCGCTTCAAAGCATGCGAAAATTGGCGGTAAATGATACTTTCATAGGTCGTTGACCCCGAATAAACTGCTTGCCATTGCTTACAAGTTATAAGAAGTACGGAGGATAACATGCAAAAAGATTTTCAGTCTCTCTATGCCCTGCTCACCAAACAGAAACGCACCTGAGTCTCGGCAATGAGTTTCCTTAGTGCCTCAACCTCCTCCTGGGTATAGATGGGGAGACCCACTTTCTTCTCCTCCTCCTCCTTTCCAAGCGTTTCGTTGAGGGCCTGGACGAACTCTGAGGCAGTGACAGTCTCGAGTGCACTATTGGCACGCATTACAATGCCGATAGCCTGCGCCTTGGAGGTCAACAATTCTTCCAGCTTGGTCATGGCTGCTGGCAGCTCCGCAAAGGCCCGCACCCGACGCTTGTAGGGATCCACGACTTCGCGCAGCTTGGCCAAATGCTCCTCCACCACCTATGAGACGAAAAAGAATGGTGATTATGGCAACAGTCGATGCGCATTTGTTTAAGCAATGAAACTAGAAAAAAAGTGGTGATTACTCGAATGTCACGTGATCGCCTTTATGCTAAATAAGCTGCCCCGACACATTAGCATGACTTGACAGCTGTTAGCGCCTTGAACTAACACTTTCATTAGTGGTGTCACACGCACGGATTGCCTTAATAGTCTCACCCCAGTCCAGTATCACAAGTTCGTGAAATGTTTCCGAACAGTTTAGCATAATGTGTCACACCAAGTTGTGTGGGGAATGGACTGGTTGAGTTAAAAATAATAAAATAGACTTAGCTTATGAGCAACAGTCCCAATGGCCAGTTCAATGGGACATTGAGACTGTGATAATCGGTCCCCCTCCCCCTAAAATTCCATCAGCAAACGCTTTATATTAAAAAAGAGTGAATGATGGGAAGGGGAGACGCCAGAACGTCGCTCCGGCATTTAACCGATCATAAAACTCGCACTACCAGCCCCAATGAAGTTACTTATAGGCGTATAAGAGCTAAAAATCCTTCACCAATACTTCCGAACAGAATGCATGCAAGAAGACTAATAAGATGTACCGATGCGATGCGGTTTAATGCATTCGACTGCGTTTGTGATTAAAACAGCCAACGCTCCCAGCACTGTGGCTCGTCCATACCGCTAACATAAACTATGACGCTTAAAGTTCCATAAGGGCCTGTTTGGATAGAATTACGACTGGTTACGCAAGCGAGAACACGGAATTTGCGAATCTACAATTGATACACTACTTTACGGAGTACAAGTAACACGAGAAGTCACCAAATGCAGCATTGAAAAGAATCAAAGCCCTACCATCTCTAGTGTCTTAATTACCTTGTTCTAATTCCAACTTACATGTAGACCCAGTGTCTGTTCAATGATTACAAGAATAGGACTAATACAGAGGGATGAGATCATTGACCTAAATCAAAATTTTAAACATTTGTAAACACAATTAGGCCATTAATTACCGATTCAATGAGGTTGAATATTAGCCATGAAATTGAGCCGAAGCCAAGCATTGCACCGTTTTATCAAGTCGAAGAATGCTGAAGTATGCAGAAGGTAACACGGATATCCACTGAAAGCGTTACATCGTGACTCCCAACACAAAAATGCCCTAATCACTATTTCCCGAATAGACTCACACTAGAAAGAAAACTTGACAGACGGACGCTGTCAAAGTTGACGCGATGCCACGCCGTGAATAGAAATTCAGCGCATTACATTTATCCCCTTAAGAAGAGGAGGCTCAAAAAGGGGCATGTTTTTGCTTGAATGGTACGAAATAAACATGGCTCTGACTATGGCTGTCGTGCGTTTAGCCACTCAGTTCATCTTCCATCCGCAGCCATTGGCGTCACAGAACACCGCCCATATCCGCCTTCCCCTCCATAATGCTTGTGTTACAAGAAAGAATAAGTACATGACCAGATTTGTACCGAACAAGAAGGAGAGAAAGAGTAAAAGTACCGATCGGGGCGCGTAGTGTCCTTCCTCATCATACCACCGGGAGGTCTCATCGACGGTGGCACTTAGCGCCTCCAATTCTACCTCTGTGGCATGATTGTCAAAGGAAATCTCGATGTCGCTCAGAGTTGTAAAGATTGTTCGTTCCAAATCATTCTTAGCCGCATTCAACAAGTCGCGCTCATTGTCGGCGGCATCGTATTCCCGTAGACTAAAAAAGAATAAGCAGGTTGAGGAAAGGAGTAGAACCGACGCCTCAGGAGATGATCCAACCAACCCTACCAGATGATTAAGAAGTGACAAGGCTGATTCAATAACTGGAAGGTATCAAGGCTAGCACTTCAAAAGGCAGTTACAGTTCGAACCACGTGACTAATAACCAGGTCCAGTAGATCAAAAAATATCAGCATTGGTTAAATCTGGCCAACACAAAAATCTGCTCATCATAATTAATATCAATGATTGAAAATGGTCAGATCTCGGTCACTAAAGGATGCGCGAGTATGCACTACATTTGTCACGGCCTAGTAGCAACTGTGCACAGCTATTTGTAAATAAACCATTCTTTTGATTAAAAACGCTCGTTATGATGATGAAAGAAGCTATTTTGACGATTGAATGTCAAACATTCAGTACGACAGATTTTTAGACTAGAACTATCAAAAGTGATGGGGATGAATGTGTAGGTTTAAAGAGATAACAGCAACATCATAGAGAAATACAGGCTGCACGGACACCTTCAAAGGCGGAGAAAAAGGAATGAAAACCACGTACATGGCCATCGATGCACCGACAGACTCCACTGGGGGACTCACAAGATCAAGGATTTGCACTTGGAACGACAGCGGATGAATCAATGTCTGAAGAGAAGAAATGGTCAAAATTAAGTCCAGTTGGATTGAGCCTTGGAGGTTCACTGCCTGACGATCAGATTTCGCCCAGTCTACCAGCGAAAACTATTTTACCAACGGATTGGGCACGTGTAACATTCAAGTAAAAATAACAAATAAAGCAAGTAACCTTTGTCTGTGGAGCAGTCGCGGTTGCATTGGCAGCCGTCGCGTCTGAGTCATTTCGCATCAATGGCTGGGTCTTCACATAAGAACATAACAAAACACAACAAGTGAACACAAAACCGAAGCAATGACAGGAAATGCAAGGTATAGTCTTTTCCCACATACTAACCTCGTTATCTCCTCTCGTTTGCTCCAACGCATCCGGAGGCTTGGCCTTGTCCTCCGATGCCTTTCTTTCGCCCGATCCAAAGAGATTCGAAATTCCGTCGGCGAATTCTAAGAGAGAAAAATACATTTGAAAAGACACACAGACATTTTCTTTGGCCCATTTCTGCAAACAACGGTTAGAGGTACCAGGCTTCTGCTTTAGCAATACTAGTCCACTGAAGAATTGGAATAACTGTTCGAAAATACGAGGTAGGCGGAGAATAATCTGCTAGTAAGCAGCCCACCTAAATCAGGTACCACTTTACAAAATGGCGTAAATGCAATCAAACCTGAACTAGTGCCGAAAACAATTGCCAGAAAGGATGGACAAAAACGGCAAAATAAATGGGTGAACAACAGGCTTCACTAGTGCCTACCATGATGGAATAAAAAATCGCTCGCATGAACTACTTTTGTCGGTCGAATGGAGCAGTTAAAATCTCTAGGGTGAACTATTGCGCAAGTCCTTAATGCGTGAGAAATCTCAAACTTACAAAAAATAAAAGAAAATTTCAAAATATGAATACAGGTAGGTGTGTGGGAGTGGGAACGTTTCCGATTGCAAACTTTACAAGGGAGGTGTAGTAAAGAGGGCATGCAACACAATTGACTTACTATTTATCCAGCGGAATGCTACAGATCCAAACAACAATAGGGGAACTCGCTTCTGACAGGCACGATGAAGTGGTGTGACCACACAAGCAAAAAGATGCGTACAAGGGTGTGAAACTTACTTTTAAGGGTAGAGGTCGTACCGTTGCTTTTATTTTGCTGTTCCTCATGAGTCATGATGAGGTTGACCTCGGAGAGCTGGAGGATACCGCTAGCATCCAATTCCAGATGAGTCTTCACTGCTTGAGCTGAGTGTCCACTCTCCTCAAATTTCTCTATTACTGCTTTCACGTCCAAGATGCTCACATTCATAACCGCCTCGGCTCTGTTAAGGTACCTGAAAGATGAGAACTCGCGCGATGAGATCGTGCCCACTGATAATTTCAGTGGAAAAGTTATCGCCAACTAACCTGGAGAGATTTTCAGGGGTCTCAGAGTAGTGAACCTGGAAGGAGATGTCTTTCTGCGGCCGAGGGAACTTGATGGTGCGCTTTTGTGGAAAGGGGTTACTGGCGGGGAAAAGGACGCGGGTGATAAGTTCTCCCTCGGCAGAATTTGTGTCATTGTCAGCGGAGATGCGCGGTAAAGTGACCTGCATTAAGAGATCGAAAGATGAGTCCAAAACACAAATTAGAGACCTTATGAAAGGGTGAGGGTGAACTCACAGCCAGCGGATAACGAGTTGACCCGCGAAGGACGATTTTTTTCACCAGAAAACCGCGAGTGTTGGAGGCGGCCTGGTAGATCGCGCCCATGGCTGCTGCCTCATCCGAATTCACATTCTTTCCCAGCGTTTGCCTTGAGGAAAATGGAGGTCAAAAATGTAACACTCATAAAAAAAGCACTGATAGGCTATAACCCCAGCAAAGCAAGCCTTCAACTGTGACCCCGAACAGTCAACTACAGCACTTCATACTAAATCGGAATGCCGCCTCATATCTCGCATACTCCACTCAAAACAAACGCGGGTTTGAACGGAAATGGTGACGCCTAGCAAAAGGGAGGACGGTAAAGTGATGAGAGAAACTTAATAACTTAGCACCATGGGTCAATAGTAAACAATCTTATGTTTAATGATTTACTACTGAAACATATTGCACCAAAGTAGGCCAGGCATGAATGACGATTTACAATACCGACTAGTCTGATAACTATCAGGGAGATGGTGACTGATACAACTTAGTCCAAGTAAGCAAGAACGAAAGAAACGCCAAATAAGTGATTTTATGCAAATGTCACCTATCATGTGTCAAGCCTTCAAAGAACACAATGACACACAGCCCAACAAAATTTTAACAGTGGAAGTTACTGCCCAGAAATGGGTTAAAAAGATAGACATCGCGTTCAGGAAGGCTTATTCTTGATAATAAAGAACTGAGAAGCGTCATTAAGAATGACGCGTCGCCCAAGACTTTCATGAATGTTTCGGTTGAATGATGGAACAAATCGGTTGGATTTACAACAGCTGAGAGGGGAAAGTCATGGAAGCACCGGGCAAATGGATTCACCCACTTATCATATATTAACAGACAGCAATAGGTCTTAAAGACTGCAAATCATTAGTACTTCACTTTACTTACAAACGTCTTAAAAGTGCGTCGTGAACTTTAGAGTGGTTGCCAACGTAGTGCCTTGTTGTGCGGATTCACCTTTGTGTTTCAACCTTAGATAAGCGAATAAACAAGTTGATGGTTGTCCCCAAACCATCCACACACTATTTGCACCACACGTCTGGGGCACGTACCAATTCACACGCCCAGAAGGTTATGCTTTGTGTCGCTGTGTTTGTAGTGGACTGTGGACAAAAGCGTTCGCATACTGAAGTGCAAAGAGTAATTACGACCGAGACCCATCTACGCAAGATAGCATAACTCAAAGTTAAGACAAACTTTTGTGGAGGAAGGAACGTGGTTAGTCAACCAGTCTGGAGAAAGGGCTATTCTCAAGGGACAACGTAAGCCCTCGTACTGCCTACCTTCAGACTTAGCCGTAAAAAATTTGCACATTGGGATACAATGGGGGGGAGACGTTTCCTTCCCTCTCCTTTATTTTTCATATTTGCGTCACATTTTTGTTTTCCGATTGATTGCCACTTCTCTTGGTGTTAAATAAACAGATGCAAAGGAGACGTTTCTTGAATAAGAGCGTGATAGAAAAAGAGGCGACAGATCTAGGTTGTTTGATTCTAGAGAATAAACGTTCAATTAACGTGCAATTTACCTATCATAATGGTAATTACTTGTTTTAACCCTCAAAACCATATTGAATTATTTGATTGCTTTGAATTGGCATCAGAAGAAGCCATATCTCATGCGATGCTCGAATTGAGGGTCAGAAAAAATAGCATATTCATAGAAATTTGACCTTAGGACGATGCACTACTATATTTCGTTTATTGAATCGCTATAAAGCAAAATATTTAGAAAACAGAGGACGAGACGGGTTCGCATTACATGAGCAGACATTTTGGTTCAAAAATTAGCATTGAATGGCTTCAACTCTAAAAGTACGTCCTGTCTCGGGCTTAAGGCCAACGAAACCCAGAGCCTCCGTTTTGAGAGAACGCGAGAGCCCACGAGAGGGCATATATTAATCTGAGAGTAATAAAAAAGGCGGGACATTTAATCCAGTGATCCTTAACAAGATAATATCCAAAACAAGTGTCATTTTGTCCAATCAATGTACTTTGTCAATCCTAAAGTACTTCTGCAATTCCTAGCACAACTGGAGGGAAGTGAGGAAGTACAATTAGTAAGTGAAAGGAGGATTAATTCATAAGGCCTGCGTAGCATAGATCAAGGCACAAATTCAGAAAGACGTTATGCTTCACATTACATTGGAAGAAAACAATAAAATACAACCATGATTCTTGAAGGATATGATGGCACCTAGCAAGAAGGCGACATGAAGGACAGCGAAGAATAAATTCGATGAACACTGATAAAAGGCAGGACAATTTGTACAACAAACTTTGGAAAGATAGCAAAAAAATTAGGTCGTAGTTTATTCCGATTGAAGTATGCAAAAAGTAAACAAATACAGTAAAAAATGAGCCTTATTGTTTAAAAGGATTGTGAACAATAACAGCACAGAACCCAACTTCATTACGAAGATCCCAATAAGTAGGGAGAATGCATACTGTAGGTAAGCTTCATATTCTGTTTTACGCAGATAATTTGACGGGCGAAAGTTGAATTGCATGGGGAATTAAAGACAGAATTGATAAGCATAATTTGAGCGTGCACTATGGTTTTAAATAATACAGAATCACAACAAAATAGGAATGAAACTAATTTTAGATCAAAGACTAGGGAGCGTAGAATCCTGGACTCTGGAAGAGTTTAATGGCACTAAAATGGAAAGAAAAGGAGAGTGGACATACATTTTAGTCGCAGAGAGGATGGCCGACTGGATGACGGGGATACGTGAACCACCCCCAAAGACGATGACTTCACGAATGTCCGACAGCGTAGAGGCGGCGGCTGCGGGAGAAGTGGCGGCAGCGTGCAGTGCTGCTTGGATAATGAGGGGCACTCGTGCCACGAGATCCGCGCACATAGCCTCCAACTCCAACCGTGACACCTTTACTTGTAGGTCGAGGCCATTATAAACCTCCTCCACCTAAGACACAGGGTAGAAGCGGTAATGATGGAGGCTTCTGATCGATAGAAAAAAAATCCTGTAAAGTATACACAGGCTTAGCCTGATCGTACGATGACCTACACCTCTTTCACCTGCCATGCAGTAGGCGATAGCTTAGCCAATTTTCCATCTTCTAGAGACGAGAGAGGAGGTGCTTTTTAGCGCCTTTTTCCAATCCTTTTATTGCTCCAGTCAAAAGCGTGAACGCAAACTGAGTGAGGCATGTTCTATTTATCTACTCTTTAGAGGCTAGCAAACAATATCATCCCAATGACGTCGTCACTAGCTTAGCCAGTTGAAGAACCCTTACTTTCGTTAGACGCAAAATGAGGCTGAGGACACTGAATTTGTACACTCTCCACTAACGATATAAGACGATGGTGATGATGATGACAGGTTTTCATGTTGTACGGGGAGTAAATCATATGGAGGTTTGTTGGTCGAAAAATCCCCATAATCCACCCGTGAGATTACACAACTAAGGAGAACTAAAGTAATAAGATAAGCTTTGTTTAACTCCTCTCCCTCAATGTCACCAGCTTGGTTTGGACCCTCACAAAGTAAGAGGAAACGCACAGTGAAGACTTTGTTTGCACGAAGATAAAGACTTTAGATATGCACACACCTCAGAATTAACAACTAAGCGGGGGCGCCTTAAATGCCCTCTTCATTATGCTTATTGTACGCACACAAAGGAAATGATTGACCACATTATCATTCGGAGATAAACATAAACCTTCTAAAGAGGACTTTTTCAAACCCAAACAAATGCACTAGCTGCTTGTGAACCAAGATTCCCCAATTACACTCATACAATGGGAAAGATCATATACTCGAGATGCTCAGTGCATGAACAAATGAACGAGGAAGCTAGGAGATAAGTTTAAATAAATTTCAGACTCTAAAGACTTTCTAAAATAACTAAATCAAATCCATAACTGTGTTTGCATGCTTTTATCCTTGGGTCAGCAAACAACCATTCTTCATTCTAGATACGAAAACTAAGGTGATGGTTGCGATTATCATCATCTACCTGTAATTAACAAATGGGGAAATTTTTTTGAAGAGAGTTCCTATTTAGTAAGAAAAAACCATTACAGTGTCAAAGATGTGTATTCAGTCTTAATAGTCCTATTCAGAGTGCTCCGCTTCCATTTTAGCTTTTAAAACACTATTTGCGAAGCTCCTTTGTCAGATTTACAGCAAAATTTCGTTTCATTGCATCGGTCAACACATATAGCGCCGAAACCTCCAAATGAACCAACTAAATCTCGGGAATTGCAGATATTGAAAAGCGAAAGTAGAGCCGAGAAATGTGCTCGACAAAAATGCTACTGCTAAATAGGAGTACAATGGGCGTTTCACTTATACCTCCTGAGAGCTAGAGAGTTTGGTGCCTATTATACTATTCTTTGGATAAAGAAAGGAAAGGATGATCAAGCAAATTTGAAACTCTTCTGTCACGTGAGATGAACTTAGCAATATTGTTAGTCCTAAGCCAATGACTGCATAGCTAAAAAGTCAATAAAAGAAGAAAAACTGTAATACAAGTGTATGAAGGGAAGATTTCATATAAATTATGAAATACTACCGATCACAAAGTATCGAAAGAAGGCTATACTGAGTAATTATTCAACAATCTAGCTGCTCGAATTAGAACCTCTGGAGTAAATCATATTCATAAAAACTGAAACAAATAATGTCCCACGCATCGATATTGGTTTCGATTTAACAATGTTCACTACCAGATTCAAATATGCGATGCACAAACTCCCCTACATTAGTCCATACGTCACAGTGATATTTAACTAGAGGCGAATGAACTACCCTGACAAGGAAAAAGAATGAAAACAATTATCGGTAAATGATAAGGGCACAAATTTGGGTTGTAGTGGTTGATTTTCCTCCAAGGCAAGGGCAACAAGTAGATTATATTGATTTCGGTTGAAGGTACAATTTTAAAGTAGTGCAATCACAGTGTTTAAACCGAAATCGGCCAGGAGTAAAAAAGATCCACAAAAAATCTTGTATTAATGGGTCTTATCAATAAACCTTCCAATAAACCATAGAAACATAAAGAATTACCGATGCCTGTATCTCCTTGTTGGCACTAAGAATTTTAAAAACACGAATGGCCTCCCGTCTGAATTTTGCGACAGCACGAGCGTTCCTACTGATGTCAGCTTCAATGTTGTGCATCGTCCTGAATCGATGTATCAAGTGGGCCTGCAGTCTGTCGATGAATGCATTAGTTCCAAGGGTAGTGTCACTCCTACGGTAGATTTTTTTTGAAAAAAAGACAAGATTAATTTTGACAATTTAAAAATATCTATATCGATAGTAGTGATCCTGCCACGGTTGCGTCGACACTTTGACATCAAAATGGTGATAAGAGTACCCGAGAAATGCAGAATGAAGAATAAAGCAAATTTATAGAATCGGAAAGTGCAAAGATTTACGCTGCACCGAGAACATAGACGTGAGGATGTTCCCCGGACGATTCACCCTTCACCTGGGCCATCTGATAAGCTAAAATGAAAACGAAGTGCCACAATCTACACCAAAGTAGTACACAACAATCATGCATAGGATAATAAATGGAGCTCTAGATAATCATATTACCGCCAAAAGAGAAACCACTCACAAACAAGGGTAGCAGTTGTTGCTGTCGCCCCAACATCAAAGAAGAGGTAGATAGGCTTTTCTTTGGCTAGTTTAATTCTTGGACGAATGTAGTCGAGTGCGACAGCAACATTATCATCCATGAGTTGAATCACCTCGATATTGGCCAAGCCCGCAGATCTCAGCACTGCACGTCTTTCTGCTTGAGTAAAGTAACTAGGTACGGTGATCACGGCGGTTTTCATTTGGGACTCTAAAGGTGAAAGCAAAAGCGTGATATCAACGACAGAAGAGGATTTCTGGTAAGAGATATGAGAAAACTGGCCCACCTGCGAAAGCTTCAGCGGTTTTCTTGACATACTCAAGAAACATGGCCAGAAGAGTCTCGACGGTAAATTCCTTGCCACTAAAAGCAAATGCGTTCGAAATGAGGTAGACTTACTTGACAACAAAGGCGAGTTGACGGGATTCATAACTGAATGTCAGGTTATGATAAGGATATCGCTTTTGATATTCAATCACAGTAGGATGGTCAAGGGTCTTGCCGACAATAGACGGCAACTCCGCGAACACAATAGTCGGGTCCCTAGTAGCCTACTCGGAGGAGATGAAGTTATGTAAAGAGGCTGCACAGTGTAACCACCATCAAAGAAATTAAACGACAATAGTTAAGTATGCCGCATATGGCACAAATAAGATGAGAACTTGTCTAAAAAGCAGACTAAACTCACAAAACGAGTGTCTAGCTCTTAGAAGTAGTGAATGTTTAACAGTAAAAAATATTAACAAGGGGAAGAATATGCAATTAATGGGGCAAATGCTCATAAAATATTAGAAATACAGTAAACAGACAAGAAAGGCCGCTGAAAGTCGACCCAAAAGAATAGACAGAACACTAAGCAAAAAGGAAATGGCCAAAAGACAGAGGCCAGAAATAATTCAAGGTAAATAAAACAGTTACGGCCTTTAAAATCACAACCTCTAGTCAATCACTGAGAAAATACTCACACTGGCTACTGCACCGTTGCCGAATAACCGATTACCTTCCTTCAGTAATACCAAGGTGCAAATTGTACGTTTTGATGCGCTAAAAAATAAACCCATTACTAATACTCACCCATCCAAAACAATTTCCATTGGCACCCCAGGCTGAGAAGTTGAAGTCAAATAAAAAGAAGACATACCCGAACGACAGCAACCTTAGTCACATCCGTACCAAGATCAATTGCCATTGTCGATATTCCATTGCAAAAAGGCAATGCAAATAAAAGACAGAGCGAGATGACGAAAGACATATCGAAGTGAAACATGAAGCAATATCCTGACTCGCTGACAATGCAGCCTATTTAAATGTGTCAAGTTGTGATTGGACTGATCAAGCACCCACCGTTTGATAGAAAAAATATAAACGTACTGAATTATGTCTACAAAACATTATTCGCTCGTTATAGGACTAGACTAACTGACCGACTACAAAAACTGCTTAACAGTCTAGTGTCCTGTATATGTTTAGTGTGATTTCCACTAACAAGGTGAGTTCTTGTTATCATTACACCTTTTTTAGACGATCCAAAATTTGCTTATTCAGATGAAAAAGCATATCAGTTTTCTGTTCACCTACGACCATTTAGCCTTTAAATAAAAATGTTTAATTGCTGTTTGCTGCCGCATGCGTAACTACTATGTCTACCCGCAAACTGGTGTTTCACCTCAAGTCTTTCCTGATCTCATAATAAGCCATACCATTATGGAGGAGGATTTAACAATAGACTACTAAACTTCTAAAGGATTATGGCTACATGCGATACCGCACTATTCGGATTCTGGAAAGTACAAGCATGCCCCAGATTTGGTTAAGAACACAGCCAAATAGAGAAAAACCAGTTCCGAGCCCGCCCCCGTTTTATGCTTAGTCCCTGGCACTCTTTCTGGCCATTCTCCCATGTCGATCACTGCAGCATAGTAGGCCACTTAGAACCCGCCGCCTTGATCGACTGGGCGCCCTTAGCGTACTCAGTTACCATCTTCATGTACGTATGGTAGACAGCTTCTTGGCGTGAAATCGTATGCAACGCCAGTCCTTTGACTTCAGTATTCCCGAATAAATAAAGTGGAAGGAAACATAAGAATAAATATTCCACTAATGTGGCACAAAAAAGAACCATTATCAGGGGTACAGAGGAAGAGTGGGTGAAGTTAGCTGGAAACAGAAGGCGCAAAGGACTTCGAGAGTTCGTCAAACACGTTGTCCTAAAAGAACGTAGCTGTTGGAAGAAGACCAAACATCTTACCATTTTATCAAGTGATTCAAGGAAGGAATGCGATTTGTCGCAGTCGCGTACTTGTGAAATGTACCGATTCAACGACTGAAGCAGAAAAAATTCGGATTATTACCAGCAGAAATTTGGGCATACGAGTATCCAAATTGCACCCGCTTGAAAATGACACATGCTTGTGCTTTTGGTGTATCGCCACTTCAATGATCAACAACACAACCAGTAGGAAATCGCATAGAAATTATTGCCTTAAGGTGATGACCACCACAAGGAAAGAAAAGGGCGGAAGGCAAAGAAAAAAAGCATTAAAGATGTTAGAAACCTACACAGATGTTAATAAAGTGGAGAATGAAACGTACTTTATCGTGACAGTTCCGTAAACTCAACTTAGACTCATGTGGATGTAAAAGGAGAAATTTCCATAAAGCTAAGGTTAGAACAGCAATGACCATGGAGTAACTCACTTCAATAGGCTTTCCAGTGTTTACGGATACCGAAATCATGTTCAGAAGGGAGGCGCTGTGGCTCGGATCCTAAAGTAACCAACAAGTGTAAAATGAAGAGGCTATTCATTGCAAGATTCAGATATAATGTACATTGAGGCGAACTGATGTTGAGGTAAAGTGATAGCGACAATTATAACGCTTCAGGAATCTCTTCAACTTTGAAGTAGGGAAGCTCAAGGGAGGCTAGTTCAAATTAAGGGAAAAAATATCAAAAATCACTAACAAGTTGGATGTTGCATCATTTCAACAAAAGAAGTAATACACATAAGTGGGGAGAAGGTAGAAATGAACATTTTGATTGTAAAGAATTCCAAATTGACAATTCGCACTATTTCCCACTGGTTATACAAACGTCTGCAACAGTAGGGTTAACACATTACTCTTCATTTTCCACTACTATCAAGCTACTTAACATTGAGAAGTATTTTTAACACTGGAAGAAGAACAGGTGCCCATTTGCTTGACAAAAAGGTTTCAAAACAAAACAAATTAGCAAAATAACTACTGAGATGAAGGGCTTTGCGGAAAAAACATATTTAAACAACAATTCAGCTAAAAATGCATCCACAGTATCTTGATAGAAGAAAAATATTCACAAGCTGCAAGAGAAGCTATTAGAGCTAAAAGAAGAACGTGCATAAAGGTTGGCTAGATGAAAGTGAGTTAAAAATGGCAATGAAAGGAAATGAAATCGGAAGCATACGGCAACTGCATGTCATGAGCTTAAAATAAGAGAAGATAATGCTGTCGGGCACTTAGTCGGTATCGTCCAAGCGGAACACGACTCAAAGTTGGTGGATGTCGAATAAAGGATGCAGCACCGAATACAAACGACTGGAATTGAAAGAGCACGATACACACCAATAAAAAGGCAGCTGACGGCATCAGTGGCTTGGCGAAAATGAAATAAAATTGCAAGAGGTAGATGCATGCACGAAAAAGCAGGGTAAAACAGTGCGAACCGACAACAGAAAAAGTGGGCAAACTGACAATGTCAAGAGCCTGACGAAGAAGGGGCTCGGCCTCAGCATGGCGTCCTAAGGCGACGAGGGCGATAGCCTGACCGTTCAACAGAAGAGTGGAGGGCTTGTTCTTTTCTTGCAACTCCTGGTAGATGTTCAGAGCTTCTGTCACCTTCTCTCCCCCCTAGCGGTGGCAAATAAACATTAGGATGTGAAGAAGCGGGGATAATCTAGGGCTGTAGCTGTGATCTACTGGGTATAGGATCCACTGGGAAGCATAGCAAGCGTTGTGCTGCTGGATTTACGCATCCTGCATTTAGCCAAGTAGAATTGCTTTCATAAAGCGCTTGAGATGAAAGTCCAAATTTTGAACGCTTTCTCGATGACTGGTTGCATACTGATATACCAAATTAGAAGCGTGGTAAAATTGAGGATTATGAAGTTTAATGAAAGCCTCATAAACACGGAAACTGTATATATGGGAAGCAAATAAAAATTTAAAACACAAACTCAAGAGACTAAATGTTATTGTTAAAATGGGCTGAATCGAGTCAACAAAGTAATTTGGGAAGACTTCACCCTCCCTCTTATTATTCCAACGGATAAAATCTAGTGTAATACGCAAGTGCAATTTCGAACTCCTAAAATAGACGCTCATCAAGTTACAACCACACCAAATTCGGATTTGCAATAACCTAACAGCAATAAAAGGCCCAAAATTATGCATGAGGAACAAAGGAAGAAAAACCTCTTGTACATACTAGAGCAAAGACCATAGCAGCAAAACACCGTCATTATGTGAAGTCACAGTTAACCAAGTATGATGGGCAAAAATATGGGTGAGCATTTAGCAAAAGTTACCTGAACTAGGTATAATTCGGCAGAAGCCAACTGACAAACCATGGAATCCTCATTCTTGGATTGCATTCTAAGAACTATTTTCTCCGCCAAATCGGCCCGGTTCATCATGAGAAGACAGTGAACCGACATAGCATCACTAGGAACAGAACAAAAGAGGAGTCATTGAAAAAATAGCCACAGGAGCAACGTTGATGCGTCTCAAAAACTCACCACATAAGATCAGAGCTTTGATGAAGAACCCTAAGGGCCTTTTCTGGCATCTATGAATAAATTACATAGCCAAGTACAAAAGATGCATACGTTCAGATTCATAAAAATAGTTGCCCCAATAAGGAGAGCAGTCGGATCCTTGGCAGAAATGTTCTCCATTAGCATTGCATTAAGCTTATCTACAATTTCCTCTCTAGAAAGTATAAGCCATTAAAATAGAATCCACTTGGTATATGCGCCCGATAGTTGCTTGGATAGGAGGAGAACAAGGCGATACTCCGGACGCTCATGAGATTCTGAGACCTCATTTATAACTACGTTGTACTTCTGCTGCGCGATATAAGCTTGAAATGTAAGGAGGTCAATCTCGTCGCGAAACTCAGGAGAAACAATCTGAAAGAAAAGCCATGAAACACACTGGAGTCGTTTGGAAGCACGGTACCCTAAGAAACATGACACCAAAGTAAGCAGATTCGAGACACCACATATGTACTGCATAGGTCATCCTAGAAAGCTCATGTGTGGGCAAATCGATCCAATGAAGATTAAAATCGAAAAAGTTTTCAGCGACAAAATACCAAACAGGCACGCAGAATCCTCACCGGGATTCCATGAAGAAGTTTCAAACACTCTTGAAAGTTCTCGAGAATAAAGTTTTCCCTTGCATCTTGGATAACAGACTCGGTATTCATCGGAGAATCTACGTGGATCTAGAGTAGCCACACGAACTGGCTTGCGCGGGGTATATTTTGACCCACTTAGAAAATTGAAAGATTTTTCACTGTAGGATTCATGCGATGTAAAATTTTGTAGCAGAAAATAGTAATAAGTGTTTGGATGCCTAAATGAACCCAAATTGTGTACGCGGGGTTTTACTGAAGGTATAGCTGTGTAGACAAATTCTGTCGGAATAAGACCAGTGACGTTTCGTTCATAAATTTGTCCCTCAGTCAACAAAACCTATTTGTGCATTTGATTATCGCCTTAATGTTTTACGCATTTAATTACATCTCTTTCATTTTGAGTTCTCGAGTAATGCATGAAATCTCCCTGGATTTGTAATAACTTACATTAGGATGGCAAGACTTTTGTCCTTTAAGTATAGAGTGGTCTAGGGAAAGTCATGCTACAAAGGAAAGTAGAGCCTAAACTTGCTCAAGCGTCCACTTAGCATCCTTCTCATCTAACTAAAATATCAAATCATTGGACTCCTTTTTGCTGTGTATGAAAGTAGGGGAGTATCTAATTTAAAATACTGTTGCGTTGAAGTATTTTTAAAGTTGGGACCTAATGATGAATAGTCAAATGCTAAATCGATCAAGAGAAAAGAAGCTTTGGTGTTCGCTATCTGTCGTGATGACGTCTGTGCCTAGGTTCTCGAGCACTGTAAAGGAGTTGCGAATTCTTTTTTCACCTGTTAATGCATCAAGCGCAGGAGTAAGGTACTTAATATCGTTATTTTCCTTTCCTTTCTTTAGTGAAGTGACACTGTGGTTTGAGTTGGTATACGTTATTTTAACGTGGTTCATTTTGCTTAAACCTGTGTTTTTCTCGAATGCAAAACACGATTCGAGAAAGTATTGTTCATTTACCGTTTTCTACCGTTGTAGTTTGATGCACGACCGACTTCGTTTGTATCTATGGATTGCTAGTACTTCGTAGACAATTTAGAAGTAGATGTATCAATAACCCCTAACGTCTACCTGACTGATTTCTACCAGTTGCCTTATATTAGTTTATTCTTGTCAAACCCCGCTATACCCATCTCACATGACGTTTCGTCAACGTCGTACACTTTCCTGTGGATCGGAGATGACTCATTTGGGTTATGCGACCTCGTTTATTTTAAACGGTTTTCTCCTACTACCTATTTAGAGAGTTCATTGGCAAGAGCTATGTGGGTTTGAGGAACAGCAACCCTGGTGTCAAGTTCATGCTGCGCGAAGGCAACTCAATTAGCCCTCGTATCTACGCCAGATACGGCTTCGGCAAGGAGTCATTTGTTTCGGTAGACAACGCCTCTCCCACTGAAATAATGGACAAGATCTGCAAACTTGCGAAGGCTTAATCGTACTCTTATTAGTTGTACAGTTTCCATCCCCTATCTAAGTGTCCTGGAGAATAGTAGGTGAATAGAATTACATGTTTGTTTTGTCGCTAAAATGGGTGATAGGTTGGCCAAGAAGCAGTAGTATTTATTTATGAAAAAACAGGTAGTCTTATTGCTTTCAGAATCCGATGTACGGTTTTGAAGTAGCGGCTTTGGATCCCTTGAACACGTTCTTTCCCCTTGTCTGATCCGATCTCCATGTACATGTGGTAAAAATCAGCATGACGCTAAAAAGCGAAGGCGATCCTGCTTAAGGCGCTGAAACAAATTCTAGAAATCTATTTGAAAAGAAACGTTAGAGGATAGATGCTGCAACATCGGTTCTGGTTATTTTCTTGCTGATATACGCTAGTTTTGCGGTATTTTCAATGAAAGATGACCGATGGTTAAGTGTAGCGCGCCTTACGTGGAGAGTTGGTTCCGGGTCAGGCCTAAATTTGTCCCCAGATTCAGGAATCTGCAGCTGGTAGACGTATTTCCGGTTCATCAGGTACACTCTCCAACGTTCCTTTAAAGAGTAAGAGCGTAATTTGACAGGAATGCAATCAAACACGGCATGGTTTCCAGTGAAGATCTGAGTCATACTGGTATGATTGGAATGAGAGACGGTAGCTGATTACCTCGTCGACAGGTCCGTCCTCGTCAAGATGCTCGGCACCGACAAGAATTATGCTGCTGGGATCCTGGCACGCCGAGTTCCAATGAGACCACCCGAAGGCCATCACTGGGCTCAGGAGGGCCATTTGCTCGTACAACCTCTGCTCTGTCAGTGGGTTCTGGCAGATATAAGAAGTGGTCAATTATATTTTGTCATCCGCAACCTAACCGTAGAGGGCGTTTACAATGCTAAGATAGTACCGTAAATCAAGCCTAGCTAAGTTTGTTAGCTGTTAGGTGATAAGCTGGCGAAGATTACTACTGGGGTCTTATCCTCAGCGTTGTTCGTTGCAATACAATGGTTAAATTTATTACATAGTTGAAAGTCCTCAATAAATGCCATATTTCGGTCATGGCCACGTTTCAGAGCATGGAGGTTAGTTGTGGCACATCGCTTTGTTGCTAACAGCGACTAGCGCGAGGTCGATTGAGGCAGGTTAAGTAGACGCATAACTCCCCAGGATGTCTCAATGAAGCCAATATTTCATGCAAGGCAGCCTAGCATTTGCGTTAAGAGCAATGCACAAAGTTGAGAAGGCTAAAACGGATACGCCTTAAGGTTACGGACCGGTAAACTCCGAGGAGCAGTGCTTCTTGGTCGCAAGTACGGGTTAGGTTAGCGATTGTAGCATGCTACTGTCCAAGTCTGAAGTATCGAAAGGTGGCAGATGTTAATTTATACTATTTATTACTTCTCGACTGAGATGGCTCTCTGCAACAGTATTTCACTCCTCAAAATGTCTGATGAAATTCCTCTAAATTAGACTGACTTTAAGGCGCCCACAAGGCATTAATTTATTTGATCGTTTGAGCGTTAGACGTGCATGCAGAAGTTGCCTTGATCCAAAAGAATTATCCTCGAGAGCACCCTTGGGCACATGAGTAAGCTGATTTACAAGTTGTAGGCAGTTTGAAACAATTAGCCAGTTGCAAGAAAAATTAACCTTCTCAATACACTCAACACGCGTGCCCGAGTCAGGCCGGGGAAAGATGTTGACTCCCGAGGCCGTGAGCACACAGGTGAGCTCGTCGGGCGTGAACCACCGCCCCGTGAGATGCTCTAATTCCAATTGCCCACCGAGCCCCTCGTCAGTGACAGCGCCGCCGATGGCTGCGCCGACCCTACTAGCCCGCGGTCCCGCCGCTCCTCCACCGCCGAGACGTCGGCGCGCAGTGGCTGGTGTGGTGACAGCGGCCTCATCAACGGCTTCATCGGAGGTGGCGGTAGGGGCCGTGGCCACTCCAGCCGCTTTTGCTGCCGCTGCTGCCTCCTCCTCTGCCATCTTCAAGGGGTCAAGGATCGCCTTTGGGTCCTCCGCTAAAATGGCCACCCGGTCGTCCAGCACATGGAGATGGACCTGGGGAGGATAAATAATCCATATATTATTGGGAAAACCTTAGCCTAATTATCACACAAGATTACGCCGACTTCTCATTTTGCTTACGATGGAATGACTGGTTTATACATTTTACAGTTATTCTGATCATGAGGAGCTAGAGTTGCATGGTTACGTGGTAATTATTGGTAGTAAATATGGCAGAGAACACAAAGGAACCGTAAAAAGGGGTCGGATGGCGTACACGAATATAGGCGCCGGTGATAGTAATGAGGCACTGGTCAGCCTCGGTCTTGTCAGCGAGGAAAATCTCATCTGGCACACCCATGGAGTCTAGGGGCCCGAGGGCGTCTGGTTGGGCCGGCATCTGCGGTGGCGGATGGAGTGACGGGGACGCTGCCGCCGCACCCCCATTCGCAGTGGCCACTGTCACCTCGTCGCCCCTCGCTGCCGCCGCCGCGATCTCCAGAGGTGCCGCTGCAGCTACCGATACGGGCGGCTGCGGTGGTGGCAGTGCTTGAGGTGCCAAGTTCGTTTGAGAGGCTCGTTGCGGTGGCTGCTGTGCCGTATTAGCTGCCTCCGGTGGGGCCTAACCAATGGAATACCAAAATATATCCGCAATAATTTTGTAGAACACTAAGCCACAATTCGCTCGACAAAATCCGCACTATGACATTCCAATCCATTACACCCATACTCAGTAACTTACTACTTTGAACGTTTCCTCGATAATGCCAACTGATCAGAAAGGAAGTTTAAAAGATAAGTTTTTGGCAATTCCCTCCGTGCTGAAGAACATAGGTAGGGGTGTTCAAATAATATTTATTTGAGGGTTCGGTGAGTGGAGCCGTGACAAAATAAAACCAGTAGCGTTATAAAAATGAAGCTCATTTTGAAGAATGCATCTTCATGCAAATAAACGGTGAAGTGGGTGCTCGTAGAGAGTAAATCACGTTTAACCAGAAATTAAAAATAAATAAAACTAAAATAATTATCTGGCATTCATATCACAAGGCAGTTAAATCAAGCAAAGAGTAGCCCGTAAATTCGCATTTTGGAGTACCAACACGAAAGAAGCAGGGCTTCAGAAAAAAACATCTGTAAATGAAATTACCGAAGAATCTAAAGGTAGAGGTTCCATGTCTTTGTCGCTAGGGTTTGTCCCCGCCACCTCAGCTATTTCCGTTTGTGCCTTGATGACCCTCCTGGGGAGTGGTCTCATTTCCCAGTGCTGAAATAGAATATAAGTCATTCCAGTATTTGGAAACATCTAGGATCTATGACGAAAAGCGTTTCGTATTTCTAGAGCCAAGGTAACACTTAACCGGAAAACTAGAAAATAAATAAAATTAATCCAAGATTTCAAATTAAACAGACATTTCCCTTATGCACAAATTAGTGTAAACACTACCTGGAAGGGCATGTTCAGGTAAAAGTCCTGAAAGACAGCAAATGTACCGAATACGGCCGTTATAAAGGAAATCTCATTTAGCTCTGGAGTAAACTGGTTAATGACAACTCCGTTGGTTCGCCATATCAAATTTTCAGGATCCCAACAAGCTAGCACGGGCTCCTCAGGGATGATGAGGCAGTCGGGCAAGCTGAAGGCAACACAAAGCGACCATCCGAAAGGTCGATTGATAACAAGAGTGATAGTAGTCAAACAAAATAACATTTGGAATCACATTTACCGTAGCTTAACTTCCACGGGTGGATTCGGCTCTGGAGCATCAATCCGCTTTATGCTAGTTGCAGACGGGTGAACTGAAAATAGACACTTCCGAAGTCAGATGAAAGAACTTACTACTGTTCAAAAATAATACATAAATGATAAATTAAATAATAGAAGCTAACCACTTCTTAATTATCAAAACGGAGGCGTAAGCTTTACAAAAAGATGAGTAACATGGTCTGGAGAAGATTTAAAAGGGGAAATTCGCGAACTCAATTTGGAATTTCTGATTAGGTTTAACTGAATCCCTATCAAATTTACCATAGAGTGAACATAACCTAACCTATTTAGCTATAGTTCCATGTTTAAGCATTTCATTTGTGATCTTACCTCAGCCTGCTTTCAATTGTTAATGCCACCAGCATTTGTAGTACAGGGATTGCGATAATTTTCCACAGTTGAAAATTTAGTGCGAATAAACTAGCTATGTTTACGGACTTACGATCCAAGGGAGCGTCAGTATCAAGCTCTACGGGCACACTGGTTCCATCGGTGTTGACAGCAGTGACCTCTCCCCCTTCCGCGACCGTTTGCTCAGTCCCCTCTTCTTGTGACTGACCACCTTTCTCCTCCTGTTCTTGTCCCTCCAGCCCCTCTTTTACCTCTTCTGCCTTTCCTTCCTCCTCTGTCTCTGTCTCCTCGTCCTCCAACTGAGGCGTATCGACTATATACTCGAAAGGCGTGAGGAGGGGAGGCACGACGCAATTGGTCCACCGCCATCCCCGACCCATGCGCGGCTGACGCGGAAGTTTGAGCAGATCAAACTGGAAGACGCCACCCACCACGTGGTAGTCGCAGAGGTCGATTGCGTCCTCCGGCAGGGGAATAGGACTCCACAGTGGCTTGGCTACGGACAACCACAAGTCTTAGGAGTCAGGTGGGGATCCACACATACAATTTGTCCCAAATGCAGCTATGGGTGATTTGATAGGCTTCAGTATTATGGAATAACCTAATAAGATGTGAGACCCCAAGTTGTTTACACACATCCTTGTTAAATAATGTGGAAAAGTCTCCACATTAGGAATTACCCGTTTAAAACCTTTTAAAAGTATTTTTGGATAATCTGTGTAGAACACCGTCAGAATGCACAATAGTTAAATGGTTCTGCATGTCATTCACTGAGACTAAGGCAACTTTAATCAGAACATCAACTCTCGCCAACCATGCCCCTAGGTTCTCAGTCATTCTGTGCTCTCATAAGAAGAAAGCTCCCATATCACTACGCCCTATGACGTTTGAGCTGAAGAATACAATTACTTGATGTAAGAGCCAAATTTTGCGTTTTAAGGGAACAAATTATGTACTTTTCGTAAGTTAAATATTTTCTATAATATGCCACAACGGAAACAGAATGTGGAAAGTTCACTAACTAATGTATTTATGCTTGATGAGGAATTTAATTTACTTGGAGTTTCCGCACGATCTTCTTCTGGTATTTCAACAACCTTCTCTTCCTCTTTATGCTCTTCTTCCACTACCCCTTCTTTCTGCTCCTCGATCAAAAGGTCGAAAATGTTCTAATGCACAAAACAGGATGGATGATGTCCCGCAATACATTTATGCGTATCGGCAATTAAACAAAGGCAATTATAATTTTTTCACCACAGGATGGAAAAAAACTTGTTGTACAGAACAAGGAAAGCCAAATACCAATGATTTGCTAGGTGTTTTATACAGCAGTCTCATTATGCATCATTGTGTATTATGAGGTAAAAGAATGAAAGGAATGCATCGAATGACTAGAAAAACAAACTAACCACGGAGGACTTTGTATCGACTTTTGTAGCATTAGTTCCATTAGCAGGCTTCTGCATCTCTTCGATCTCACCCGCTGCTCGCATCTCCTCTTTCATGTTCTCTTCTTTCACCTCCAACTTCCCAGCCATCCCTATTTCCTTCCCGTCCTCCGCACCTGTTGGCTTGCCATTCAATCCCGCTACCGCACTGTCCGCCACGCCTTTTCGAACACCTTCAATGGTGGTAATGGAGGACACTTTTTCTTCTGTAAAAATTTTGCACAAGGCCAGTTCACTAAACAACTTACCTAAATTTTGGATAACATAATGATCTGCTAATTTAAGCTATCGCGGCTTTAATCGATAACTTGCTCTAAAAAACTACTTTAAAAGGTGTACAAGTAGAGAACATGATTACAATCTTTTAAAAATTGGCTAGACACATTTCATTAGCACCGTGATCCTACCTGAACCGTTATATACCCTGGGCCGGTATGACAGTGAGGTCACAGAATAAGTGTCAAATTTCATAAAAACAATTCGAAAGGCACAATCCGATAACGTGAGGACCCGGGGAATACTGAAGGTAATGCCTGTCTCCTCAAAAGTGTATCGTCTTATCCTAACGAACCAGTAAGAAAAATTAAATAAACCTAGGATTTTTTGAAAGATTCCCCCATATACACAGAGAGAGCCAATTATTGTGCCAGTACTTCTGCAAGTTGGCAGTTTCTGGATCAGCATAGTGGCTGGCTTTAGTCAGAGTTTCAACACATGCTCTGTTCACCTTCTCTTGAACAAGTTCTCGCAACTCCTGCATGACCTAAGAGAGATAAATTACTTACAATGTAGTGTAGTGTAAACAAACCTTACGATATCTTTCTAACTCAGAGTAGTTTTCGTCCAAATCTGCAATGAGTGTTTGAAGCTCATCGATGAGCTGTGTTAAAAAAGATGGTGTCAAAAAATACAGCAAAATTTACCTTCATGGCATTTACACTATCAACCATAACGTCTTCCATGGAAATACGGTCCTCATTTGTCCGCCAGAGACTCATGTAGGTGTTGATCTCCCTTTCAATGATAGGATTTGGCAGACCATCACAAAGAAGGTATCTGTACCACTAAAACGGGTAACGCAGGAGTACTACACTTACAATATAGTCATCCGCCCTCTCACGTTGAATTTTATCGAGTGCTTGATGGTGCCTCGATAGCAGTTCGCGCGTTTCATCAAGCTCTGCTTTCCGGAACTTTATCTCCTGTTAAAAAAAATAAACAAGATACTTACTATATAGTCACAAAAATTTAGTTTGATAAACGAACCTGATTAAACAACCGCCTAACTAGTATGTTGCTGTCATGATTTTTTCGAAAACCTAGGATTTTTTTCAGGTTTGACTTCCTGGTAGAGTTAATAAAGTGAAGCTGACCAACATAAACTATCTAACCGCACCGGAAAAAAAGTAATGAATCTGGAAAATCTTCCCCAATGCCTATCTAATATGTATACCGCAATTTCCAATTCTCGCAAACGTTGGAGTTCAGCCAGTTTAGCAGCAGCCTTTGATGCTGCCTCCTTTTCCGCAATAAGCCTCCTCTCTAGTCATCAAGCTAAGACCGTTATTAGATCTACCTTCTTCTTTTTTCCTCGCTTCTTCCTCCTTATGAGTAAGTTTAGGCATTATCGCCTTAAGCTGACGCAACCTTGAATGCGGCAACGACGCTACCAAGCTGGAATATTTCACGACCTTAGTAGAACATCTTAACAAAAGGTGTAATTCAACATAATGATATATATTTCAAAAGTAACTCTGAATGGTAACTCCATAAACAGATACCGCCTTTAGCAGGAGGATATAACGCAGGCATAAGGATCTTGAAGTGCTTGTTCATAAGAGATTTAGTTACAAAAGCATTTTGCAAGTATAAACTGGGAATTTTTAAAAGCTGAGTAAGAGGTACCTGCTGCTTTGTTGCATCTTTTGCATGGTCAAAGTGCTATTTTCATTTTGCAATTTTGCTTTAATTACATGCGTTTTTGTAGATGGGAAAACAGTTTTTGTACTTAGTTGCTCCAACATCATGTAAATGACTTTTCAGGAGTGTTTACTCCAAAGCATAAAGGTTGACGGCCTGCTACTATAAGCACTTTTTCCACTAAAATTCAGAAATTACCAATGTGCTCGCCCATTAATCTGGGGTCAAGCCAATAGGCAGTGGGTGTTACAATAGCCCATAGTATCATCTGGCTGTTTCATACCTGTCGGTTTATCATTCAATGACGCTACGAGCGGTTCCTGTTGATTTTGCGTCCAAATGGACGGAACTCGGAGATGTTTGTTTCAAGTTGATCCGATGTGAATATGTTCCAAATACGATCTGGTATAAAAGTTTCAGTGATGTCTATGCCTTGTGCGTGTCTCGTCCTGATCCTCAATCGCCCAGATTATACGATGCGGTTACGGATCTGTTAAAAGATAGATTGTCAGAGATTTTGAATGAGATATCAGGCGTTGATGTTGCCTCATTGCTCACAATCTATAACCACCACTGGAATGTCTTCCGTCGCGGATTACAAGATCTGGATAATCTGTTTAAGTATTTGATTTGTTTTACTATATTTCATATTTGAGGTTTTTCAATGGTCAATATGTTCGCCCTAAAAGACCATCGGAAGCTGACATGTGTTACAGCGAGGCACTTCCTACAGCTGAAAAGCACAACATGGAAATTTTGCAGCTCGGGTTGTCATTATGGAAGTCCTGCTTAATTGACTCTATCAGTTGTCGACTTACCGCGTGCCTTCTTGCAGAAGTTTCAAAGTGATTTTCTTTTTCATGATTTATGGTGGTTAGTGATCGCTTAGGGATTGTTTCACACCAAGATGGTATTGTTCCTTGCCTCGAGTCCTTCCTTCGTGTTGATGAGCTGAAAGGACTTACAAAGGTTACTATTTTTACAACAAACTGCTTATTTTGTTGTAGGTTGCACTAAACGTGTACTCAAATTTGTTTGAGTGTCCTTTGGTAGAAGAATCTCGGATTTGCTATTCGAATTGGGCAGCTAAGGCTATTGCTTCAATGTCTTGTACTGATTACATTTCTGAGGTAAGCCGCATCTCAAATGTCCGATTGCTATTATGGCGATGATTTTGAGATGTTTAGTCTTGTTGATGAGTTTTGAATAATACGCATGAAATCGGAGTTACGTGCCTGTTTTGATACATAGGTAGTTTTTGCATATATCCACCTTTTAAATTTTGAGCTTCTGATTGAGGTCTGGTTGATAATATTTCCTCGTTTTAAAAGTGAGTGAATCAATATGTAGTTTTGATTTTTTCCCTCTTTATGTAGTTGGCCTCAAAATATCCATGTTTTTCCTTTTCTGGATTCAGGCCTTAAAGTTCCTCAACGAGGAAACGAGTAGGGCGACCAAGTACTATATATATTCACGGGACCACCTAATCAGCCTATTCCACGAAATCGTTGTTCACCAACACCTGGAATTTCTCAACTCTAACGTTGCTGACTTCGTACAGACGGAAAATAAGGAGGGTGAGCTTCTATTGGACGCCTTGCGATCTAGTTTTTTAATGCTTGAATTCACTAACTCAAAATCGTTTTCCAATTAATCGAATGGTGTATATGGTATTCATTTATACACTGGCTTACGACAGCATTGAACGTGTTTTCTTTGCCACTGTTAGGATGTTGTATTTCGATTTAGTGCTACGCAAATCCTACCTACTCCTCGCACCAACCAACCAATGTGCCGAGTTGATTAAGTACTTCGGTCTACACGTGAAGGATAAGGTGAATGCCGTTCTTGCCCGCATACCGTCTGATCGTGCGGTAGGTGATTGATTTCCATTGTTGCTAGATAACATTTGAATGAGGAGAGCATCGCAACTTTTCCCCCTTTTTCCCCAAAGCTGGCTCCAGCATACTTCGTTGACAACTTGCTCCTAACAAGAGACCACTTTACCAAGCTCATTGATGAGGTTTTTGATGGAACCTGTACGTACCGCAACGAGATGGACAGGGCGTTTGAGCAGGCCATAAACTCAGCCACTCCACCTATGTCGCAAGCTTCAGTGGCGTCATCTACCTCAGTTTTTTCCTCTCGGTAAGTTTCTTCTAACTCCCTGTGCGTGAATTTTTTCTGTAGTTGATCGTAACATTAACTTTTGGAGAAATACGGTTCGCGTGGCTCAATACATCTGCCGCTATATGGACGATTTGTTGAGACGAACGGACAAGCGCTACTCAGACGCTGATCTGGAAGATAAAATTTCCGCCTCCATTGTCCTCTTCAAGTACATCGAGGAGAAAGACGTATTCAAACAGGTAAACCTTAAAAAACGGTGGTATTTTAGCTAGTGCTCTTTGCACATGGTGGAATAGTTGTACGCATGCCTCCACCCCAGTCATTGTTCTACGGAGAGCCATTTGTTTTGTCAACTTCAATGATAACTTGGTCACCGTCCATAAGGTTGCTTTACTAAATCGTTTTGTCCATCCGCGGCATGTTTCATCCAAAGGTCATCCGTGTAACCTTTAATGATGAGAACGTATCGAGTTAAGGCACTATTATTTTTTTTCCAAATTAAAATTTGTTTTTGTTATGTGCTTTTTGTATCTTAGTACTATCAAAGAAGTTTGTGCTTTCGCCTACTCTTTAATCCCTCCACCCTGCTGGAATTAGAGGAGTCGACAATAACGAAACTGAATACGGTGTGCGGCTACGAGTTCACGTCCAAGTTCCATCGCATGTACGCGGACATTCAACTGGCCGAGGGAATGAATAACAACTTTCGTACATACCTACGCGAGAAGAGCCTTTCCTTCCCCTTTTCGCATCACTGTCACGTGCTCACAGTAAGTTTCCTTGCAGATATGCCACTTATGCTCACGTTAATGTTATCGCTGTCAATGTTGGTCACTCGATATTAGGGTTCTGGTGATAATGATGGAATCGCTCGAATCTAGCCCCTGCAAAGTTTAGTGGAGGTCGGGGGCTGATGAGTTGAATTCCCAACGCAATTGAATTGTTGTTATGATCGTTGAATTGGGATAAAAAGTTTCCTTAAAGGTGAATGTTTGCCTATTAAAAGCATTATGTTTGGTTGAAAAAAACCGTGTAATTCCCTCATTGATTGTGAAGTAGCAGTAGATTTTGGAATTTCTCCTTGCGAATTTTTGTTTGGTTACATGTTTCCACCTATCGTATATGATGTGCAGTAATTCTTTCATTTGTAGGTGAATCAGACTAACTGTTCGATAATAACTTCGGCTGCTTCTTTTGCTGTTACTCCCAACTGTAGACATATCCATGTTGAAGCACATAAGCATTTTCGGTTCCTAAATTCCATCCAACCAAATGCAGTACTCGGCTCAAAGATAAACTAGATTGATGAATTAACACGATTAATTGCAGGTTTTTCAGATTACAGGTAATATACTGACTTCGTGAAGTTGGCATGTTTCCCACCTTCAATATGTGAATTTTGTGCCTAGCTTCGTTTAGAAGTTGTAGTCATGTTTTTATGACATATGGAAGTGTTGATTGATTAATACGATTCTTTGCACTTGCGAATCCCATGAGGTATAATTTCCTTTTAATGTTCAAAAGCATCTTAATGATTGGATTATAATTAATAATGCCTAAATAAATGAGAGCCTGAAGTAATCAGGTCCCAAACGAGAAAGCCGATGCAGCAAATCGAATAATTATTCTTCGACAGGTAAGCGCCTGGCCTATCAATACGAAGAGCAGCATAGTCTTTACCCCGCCCCAAGAGTTGAGCGAGTTCTTGAAGCACTTTGAGGCCTTCTACTCTACGTCTTACACCGGGCGCAACCTGCGTTGGGTGCTCTCCTCCTGCACCGCGGAGGTGCGCCTCCTTTACGCCGACCGGCCTTACTCTCTTGTCATGACGGCGCTGCACGCGGCCACCATGATGCTCTTCGAGTCGCGCGACGTTGACCAGATGACTCTGGGCGCTCTACGCACCGGTCTTCTGGGTGATGCGGGCGCTGCGGCAGTTGCTGCCGCCGAGGTGGAGGGTCACGAGACTGAGACGCCTCCGGAGGACATCATGAAAAAGGCTGTGGCGCCCCTCATTGAAGCGGGCTTCCTTCGGCTTCTGTACCCCGATGGACTCAATCCCACCACTGTCTTTGAAGTGAGTTGAAAGACTCACATTCAAGCCTCTTTATACGGCTCTTCAGTTTACATGTTTTGGATGGTGAAAGTTCGAGTGGTTCTTCTCCGTCTTGCATTTTTTAAGCCCGATTGAGGTACCGTACTCCTCTAAATCAATTTTACAGTCCCAGAAGTTGTCTAAAATTTTGTTATCATTTGCACACATGTCCTTAAATTGCGTTGAGTTCTCTTTTGTGTAGCTTGTCCTTCTGCTATAGTAGTTATCAACTCAACCATTGGTTTCTAATGCGTTTGTTCTCATTTGACATCCTAAATAGTGTTTTCCTTTTATGAGTTATTCAATTTGCATCCATTGCATTCTACAAGTTAGGGTGATTTTAAATCATGTTCGTGGCCTCTGTTATTTGTGAAGAACACGCAGTTAGGTGCTGAAAACTGGGCACATTTTGTGCAAGACACGAAAATGTAATTGATAATGCAAGATGGGTGAAGAGAAGTTGTGCTTCTCACTTGTTGTGGAACAAGGGTGGAGGCGACTTTGCTATTAAGGGTAAAGTGTGGTCCATTTCCGTGCTACTTGTCTCTTCCTGACTTGCTTTTCAAACGGTACTGGAATCTTCAAAAGTCGTCTGTGATCCACCGATTACTTCTTGCCTCGCCTGAACTCATCTCCTCTATTATTATTACTCTTCCTCGCCCAGTTTTCGTACATTCAAACGCCTTTGAGATATTTGCAACTACTGCCGAGCTCTTAGTTCAGCCGGCTCTTTCCAGCCTTCTTAATAGGGTTTACCCCTGGTTTCTTGGCTTCCCTTTGTGGACCACTGTCTTTACGTTCCCCCTTCATCCGATCTTTAAATGGTCGAGCTATCCAAATAATGCTTACATAGTGGTAGTTTTGATAAACTATCAAAGTATAGAGAATGTAGTGGACGACATGAATCTGGAACGTGCATTGCAAACCGGTGGCTGGGCAATTGCTCATTTCAAGCATTTGCATGAGCCGTTTTTAAGTCGCATGAGTCTTTAATAACTCTGGTTTACTTCTAGCTTCTAATTCTGTGGCTTATTTTCGGTCTGCTTACATTTAAGATTATGATTCCCAGCCAAATTCGAAGTTACCAACTTTCATTTGGCTTCACTACGGTTTTGCCAAAAGATGGTCGTAAAACCGATGTGCTAGGAGATTATAGTTCCAAAGGTGTGTTGGGAATCTAAAAATCAGGATTGTTCAGACTTAACAGGGACTCATTTTTCTGCCTCCAAGCTTTCCAATTTCGTTAGGTAGATATAACTCAGTGTATCACATTCCCAGCTTACAGAATCCCTTTTTTATCATACACCTTCCCATCCAGCTTCTTGCTCATACTTTCATTCACATCTTATCCTGCTACAGTGAAGTTCACAGTTCTGCCTATCCTTGGTGTGGGCGTTGCAAAGCTGATAAAGCCGACTGCTTTTATGAAATTGATTAAATTCTTAAGCAATTGTCTCTAAGTAATAATGTTAGAACAAATTGGGTAGTCTTGCTTCTTTGTTGCCTAATATTCTGCTGAAACTTATGTGGATCCTTTTAGGATGACGCAATTGTGACACTAAATAGGGGCTTTACGAGTCGGCACACCAAGCTGAAGTTCCTCTATTCCCCCCAAACTCTTTTGAACACTGCAACGGTGAGTGTTGTATTTGTGCAATGCATGAGATTTGAACAATCCCGTTGAATCTCCTCATCGTTGTCCAACTTTTAGGAGGAGGTGGAGCAAGTGGAGAAGGAAGTGGAGGAAGATCGCCGTTTCTTCACCCAGGCCGCCATCGTGCGCATCATGAAGGGGCTCAAGACGTGTCAGCACACCGACCTCGTTAAGGGCGTCATTGCACTGTCTAAGGGACGTTTCCAGCCCCATATTTCCCTAATCAAACGCTGCATCGAGACACTGATTGAAAAGGGCTATCTTGAGCGCAATCCCAACGATCCAGACCAGTATAACTATATGGCCTGAGTTAGAACCATCTCACTCCTGCCCTCCGTGATACCAGAGACCGCACTGTCACGAACATATTGCTATCACTGCTATTTATAGGTCATTTTACGTACATTGCAAGCCTTTCATTCATAACATCTCAACTCGCACGAAATTTGGCGAGTATAATGCTCTGTAAAGTATACGTGGTAATGTTACTTGTTGGTATTCCAGTCGTAGATCCTGTGTGTGGTTGGCTTATTACTTTCCCTACTTGTGCTTAGTGGGATCAAGTTTCTTTTAGGAAAGGAGAGATCGGCGATAATTGGCTTAAATGGTGCATGTTAGTTGGCGATGGTTGGGAGCTCAGGGATGTTTAAGAATGTCAACGCGGCCAAGAGTATTGTTAAACTTGATCCATAGATAAAGGTCAACAGGGTTTACCACGGTGTTCTGCGGGGTATCCACTCCTAAAATCACATCGTTGAAGTAAACTGCCTTTATTATATCATGGGTGTCGTGTTTAAAAGAACCTTAAGTGAGTAGAAGGCTGACGTCAGAAGGTGGCTTAGGCTTGTGATTATTACCAGCATACGCACATTTAAAGAAGTAATGGATGGATTGGTAATTGAACAGCCCATTTAGAGTATAACAGATGTAACCGCCAGTCCTTTAAATGATGGCCCTCATGTAAGGTTTCGAACCCTGTACACAATACGCAACTAATTAAGCAGAGCAGTTGCTGTAGAATATCGGTAAACATATGCATCAATGCAAATTCGCCCAAAACCCACTCTTTGAAATATAACTTAAAACCATGGCAAAATAATTAGTACTGTTGTTTTATATTTATAGAAGGTATTTATGCCCTGATACTTGCAGTTAAAAGCAAGAGCATTTGTTTTTATGTTTAAATGTGCTATTGGCAGGTATTACCAGTTGGTGCCGGTCCATTTGTAGTTCCTTGTGGTGGTTATAAATGCCGCCTTCTTCTATTCTTTACAGCCTATTATTCGCCTTGCTACTCGATACTGATGTATCACAACCATTTATTGTCGCTCTGGATATTTGTGTTCGCGCTTGTCCGTATTTTGCTCGCAACAGACAGTGAATGTGCTTCCCCAAATGATTACGAAGAACTAGGTTTGTTGTTTCTCATATTTGACGCTTATGACTACATTTTACAGAATTCTTAGACCTTAGAGGTGGTCTGTATAGTGTGGTCTAGATAAGAATTTTGTAATATAGTTTGTTACATCCATCTGTTATCAGTATGTGTGCAAATATCTTTCTGACGATGTGTTTCCATGTACGATTTTTGATTCTCTAATCTCTATGTACTCACATGTACATTACTTGCTTTGTCATTTTAATTTGACAGTAATGCTCTTCATATTTTACGTTACTTCATGCAGATATCAGCGAGTTCTTCTATTCTTCTAGCGTTATCGTAACTAAACGAGATATTTTTCTCCGTAGAATGTGAAAGTTTTGTATTGGATTTGACTCAGCCTCAGTCCTTGGATCCCCTCATCAACTGCACAGTAATAAATGGCAACCTTATTATCAGTGGCTTGTCGAACACTCAATGCGTCCAAAATGGTCTCAGTCTCCCACGACTTTTCCAAATTTTCGGCTCTCTCATTGTAGAGCATTCCAGTTGTAGTGGTGATCTCTCCCACTTCCTCCCAAATTTGATCGCTATCCATGGGATTCTACCGTTCTCGGCTCAGATACCTATCGAGGGCAAAGTTGCCATACCCCCGTGCTCTCTTCTCATCCACCACACAGCTCTCTCAGGCATCGGTCTCCGCTGTCTTCGAGTGCTGGGAAGGCTTGGGGTACTGCTGATTGACAATCCTCAAATGTGTTACACAGATACTGTTGGTTGGCATCTTCTCACCCCCTCGGCATATCCCTCTAAACCCATCTCTAACGACAGTGTGGCAAGTCGAAACGGAGGTGGTGTTTTTGGGCAAGATTTGCTGCGCAAAGAGGGCCTTTTTGACTTGTGCGCTAATGCCTGTCCCTCTGGTTGCGAATGGGTTACCGTGAACAATTTGCCCCGATCTTTTTGTTGGTCTCGCGATCATTGTCAACACGGTAACTTTTAAACTTTTTTACCTTTCAAGCTGAAAAGGTATGCTAAATCATCTCGTTTTTGATTTAGTGTGCGCCACTAAGTGTCGGGATGCGTCTTTGAGCTGTTCGATACACAACATCAGTGAGTGTTGTCACCCAAATTGTTTGGGCGGTTGTACAGGTCCCACAGCAGGAGACTGCCTCATTTGTCGGGATTTCCATCACAATGATATGTGTCTTTCTTCTTGTCCTGACGGCTTATACGAGGTGACTGCATCACTACAATACCCCTTGGCAGTTTCTGTTTGTTTATTTAATAATTAGTGCTGAATAACAGCGCAAAATAACGCATACTTTTGTCTATTAATAAAATGGGCTTGAGCTTCGGCTAAACTTCTTAGTTTGGCGGGTCATTTTTGCTATTTGAGTCACAACTACATCCTTTGGTGATTCTTTTTTTTTATGACTGACGATTTAATCTAAATATATACGCATTATCATGAGCACAAATCCTACGTATAACCGTGCAAAATCTCCATTTTACAATATTAGAACTTGATTGAATTAACTGCTCCGGATTGTAGATCAGTGTGCATTGTATAAGCGTAAGATTTGCGTTCCAGTTGAACTGTCGAATTCTCTTCGTTGCTGCTAGCTTTACGGTCGCTACTGCGTGACTAGGAATGCGTGTTTATCGAAGCCCATTCCGAGGGACCTCTTCTCTTGGGTCTTTCAACGGTCAAGATTCCACCCAAGCGGCTTTTCACTTCAAGGGAGAGAGTGTGTCCCTGTATGTGACAGGAGTTTTCGTCGTTCACCCTCCGGGGAATGTCGTCCTTGTGGTGTAGACTGTGAGGAAGTAAAAAGAGGTGAGTTCCCTGCTACCCATGTCAATCCGCCTGTTGGTAGACTATGTCCTCTGACTTCTTGACTGTTTGGCAGATTGTGGCGATATTGTCATTTATCAGCAAGCTGACCTAGCTTCTGTGAAGGACTGTCTCAGTGCTCGATCTGTGCTTATCAGTATCAGGACAGGTCAAGGTATGCCTGAGTTTCCTCTCCTGCACCTAAACTCTTCATTTCCCTCTGGCTTAAAATGGCTGTTTATCAGTCGCGTCTTCTGTGCGCAGATGATTTGTCGACCTCCCTCGCTGAGGCCTTTTCTAGTCTCCGTGTCATCTACCGCTCCCTGAGGGTCATCCGCTCTGACGCTCTGCTCTCTCTTTCATTCCTTCATCACTTAAGGACTATTCACGGTACTGAACCCATCGTTAAGGATGGATTGGTGACTCCTGTTGAACCGTCTCATTCTGGCATGTACGTTTGCACAGTTGAGTGATTAAAAACTCTCCTGATTTTTTTGACAGGAATGCTGCTGATTAACCTCATGGGTTTACGTTGCTTAAGATAGATTTCGAGGTTTTTACCCTCAAGTTACATTTGAAAAAAATGGTGCACTAGGTATGTAAGTAATGCTCTTTTCACTTAAAGTTAATGTCGCTCTTTTGATTGACCAGAAAATCTACTCACAAGTGCGACGATTTTAGGTGTCAAGTTTTTTTAAACAAGTTTCAATAGGCTTGGATTGCCTATAATCATTTTGAATTGCGGGTTTCTGTTATTTTGTTACTAGATTAGCGTCTATGCAAAGTGCTATACTGTTAACTATATATATTCACCTGTCAATGTATAATGATTTTCTTTTCCAAAACCCCAATTTCGTTTCAGAATCACCCTTATCTAAGTTAAAATCGGCAAAAATCCTCAAGTCTTTTGGAGTCTTTTAATCCCTGTTTTGTTTGATTGGAGGACGTATCGATGGGAAGTACTCCAAGTAGTAGTAGCAGTGGCCTTGTAAATTCGTGATCTGATTAAATTTCCCACTTTCCTAGCTGCCTTTTCAAAGGCTTGGACTAAACTGCTTCTATGTAATTCTGTCGGTACCTTACAGCACCGCCCTAGAGATCACATGGAACGGGAATTTGGAGGACCTGTGGTTTCTCCCTCCAGGCTCACCTAAGTTGGAGATTCTCTCCGGCAGCGTCGAATTTAGCGTCAACAATCGCCTTTGTCCGGATAAGATCCAGAGTTTCCTTAGCGGCAGAGTTGCCTTCGTGACGGGGCGAGAACTCACCCCCTCTGAACTCGATCTCATCAACACCTCCAACGGCGAATATGCTCTGTGTGAGCTGACTGGGGAAAGAGGGGTCTGACTAATTCACTGTTGCAGAAGTCGTGGCTTATAAATCTGTATTCCTTTTATATTGTCGATTTAGGTAACGCAAAACCCCTGAATGTGACTGTTGTTGAGGAAATGCAGAATAGTGTTACTCTGCGAATGAATCGCATGGCATGGAATGATCCTAGACAAATCCTCCCCGCCATAATCTCCTACGGCAGGAGGTGGGCTTGCTTTTCTCCCTAGAGCCTTTCACCCCCCTATCGGGCTTAAAATTTTGTCTTTTTGTTTGATCTAGTGAAAACCGCGTTTGGGATTCCGATATCTACGATCATACCTTCTGTGATAGCGCGTAAGCCTTGGAACTTTATCATTACTGATTTAAGGTCCCTCACAACCTGTGTTTGTGTCATCTACACTAGTTATTAATTGACTGTGTGTCTGGCCGATAAAGTGTGCTAGTGACTGATTGATGTAATCACGAGTCTCCAACCTGCGTACACGCGATGGGAATGCTAATAAGGGATGTTTAAATAGGCAGGACATTTATTCAAAATCACTGCCAACCTGGTGGAGATCATGACAGAAGTTCTCACACTATGTAACAACCGTGAGCACTTTTGAGAACCTCTCGCGTTAAATCTGAACTCGACTTTGATGTTGAAGCTCTCTCATTCTACGTATATCTTTCCGGTATATCGATGAGTATCTTCACAGCTCACAATCTGTTATGCGAGCTATTTTAAACGGTTGTTTTTTAAGGGCTGGACTAACTCCTACACAAATCGTTTTAGTGGGAAAGAGTAGGGTTTTTCTGTTCTGATTCTGCTACCCTTTTGTTTGCAACATGAAGGTTGTAAAGTCTACCTTCTGTCATTATGGCCAAATCCAATGTCAGGTTTATGTTCATTGGTAGCGGTCTCTACTGAAATACTGCAGATGGGTTTTTCGCTGTTGAAGGCCTTGATCAGTTGAATTTTGATGGTTGAATACGGTGCGGGCTTAGCCGTGAAATACGTAGTAGCTGAGGGTTTTAGTTTTGTTGACCCTTTTACTGTAAGGCTTGGGTGAGCCTCACGTCATATCTTTGTCCTTCATGACTTTTCATGTATTAACCCAACGATTCATTTCGGGGCCATATTGTGAGATATCGGGGTACTTTGAAACAGAAGGTATTCGCTCCTAAATTCACTTATAGAATCAGTAAATTCCTTAAACATTAAAAACCCATTTCACCACAATGTTGGCAGTATATTGTCGTGTTCTTCGCTCCTTCCAGATGGAACGAGGCAGAGCTGAACTGCGGCCTCCCCCAGTTTCCCTCATCACCATCACAATTCCGAATCGGCGCGTCGTCATCACGTGGTTCCGCTAGTATCGGCGGCGGAGGCGGAGGAGGGGAGGAGGTTTTAACATGTCTCCTAGAGAATCTTGCTCCTGCAACCACCTACTCTGCTTTCATCACCATCGCTACGCTGAGTAAACACGAGGGTGCTCAAAGCCGGCGCTTCCACTTCACTACGAAGCCCGCAAGTATGCGTCCTTCCCTCCATAGCTCACAGTTCCTTCTTTCCACTTAGTTGTGTGATTGAGATATAGCGCATAGGCGATCTTCGAAGGCGTATAATACCGATAGGCAGTGTTGTTGTGATAGGTTCGGCGTTTATCTCTTCCTCCTTGGCATTCAGTCCCTTGGAGCGAATAGACTGACTAGGTAGGCGCGTTCTTTATTGGCGATATTATGCACGGGTTGCAGTAAGCAGAGTTCCACACGCTCAGCATACACTTCTACCTCGGGGGTAGGTGACGGCCGTTACGTAACGAGTTTCGTGTTCACCAGGGTCTCGCCTAGGAGGTCAATTCCAACAGTCATGTATTACAGCTGCAACAATGCAGAATGCCTGGGGATCAGAGGTGCAAACAGTATGATCAGGGCCATTGACATCCCGTATAGGGCCATAGTATGATTTAACTTCATATACAAGGCCCAAACATCACCGAATTGTTTTGTAGCATAATATATGCAAGAAAGAGCTGATAAATAGGTAGAACTGTGAAAGGTTGGCGCCCTTAGTATGCACCGTGTTTCCCATGAATTGTTTTCCGTTTCATTTTAGTTTATGGCTAAAATGTTTAGACTTTCATCCGTTTAAAATACTATTTTTTGCAATCTCTTCTTCATTTATTGGAAATCATTGGTAACTGAATTTCATCTAAACGAGATTTTAATCCTGACCATAACTATACAGTGTGTAGCGCGTTGAGACTTCCCCGAAGACGAAAGAAGACGTAATACTTGGATCATTTAAGCGGTGTCTAAGTAGAGAACATCTCACATAGGTCTTCCTTGTTATTGACAATATTGACAAAAACACGCGAACAAGCAATAATGCGGTGAAATGTAACGCCATTTTATTCGGTCTAATCGTAGTCTTCAATAGAAATTTATAGGAAGAACTTTGTTTTTTCGCAGCTCCCTCTGCGCCGACATTTTTGCGAGCCATATCCGCGGGTCCGACAAGCATTCAGCTGCTGTGGAATCCACCCAACCGTCCGAATGGGAAGATCGTCGAGTATCGTATCCGCTACCTGCAGATGAAGCTGGAGAAAAATGACTTCCTTTCTCGCGATGCATGCTACAACAGTAAGACATTTAATGTAAAATTTTCCAATTTTGATTTGCCGTATTGTGACCTACTCTCGTTTAGTTGTAATCAAAATAAGCCCTACGTGAACACTCAAGATTTGTTGGCTGATGTGATCTACCATCTTATGTTTTATGATCTCACCTAGTTAACTCTTAAAATATTACCAAACATGAAATGTCAGACTGCGACTTGGAGTAGGTTTGAGCTATCCTCGTTTTGCCCTCATCTGTCTTGGCCTTAGCTCAGGCTCCTCACGTCAAAATTCATTATGTGGTTGAAGGAATCGGGTGCTTCATGTTCAGTGACCTATCTTATTTCTCCAATTGTTCTGTTCCGAATTCGGGCAGCAATTAATTCAAGAAGAAGTGCGTGATTTCAAGTTCTCGAAGTGATGCCGGAGAAAATTAGATATTTAAAATGTATATGTACACGTACATAAGGGATGGAAAAGGGACTTATTAGTCTACTTTGCGTTGTTTACTATCTACCTTGGTCTCATCTCAGATTTTCAACGTGAATAGTCAGGCTGAATTGACTAAGGAAACAGGACCTTTGATGTTTGATGGCAAGGTGGGGGAGGGAAGGATGTAGGATACTCACCGTCTAAGTACCGGTGTGGGTGTAGTTGCATTTCAGCAGCGCGCTTCCTCTACCACCAATACCCTCTCCGATGAGACGAGCGGGAAAGGTGGTGGTCATTCGCTGGGTCCGGACGACTCCTCCTCGGTGAATGCGGAGGTGGCCGAGGAGGAGGGGGAAGAGGCATCGGAGGGCTGCGACGCCTTCTGTAAAGGGACTGGTTCCTCTGCTTCCACCTCATCCTCTTCCACCAAAGGTCTCAAACGCTCTGAGCTGTTGTTGGAGGAACTGCAACGGCGTGAGATGATCCGTTTTGAGGATGAGCTGCACAAAATCATCCTCATCCCCCGAGTGTGAGTCACTTTATCTTTTCTCGGTCCCGAACTCTTAGTCGTGAAAAATCTGTTTGATGACCAATTGCTTCATTTTATTTTTATCGTATTCACTGTCTTAATAAAAACTTTAGTAGGGCTCAACAAAATTGTGGAAGGTGTTTTAGCCGTTTGTGGAACTAGTAGCTGCTACAAGGTCTGGTGATATAAATTTGAAATTCAATTTATATCTATATTCTGAAGTGTGTGCGACAAAGGGTGAGACCGATACCAGCTGCTCAGTCGCAATTGTCGGGCTCATCCCTTTTTTAACGGTCATTTAATTAATTCATATGAAACTGTCGGAAATTTTAGCTTCAAGGTATATAATGTAATTGATATCATGCTTTTGCTTTTGAACTGTTTTAATGCCCATTGGAGTAAAAGAACTCTTATGGCTGTCAAAGTTAATCGGTCACTATTCACCATACACCGTATAGAGGCCCTTCGACCTTGCATCTTAGCGGCGAGGTGACATTTTTTGAGGCCTCTTTGCTCCCGACATTTGTTCGACTCATGCAGCAGAAATCAACCTATTCTCCACTTTCTTTGCCTCACTTGTATTATTTACGCCCGTCGGGCATTTTTTGACCAACAGGCCACATTTCAACTGTTTACCCTAGTCCTGTTACTGATCATTTGTTTCCCTTGTTTACTTCATGCGTCGGGTTCAGTTTCTTGCCACCACAATAAGTGCTTCCTTCTTTTACCACTAGTTTTAAATGACAGCTCTAATGGGTTGCAAAAAGTCCTATGTATGCCTCCATATACATTACACGGAACGTTCTTGTCATCCTAAATCTTTACATGAACTACAGCACTACGAAGTCTTTTTATACAATATTTACATCACTCGCTGATCGATTTTCTGTTCTTTTTTGGGGGGAGGGGGGTGGATACAGCAAAGGGAATGATAAATGTCCATTTCAAATTCACTACTTTGTTAACTCATGAGCAACCGACTTTACAAACAGCAGGAGTAGACTCACTTAAATATCAAGTGATGTTTTTTGGTGTGGCATTTAATGACTTTTTTTCTTCTCTTTATCCCCTACGCTTTCCCCAACTTTGATTCACCACCACTTTTTCACCAATCCCACCTCCTCCTAATGTGTGCGTGTTTGTTTGCAACGTTAAACTAATGGTGATGTGTGGAAAATCATTTCTAAACTTAATTACGCTGCTTTCTACGGCTGCTATTACAACAGTCCTTACAAGAGGCGTAAAAGCCGACCAAAGCGGAGCCTATGGCAAGTTAACGCTAAATAGCGCCCACTCCCTCCACTATCCTCTCCCTCCCCCTTGTGATGCTTGTGATTTTGTTTGACCAGCTCCACCCACTCATCCACCATTCCTTCCCCATCCCCCTACCTATCCTCCCCTCTTCCTCCTACTCCTCCCAACTACCTTTCTGTCTGTTTTGGTACGTGCATACACGCAAGCGCTCTATTTCCTCCTCCTCAGTCACCCCTGCACGCCAATGCGTGTTAAATTTTATCCTTTCCTAGGCTGAGGAAAAAATTAGCCACTTTTGGGTTGTGGGTGACTAGCACTTGTTGTTATTTGTTACGACTAGTACTGATAGTTTAGAGTGCTGCTATTATTCTTCCCTCCTTACAAAGCATGTTCCCATCTGCACCCATGATTCGCCTATTCGACAGCGTCTCCTGTGTGTGCTTTCAGTTATCTTGAGTTCGACAGCGACCTCGCAGCTGCTGGTGGAGATGACAATGAAGGTGAAGATAAGGAGTGAGTATACACACCCACAGAACTGACATCTTTCAACCGGAACAACAAAAGTGTGCCTTTCCTGTTTTTTGATCCATGGAACCCCGCCGACCTCGAATAAGCTACCCCTTCTTCCCCCCACCTAAATACCGGTGTTGAAGTCAGACCGCGTTGCATGGTCGAAATTGCTTATTCGTGTGTTATAGTTAATTTTATTGAGTATTTTTGTGTCCGTTGTCCCGGTGATCGGGGTTACTGTACCTTATCCGTTGTTTTAATGGCCACAGCTTTTATCCCCTCCCCCCACGCATATACGTGCACATACCCATTGGTTGGCATGAGGCTTATAAATTTTGCTTTGTGTTGGCTGCGACTTACTGCGCTTTTGCCATAGAGCAACACTGCTTAATCAAGTAAATGCCGAGTACAGATTTGGGCTGAACTCGATCATGCTTGCGTGCGCGCGCACTTGCCTCACCTCGTATTCTGTGCTGCAAATATTTCAGCGACCCATCTCCCTCTACCTTTTCCTCTAGCTAATCTGGTTACTCACCGCACCTGGCTGGTTTTAAGTATTATTGCTTGAATTCAATGTACGTATGTGTATATATAAGAAAATGCGTATTTTATAATCACGCCATTTAACTGCCTACCATTAACCTATATGCACTCTCTCTAACCCTCTGCAAACGGTTTCAGCCTCCTTGAGTTCGACAGTCAAGAACCCTTCTTTTATATGGATTTCGAGGAGGCGTGAGTGCACTATCTTTCTCCCCGTTTTACCTTCGCCCCTCGCTTACCTCTCATCACCTCATTGTCATATCCTTTCTGTTTCATATTTCGTATTTTTTGTTGGTTTATCATCCTCGCCTTTTATGTCTATCTGTGTTGGCCATTCGTCTCACATTTACGTCTGCGTTCGTTTGGACGCGCTGCATGCCTGCTAGTTGTTTGCCACAAATCATCGTCCGTTTTTTGATGTCAACTGCTCTCCTCTCCCCGTAGTGCATAAAATAGAATCCGGACTCACACGCAGGGTGGGAGCTTCGTGCTCTCATCCACAGTTGTTTATCCTCCCCTACCCTCAGCTCCTACTCCCTATCCTATCCTTCCCCCTCCCTCCTCCTCCCCTTAGCTCCACAACCACACGCTCTCACCACACCACACTACCTGATCCTGATCGTCCGGTGTGCTTATCTCGATTTAGGATGCAGCGCTTCTACGACTACGCCCATAGAGACGACTACCTTTATGGCTATGGTTCTCATATTGGTGAGTAATTGCCATTTTAACCGGTTGCCTGTGCAGCGCTCGACTTATTCCTGAAAACTTTACCAAGTGATGGGTTTCTAGCGTTTCTGGAAGAGCTAGAAGTCTAGCAGCTTAGGGGTCGCAGTCGTAGAGGTCGAATCACGAGAGATCGTACTGCTCAAGATTGAAAGTCTGGCGCGGTGGAATGACTGGTCAAAATGGATTTCTTACTACTACACTCGAGTTTCTTCATGCTTTTAGTTCGAAAACGTCGTGACACGGGTGTAATGAGTACCATGTCGCCTCAAAAGACCATACATGTTCCCGTCTCTCCCGAGAGCAATGGGGATGTCGGTGGGCCGGCGAAATTGAGTTTCCTGGTGACTGGATTGGAGCATTTCACCGAGTACCTGTTCCTCATTTCCGCGTGTCACGAGCCTCATGATGAATATGGCAATCCGATGCCCTGTGTAAGTGGCTTTAAACTGGGAATGTTATCACCTGTTATCGGTCCAAAAGGTCATTGACTTTTTAAATGTTATTTGACACTGATTCCTAGGTTTCATATCGAAATGGATGCTCTGCATTTAACTTTAGCTTAACTTAGGCCAGAAGCGAAGGTTTCGCCGAATCAGGGAGTGTACTAAAGTTATGACATCCATTTATTTTTATTCATAGGCAGATAGGCCCTTACTATCGATAAATTACCTTACCATTGATGCAGGATTTTCTTATATAAATGTCCATAAATACAAGACTCATTTAAGCTGCGTTCACTTTATTAGCCTACATTTCCGTCAGAGATTTCCACCGTCTTGTTAACTCAAAAATATCACGATGGCTGTGTTTTATTGTATCTTATTGTTTCTAAAGACGATAGCTGTGACATTCGATGAGCGAAAAAATTCGTGCGATTTTCGATAGAGCTGGGTGCAATTATTTGAAGGGATAAGAAGTTGTGAAATTCTCGCATCACAAAGTGTAAATAGGTATGCGTCAGTCTGTCGGTACAATACCCCTCACAATACTCCACCATTTTTCCGCTATTTCAAGCCCTTACGTCATAAAACGTCGGTCAAGCCTGTTAAATGTGGTTCGAGCTGGTTTGCCTTAAAAACTACGTTGAAATTGTTTCCAATGATGCAAACGCTTCTTATATGGCCTCCTGTACTGGATTTGGGAAATGTGCAGTAGTTGAACAACATCCCGTTCAGAAATGATTTTAACAAGTAACTTTGATTTGATGATAAATTACTAAAAGATAGATGCATCACATTCTAAAACGTCATCTAATCTCGACAATTAAGATTGTGTATCGCCATTGATTAAGATAATTTGAGATTGCCGTGCCAGGAATGACTTTCAGTAATGCCTGAGGTCGTGAATGCTGAAACAATTAGCTTACGTCCATATCAATAGGGAAAAGGAAGTCGTGGAGGCCACACGACATGCATCAGGAGATGAAAGTCTGTCATTTTTATCTTGACTCCTTACAAGTACGTTGCAAAAACTCACTGCGATGTGAGGCGAACAAATACAGTATTGGTGATACCGAAGTGACCCACTCAGTACTTGACATTGCTGAGGCACCACTTCACGTGCATGAGATTACGTTGTGTGTAGCGTGTGTAGTCAAGTGGAGGGAGTTGTTTGGTCTGAGTTGGTCGTCCGCTGAAGGCCAAACTAGAGTCACAGACTTATCTGTATCCTCTTCCTGCGTATTCCTTGGATGATGTTTCTCCCTTCTCGAAGTTATCACCGGTAGTATCTTGGCAATAGCACCTAATGATGGAACAATCGCGTATGGAATTGAAATAGCCGGTCGAGTGATAAAAGTGGGACTGAAATAGGTGTGGCTGGGGCTGCATTTTTTGTGGATATTTAGAGATATTTGGTTGTAGGAATACATTAAATTTCTCAAAATAATGTTTTCTCGGAAAAGGATTTCCATTAAACATTGCTTAGAAACAGTTTTCTATTGTTATCATTACTGTAGTGTAAAGTCACACTAGCTTATTTAGTTACATTGTCACTTTGAACGTGTGTACGATTTCTTATACCTCTCCAAAAGTTCACTTTTCATTTTATATGTTTCTCCTACTACGAACTTTTGTTTCTTAGTCGCCAATATTCTATGCCAGATTTCACCTCATAAAACGTTACTCGTTTCGAAGGCAGTCCTGCTGTAGCGCAATTCTGTTTCTTTCGATCCTAAGTAAAACCCCTTTTGATTTCATTCTTAGTGGTATTTTTAATAAGATTTCGCGGGAACTATTTTAATATTGATTTGGTTTTTGTGCTTTTCTCTGCGTGTTTTATGTAGAAAAGGAACTGAAACATTCTTGAAATCCCTTCAAGTACCACATCACAAAAAGTGGAGTGACAAAACCCAGATTTTGTTTTGCGCGTTTTAGATTTGCTCTACTACTCATTTCCTCCTCTAAACTCTCTGCAGCGTAGTCACCGTTTTGGTAAATTACTCTTACTGCGCTTTACACTCCACTGAAACATTCTTTCACCCATCGGCGCTTTACCCCTCCCAGACGAGTGAAGACTGCGATCTGGAGCAGGACGCGGGTTGCAGCCAGGCGGTGCGCATATCCCAGCGCACACAGGCGCTTCCACACGCGGACGAGGTGCCCTCAGCTAGTCTTTACGCCCTGACCCCCCTCCAAGCCACCACCACCACCAGCAATAGCCAGCCACCCACCAACTACTCGAGCGACCCCCTTGGCAACCTCTCTCGGTTCGCTTTCAATACTTCTTTCGCTACCTCTGCCACTACCATTCAAAAGAGGCTTCCGCAAGTCCCGTCTTGCTTTTCTGGAATGAGCCACAGAGTCCTAACGGACTCATTCTCTACTACTGGCTGCAGTACCGCCGTGCTGAGGGAGCTTCTACCGTTCCAGAGGAGTCCTCCTCTGTGAGATTTATTTTTACCACACTACTCTCTCGACACAGTAATGGACAACAATCTTCTTTTCAGCTCCCATGGTTCGTAATCTGTGTGACACCTAAATATCTGGAGGATGACACAGCGATCAAGGCTTTAGCAGGTCTGCGCTGCGCAGCGCCGGTGTCGAAGAGAGGAGCGGTGGTGATCGCGGAGCGGGCGGCGAAAGCTGAAGGTGCGAACCCACAGTGCGACCCTGCCACCCGAACCGTCTTCACGGAGTTGGGATTTTTGCGCGCTGGTTTTTACGAATGGCAAGTCATGGCTGTCTCTTTGGCAGGCAATGGATCGTGGACCAAGTCACACTTCTTTGACGTGCAGATCAATGATGCCCTTCAGCCATGTGAGATATACTAATTTCCATAAAAAAGAGACTTTTTTGTCCGTTACTCTTGCTGTGTCAATAGAAATTATGCCAGGAGGAAACAAATGGGCCGATTTTTTATTTTGAAGATCTTAAAATTAGTTTACGCTATAGTATTGCGTGCTTTGTTTCATCCTTAATTTATTGCCTTATTTTTTGTACTTTTCGAGTGACTTTTAAATAAATAATATTTTCATTCAACAGCTCATATAGTGGCAGTTTTGGTGGTCACTCTTCTAGCAGTCGGCTTTGTTATTGCGTTAGCCGTCTGGTTCGACTACCGGAATAAGAAGTGAGTCTTCTGAGTCTTTGCAAAGTCCCCCCAAATTTTCGCCTAGTATGCCGTGAAGCTTAAGTTCGTTGCGCAACTGTGCAACCAACGCATGTGGCTAATTTCCTATCTGGCAGACGGAGAATGAACGCATTGAAGAACCGCAAGTCGGAGTACCTGGAGTCGCTGTTGCTGGAGAACTTTCAGGACGAGTGGGAGGTGGACCCAAAAGACCTCAGCTACAACGTAGAGGACACACTGGGTCAGGGTAGTTTCGGCCTTGTTTGTCGCGGTCGTCTCGCTCGCCTCACCACACCTGCGGCCGAGTATCTCCACCTCGCAACCACCTTCGCTAATGGGGGCAGTGCTAGCCCTGGCGGAGGGGGAGGTATCAGACCTTCCTTCACACACTCCGCCTTGAAGTCAAAAAAGTGGCTCACTTCCATCCTACCGAAACGCCTCCGTCGTGGCTCTGTTGCCAATGGTGATGCTCAGGGCATGGATGTTGCTGTAAAAGTTAGTTATAACCTGAGCGCTAAACCCTGATCAACGTGCATCCCGGTTGATTTAGTAGATGTGGTGCTAATTTGTCTCTTGTGCAATCTTCTTTTGAAATTATAAGTTAATGCTTTTACTTTTAAACCTCGGAAACGATCTCATCGAAACTATATCTTATTGGTACCAATGATGAACAACTACGTGATTGATTGAAAAGCAGAGCAGTTTGTGGATTCTTGCAATCTCCTCAACACAACGCGGACATGACGCATTAAAATCTGTTAAAAATGATTAACAATGTCATTGCCACTGTGATGTAGCGGCACGTAAAGGTTTTTTTATGATGACTATTGGAGCCAAGCGCTAGGATTTTTATTTCTTTATTTATTTGAAGCTTTTCTGTAAATTTGGAAATTCTTGACGGTAATTAAAGGCCCTATTTTCGGAACCCTATTCAGTGAGAGCAAGCGTTTGGAGTAAAATCTGCCAGATATTATGCAGTAACTTTGTTTTTTTTTAAAGACTAGTTTAAGAAAGCGACGTTTCCGACAGTTTAATGGGGTCAACCGATGAGCGTCTTCGGCAATCGTTCCCTCATTCACCTTCGTTAACAGTCTTAGTTCATTTATCGAACATGCGAATAATGCAGTCTCATGTTATTTGCAATGTTCCTTAGTTGTTCTGTTATGCCTTAGATTTGATAATCTGGCCAGGTGCACTAGGAATGTTTCAGTTGGACTTTCGCCTTGTCCCTACTAAACGGCTCTTCGGCCTTGAGGTTTTCCTTTCCATCTAAAATTAAACACTTTTGATCAAAAGTTCGGTTTGATTTTACGAAGCGATTTACTGTATACTACTTGCATGAATTACTAGATAATAAGGGAGAATTTTGGTATGAAAACTAACTACTCCCGTCCGGTGAGTTTGTTGACAAATGGAGAGGACTCATTTACCGTAGTCAATTGCATTCAAGGTACTCATTGACGTCAGTAGTGGTTCTGTTAATTTTGCACTGATGCCTTTAGATATTATCACCCGGATCCACATACGAGGATGTTCGTGAGTTCCTTGGCGAGGCCTCCCACATGAAACAGTTCAACTGCAACCACATCGTTCGACTACTCGGAATTGTTTCAAAACAGGTGAGCCTATTTAGACGAAACATTTCGCTCGTACCTACTGTTAGTATCATGTGACGAAAAAGTTTGTGCTATTTTCGTTATACCTTACTAAAATTATTTACTATAAGCTATAGGAATACTTGGAATGCGTTTATTGCAGAGCATAGGTATGCGTCAGTCTAGCAGTGCTCTTATTTGTGCTCCTACCAGTTTTCTGCAATTCCGAACTCCAAAAAATTGCTGACTGGACGTGAGGGGTGTGATACGAGGTAGCTTGTTTTACGAATTCATACTCGTCTTCACAGTTGTAAAAGCCTACCTCAAGTGTTTTCAGTGATTATGGTGATGGGTAAATCACTAAGAAGTAGATGCATCATCTTCAGAAACGTCGTCCCATAGCCTTGACAACGAAGAATTTGGATCACCAGTGTTTAAGATAATTTGAGATTGCCGTGCTCATGTGAACGGGAGACAGGAAGTCGTGGAAGCCACATGCCATGCACCATCTGACGAGAGACTATCAACTTGTTTTCGACTTTAACCGCGTAGGGCGTAAAGGTGCACTGTGCATGTCAGATCGCTGACCGACCGACCGACTAACTGACTGACTGACATGTGATGAGAAATGGACTTTATGTTGTTATATAGCGATGTGAGGCGAACAAATACAGTATTGGTGATACCGAAGTGACCCACTCAGTACTTGACATTGCTGAGGCACCGCTTCACGTGCATGAGATTACGTTGTGTGTAGCGTGTGTAGTCGAGTGGAGGGAGTTGTTTGGTCTGAGTTGGTCGTCCGCTGAAGGCCAAACTAGAGTCACAGACTTATCTGTATCCTCTTCCTGCGTATTCCTTGGATGATGTTTCTCCCTTCTCGAAGTTATCACCGGTAGTATCTTGGCAATAGCACCTAATGATGGAACAATCGCGTATGGAATTGAAATAGCCGGTCGAGTGATAAAAGTGGGACTGAAATAGGTGTGACTGGGGCTGCATTTTTTATTAAAAAACGTATTATAAAAGTGTCAGTTAAAGATAAATTTTATCCGTTTGGGAAGAGACCGTCGGTTGTGCTGTTTTTCTGTTAGGTAATATTATTCAAGAAACTTTGTTCAGTTGTGTACTTTTTAGCATAATATCGCACGAATTCATTGCATTTCCATATAAATTTATTAAAGTAATCTTTGTTCTCTCTTTCGGCTCTAATATAAGGCAGTCATTTTTTGTTTGCTAACTTGATAGGCTGGATTAAGTTCAGTAAACATGCTCACAATCACGCACCTGCAATACCAACTCTTCTGGGGTAAAGTTTTTCAGTCCAATTTATGTATTTTACCATTCTGTGCAATAATCATAAAAAAGTGGACAGTATTGTGGACTCTTCCCCTTCGATTTGGGGACGCTAGCGTTTCGCATGCAGTTTCAAAACAGTGAAGTAATCACGGCCACGATGGTTTACCGCAAATATCTTTTCGTTACCATATATGGGTTATTTTGGGAGTAACCGAATGCAAATTTTACAACTGTGTTGATAAACGGAGTTTTGAATGGCGAGTCCGTTCTTTCTATCTACGGTTTAACCAAGAATGTACTTTTACTTGGATGATGTACTAAGTTGTGCTTTGAGCTAGTAGATTTGTCACTACCGCCACTTCACTGTGTGAACGAACTTATGTTGCAATCGAACTTATGTCTTGAATAAAGAAGAGTCAATCTTTCGCCGCGAAAATGGCTGTAATTCTTTTGGTGTGCTAATTTTTCTTAAGAGGTATCCAAATGACCTCCGCATTCCTAATGCCATTTTTGGATTGCCAAACTTACCCATACATCAAATGAATTCCTCGCTCCTTGCTACTACTTATAGATTTTATCGTCATTTTTATAGGAATTTATTTTTTCGTACATTTGATAGCCTGTTTTTGAATAACCTTGATTATGTCTACCAGATCTCCGCATACATAAACAGAATCCTTGGCAGAATGACCATTTTCCACCTTACCCCCAATTTCGCAGCCATCCTAAATCCATCCGTCTCTTGACTTCGTCAGGATGCATGTTTTTGTCAGTGTCTTTTTCATGGTATACTATAGGTCGGCCTACATTCATTAAATAAAAATATGCCTTGTTGCTATTCCTATTATTTTACAAACGCCTTTATTTTGAGGACGACTGCTTAGGCTAATCGGATTTCAGCAATCATCCCTCTGTTTGTCTGTGTTTGGGCTTGCCTTTAACAGGTCGGCGATGCAGGCTGAACTGATCGCTTTGAGGCGTTCATGACCCTGTTTAATGAGTCTAAGAAGAATTGCATAATGCCCTCCAAAGACAATATTTCATCTTATGGCAGGGTATTCCCATATCTTAGATCAGGCTGCTGAGTAGGGGGTTTCTTTTTTTTTGAAACTTCAGAGTTTTTATACTGCTATTTAGTGTTGAACCTTTCCATTAGTAGCAAAGTGGGTGAGCGTAAAAGCTGGCATCTAGGTGACGGCCTTTCTTGCTCCACTTTACTTCCCATCGAATACCTTGAACAACATAAACAATTCTGCAGTTTGGCCTTGCAACTAGTTGCGTTCGCCCTTTTTAAAAGGGTTCCATTTTGAACATGATCATTTAGTGCGGTTTTTGATGGACAACTTTCATAATCAGATATTTTTTCGTAATAAATTACCTTTATTGTCAAAGGTGTAACTGATTTTGGGGGTTAAGCCTATTATTTGGTATTAGCTGTCGTAGATGAGCTTAACCGTTTACCTCAATAGTCAAAATGCCACTGTTCACTTCAATGTAATCTTCATCGCCGCTCCATCTGCTTTTTCAAAGCCCATTTGTTCTATTAATGCCACTTTTATGCTATAAATAGCCACTCACTTTATATTTGTAGAGCTTCTAATTCCATAGCATCTCTTAAGTTTTTCGCCTCCATTTGTATTTTCACCTAATATTTCAGTGGACTAGCTGATTCCAGCGGTTTGTGTGTATCGCAGCTGTAAAAGTGTTATAATTCGTGCAGGGCATCCAAGGTGCTCGTTGAAATTGCTTCCTTAAAAATTTCCCAAATTAGCCAGAAAATTATTCATTTTAACTAAGTTTATATATTTCTAGTACCCTGTATTTCAATTTTTTCAGAGACGAGCCAATTCGGGCAGGTGTTCTGACATCATGTATGTCCTTGTAGAGTCGCAATTCATTACCATTGTCACCTAGGTGTGATGTGTTCTCTGGCAGTTGATGAGGAGTGCATGCACCACATTGTGCTGTAAACAAATTAGTCAATTTTAAAGCAGCAAAGTGGGTGTGGGGTGCTTCCGGTCTGAGTTGTTTAAGTACTTCTTTTTCTCGCTTTTGTGGTATATAACGTTCAATAGAACCTATCTTCCGTGGATTGTGGTGGTTAATTCTCCCCTGATTGGGGATTTGGTTAGGAACGTGGTAAGGAAGCTTGTCACTACTAGTTGAATAACATCTTCACCTTGTTTTTGAGCTAGTACTCTCGAGTGTTGGGTATTATAGCCAAACTAACAGTCTCCATTTATCACAACCGCACCGATGTTGCTCATCGTTATGTCTTAACATGTTAATTTTGATGGATGAAACTCGGTAACTCAAATTCTGTTTAAACGCTTTAAGCATCAGGCAATTGAGCAATTTGCGCTCATTCAGGGCAACAGTTACGCTCTGGCTATTTCCCTTCGAACAAATTATCTCATTTTTTGCTCTCGTGAAACCTGAACGTTGCTGGGCTTTTGCTCTAGGCTGTCTAGTGTTTAGGCGTTTTCTTATCAGCTCTGGTAGTGGTGACCTAGCAAATAAATCATCCAAATTAAAGGTGCTCTAACCGTTGGCACGACACTTTCATAGCTTCCCTTTTCTGTTTAGGGTTGGTTGTTTATGCCTTGGTGTAACTATATAATTAACTATTTTGGGAAGAGTTGGTTAATGTCATTTCCAATTTTGGAAGACAAACAGGCTTGATTAATGTTTCCATTTAATAAGGTTCCTTTTTGTGGATATTGTAAACTTTTTAAAGCATGTACAAATTTGGTCACACACTTTGTCATCACTGACATTTACAGTACCCCCAGCCTCCTGGGGGTTGCTTGTCACCATCGCATGGTTAAGGTATTCAAGCTTTTGCCTAAATCTTCAAACTCACCAATCGGTTTTCATCGTAATTGCAATTGAGACAGTCATAAGTTGTCTCAAAGTTTCTAGCTAGGGATAGCTAAACCTTCTGTTCTTGTCGTTTTAAAGATGTCTTAGCTTGTCGTTGGCCAATAGCAGCTATTGGGAAGAACGAATCTCGTAACCACAAATGCTTTAACCACCGTGGACAATTGAGTATCTTGTGATCATTGGGGGTAGAAATAACGCTTCCGCTTGTGGACTGATAACAAGATGGCTAGATGTTAGCATGCCAGATTCCTATTAATTTTTATAGGCTTTCTACATGCCTGTGTGTTAAGATAGGCATTCGTCCGCTAACAGTATTTTATGCGTTTTAAAATGTCATACCATGAATTGTTGAGCGTGTTCTCCCGCCTCGGTAATTGTATAGGGCCGGAGGCATTATTACTCCTCCGTTTTGCCTAAGTTTAACAGCATTTGTTCTGTTTTGATCGTACTTTGAGAGAATTTTAGGCCTGTCATGATGTATGACGGGAAGTCAATATTACTTTGTAACTTTCCCTTCAGCCTTTGATCTTGTAAGTTATTTGTTATTAGTCACGCTACTGGCGGGTCAATATTGTGGTTTGATGCGCCTTTTTCGTATAGCTGGATCCACTAAAGCAACCGTAGCATTGACGGCTCTGCGAAACAAAGCATGTAGCTTTGTTTCGAGCTGCGGTGGATAAAAAAATTCAGGCACGTTTGTATTTCAACCACTGTATCTATTGAAAATAGTAGTATGCCAAGTTTGTGCATTGCTTGCATTTTAATACACCAGTGTGCTGATAACTGTGTAGTACTAATTGGATGTAGGATTTTGACGTCTACGTTGCTAGTCTGCCAGCCTTTCTGTGCCCCATTTACGAACTCCTACGCCTATTAATGCTTCAAAAAATAGCTAGACACTAAAAGTAAGAGTTTGGCAATTACCTGTTTCATAAAAAGTTTGAATTTTAAAATGAGGAAGCTCCAGTTTCATAAATCGAATTCAGGTACTGTTAGTGCCCAATATTTAAAGCAGTCATTGGAGGTAGTAACGCCGCTCTTGTCGCTTGCGTGGCGCTAGTGCGAGGAGCCATCCTGACCATTAATTGCCTTTGGCTTAGGTGCTGTTCCGTCGGCAGCCGATAGTGGTGATGGAGTTGATGCAGCATGGTGACCTGGCGACGTACCTCCGGCATCGGATGGCGCAGGAGGACTACTCGCAGGGCTCTGTGTCCCCCGAGTACGCCATCAAGTGGGCCGCCGAGGTGGCCGATGGCATGGCCTACCTCGAGTACAAGGGCTTCGTGCATCGCGATCTCGCCGCTCGCAATTGTCTAGTTGGTGTCGGTCTCACTGTCAAAATTGGTGGTATGTTCTCTGTCTGATATGTCATACAGTCGCTTCGTTTAATCGGCCACACCATTGTCATGTTGAGGGATTGTGGGAAGCGACTTTGGGGTGGGAATCGTTTATTCTTCACTAAACTATTTCTGCCCGAATAGGTGGTGCGTTCTATTCCACATTATATTACTCTTTGGGTCTTTGAAGTGACTTTTTATCCAAAAAAACTGGCCGTTTATGGCTTCCATTTAATCTGTTTTCATGGGAATCGCCTACGTGCAACGAGTCTACTACTATCCCAATACTACTGTTTATCGTATCTCGGGTTGGGTTCTCCTTCTCACCCCTTCGATTTGCAATTCTCCCAGCTGCTTTGTTTATTCTAACCTCCTGTGAGGCGATGTCGTTGCCCCTTTTTTATCCAAGGTTGTAGGAAACGGTTGTGGTACAGGTGTGCTCTGCAATAGGTGGTGCGTTGTTTGCTAATTGTCTATATCTCTCTACACCGTCGTGATTTATGAGTCTTAAGACCGCATCGTTAAAGCTGCTCGCTTACACATGGACTCTATTTTCATCTGTTGCTCTAAGTTTTAACATTTATTTGGCTTTGAGCATAAAATCAGTTTTGAAAGAGGGCTTGATATCAAGTGGACCAGAAAACATTTTGTCCATCCCTGCCTTAGATTCGCAGTGTTGAGTCCATACTCTCACCTCCAAGATACTGTGACCTATGAGTCGCTTCGCTCCTCCGTTCAAGTGGCACGCGCGTGATGGTGTCATTGCCATTGTCGTTCGAAATTGTAGCTCCTCTTAGCGAAATTGCTTCCAGACAACGGGCAGAGCTGTTTTGGCCAAAACGGAACGTTGAGTCCGTACTCCCATGTAGATATCGCCATGGTTTCCAAGACTCACTCAGGGCCATCTTGTTTTAACTTTGTTTTTCTCATTCCTGTTTTAGGATTTGGTGATCATTTTGCCTCAAGCACCAAAATTTGTCATGAAAATGAAGTATGATTTTTCCTTTGATAAAAAAACGTAAAACTTGAAACGGCTTCGTCCAGACTCTGTCAAGTGGGTGTCAACTTCATTGCTATTTTTTGTCTTGAGGTGTTGGAAACACTCTGCGGTGAGCGCCAAAAGTAGAAGGTCATTGGCCTTTGTCGACGTGTTTGGATTCAGATCGGCCATATCTTCTTTTTAGTTGGCAGCCGAGTGGTGTCGAATTATTACCAGTTTTTTCCGATACATTAGAATTTCAAGTCGTTTAAAAGCGTCCAGCAGCCTCGGGCTTAGTGGTGATATTTTCTTCCACTCATCAAAGCGTCAACCGCTTCCTTGGCACGATTTATATCCTCATGTCCTTGAAGGTAGGCCCAATGTAATAAAACTTGTATTACTGAAAACCAACCTAAGTGATCGTAATAAACATGAAGAAACTTAATCAGTAAAATAAGTAATACAAAAAAATCAAAGAGGATATATGAATAAACCCTCTGATTTAACAAACCAATTCATACAAATGTTGCTTATTCAAGCACTCATTTCACTGCGCCCCGTAGTCACGTTTCATCCTTCGACTTGATTTAAGCTTTACGCTTTCGGAGGCGTCTACTCCCGTCGACTCGTCTTGGTTGCAAGTGCTGGCCAGGTTTCAGAAATTCTCACAAGCCTCCTGACAGAAAGAAACAATTAATCTTAATGAATGCATTTCCTTCCCTTACTGTGCCATCTCCAACACCTTTTTGATCGAATTACTAAAGTGCTAATTGCGTTAAACAGCCACCGCCGTATGCCAAAACCATTGCATGGGAGAGTAGGGAGGGAGATAGAAAGTGCCTCGAGAAAGGGCCGAATTAGGCTTAATCAAACAGGACGCTCATGCGGCGTGCATATGTGTGCCACTTATCGGCGCTCCATATTCGGATCTGTAATTACTTTCAAGTATCGGTGCTTTTTACAAGAAGTATTCATGGTGAACCGAAACCGCTTGCCTTAGAGCTCGAGTGAAAGGCGTTCCTGAAGTGGCACTACGTGCAGTAGTAAATGTCAAGCGCGTTCCATTATGCGCATTGATAATCCACGGACCAGTCCACACACCAGACACCAATGACCAGGAATGACAGGCGTCAACCAGTGTGCGTTTGCACACGGAACAAACACAGTGGCAATGAGCGCAGTTTCTTGTAAGTGAAGGAGCCGAACTCGAAACCGTCGACGTCTACTCACATCTGCAGAAGACGCCTCCAAGCACAGCCACCACGCAGCATGCAGTGTTGACACACCTTGGATGTTCGACCAGTCGGTTGGCAGAGTGTACATTTGTCGCTGACGATGCACGACACAACAGTTGCCTCTGTGGAATGCTTGTCAGATTCTGTATTCCTGGTTGATGCACAACGAAGACGTCGTGTGACGAACTTCACAATGGACCAGTGCTCCTGTAGCAACGGTGAACGCAGAACACTCACGCACATGAATATGCGGGATTTCGAAAAGTTAGCTTTTCGCCTTTTATTGGTAACAAGAGAAATAAAATTTGACGCAGCTTCCACTCCTCGAGGACTACTTTTTCTGCCTCATCAACTCAAAAAAAATCCTTATTTCATTTGAATGACTTTCTTACCGAATTATACCTGATCGAAAATGACCGTTTTACTGCAATCGCACTAAAGAAATCACCAAATGCTAAAATGTGCAAACTTGGCACGCGGTTGCCGTTACCGTTGACGTGGGATTAGCCGAAACAACCCTCGGCCCAGGTCGTTGATCTACCTCGTGCGCCAGGTTTTTTTTTTCCATACAGCGAGGGACAAACTCCAACTATTTGATAATCCTACAATTATTTGTTTATTAATCATCTGGCTTTTTAGACTTTGGGCTTACACGAGATGTGTCCGGCCACCTATACTACCGCAAGGAAGGTCGAGCACGTCTTCCCGTACGATGGATGGCGCCGGAGGCTCTGAACGAGGCCTACTTTACTTTTAAATCAGACGTCTGGTAAGCGGTTGCTTCGTGCTCCCTCTTACGTTCTGACCATATGCATCATTAATTGCAGGTCTTACGGCGTGGTTTTGTGGGAGATTGCCACCTTCGCCGCGTTGCCCTTCTCCGGCCTTTCACACGAAGAGGTGATCGCCCTGGTGGTGAATGGTGGACATCTCGGAAAACAGGGCTGGCCGCCCAAATTTCCGGACATTCTGTGAGAGCACCCTTCTCTCTCCACATACATCTGTGGAGGAAATTTAAAGCAGAGCAAACTGTATCTATCTTACTAAATTGTCTTTTGAGGCTACATTTAAGGAACTAATCTAGCGTTAAAACAATACCTTAAAAGCTCCGACGGAAGGAGCTGTCCCTGAGGCTTAACTATCCTTAGACAACCCGCCTCACTTCACTGTCAATGCCCTGGTGTCCAGCGTACACTAGTTTTTCCGAGTGTACG